CGATCACTGGAAAACCTTTCATTTTGAGAACAGACGCCAGTAATATCGGTGTAGGAGCGTATATCTCTCAATTAGACGAATATGGGGAGGAGAAAGTGATTAGCTTTGCCAGTAAAACTTTCTCCCCTGCAGAGCGTAATTACTCAACAGCAGAGCAAGAGTGCTACGGTATTCTCTTCGGTCTGGAGAAATTTCGTGAGTACCTTGATGGTCACGAATTTATTCTCCAGACGGACAACCAAGCCCTCACATACCTCGAAAGTATGAAAAATACTAACGCTAGGTTAATGAGATGGTCTTGGAAGTTGCAAGAATGGTCCCCATATATTCAACATATCAAAGGGCGTGATAACTGTGTCGCAGATTTTTTATCACGTAATCCAGGTACAGATTCCACAGAAGTTGACAAAGACGAGGAGTACATGTACCCACCAATTCAGGCATGCTCCCTCAAATTGGCGTGCAAATTGACCAGTGAAGTCATCCAACGCCACCAACGACGAAGTCCAGAGGAGATGACAACACATTACGCCTCCCCTGACTTTGAGACGATCAATGGGGTGGTCTATTATACCAAAACTCCCACCATCGTTCCGGTCATTCCATCTTCTCTGGTACCTGAGGTCCTCGCCACATTCCATGACGCTGTTTACAGTGGTCACTTGGGCGTTGACAAAACCATGGACAGAGTCAAGAAGAGCGCATTTTTCCGCAACATGCGTCAACAGATTGTGGACTACATCGCCACCTGTGACATCTGTCAGCGAGTAAAATTTGACAATCGGAAACCTCCTGGTTTGATGCAATCGTCGCCAGTAGAAAAACCGTGGGCGACACTGTATATGGATCTCATGGGTCCCTACATCAAGTCTTCTCCTGGAGGATTTACCCATCTTTTAGTCATCATTGATGGGTTCAGTAAGTGGGTGGAATTGTTTCCTCTGCGAAGCACTTCCGCCGCGGTAATTGGTAAAATATTAGAAGAACAGGTATTTTGTAGATTTGGTATGCCAGAGACGATTGTGAGTGACAATGGTACCAATTTTACGTCTACAATTTTAAAATTTTTGTGTAATCAATGGAAGGTTACCCAAAAATTTACCAGTATTTATCACCCACAATCCAATCTGACAGAAAGAGCCAATCGAACAGTTAAAACTATGATTAGAGCTTATCTTGATGACCAGGCTCATAATAAATGGTCAAAACAGATTCCTTTTCTACAATTAGCCATTAACACGTCAACTCAAGAGTCTACAGGTTTTACTCCTGCCTCAATTCTTTTGAATAATGACCCAAAATTACCTTTCGATATTAATGTCGGCCTCACTGACTCTGAACTAAAAGTTTTAAAGAAATCAATTCCAAAATCGTTTCAAGAAATCATATTTGACAGGCATAATCAGTATCTTAAAATTCTCTCTCTTGGCACTCAGAACCTGACCCGAGCCAAGGAGAAGCAAAAGAAATACTATGACCAACGCCATAGAGACGACCATTTCAAAGTGGGAGACCATGTAGTCATCCGAGACACCACTCTCTCTGACAAGGACAAAGGGATAACAGCTGGCCTATGCCCTCTCTTTCGTCCAGGAGTGGGAGTCATCTCTAAAAGTGTCGGCGAGCTGACGTATGAAGTCACATTTCCTGATGGCGTCGTTAAATCTCCACTCCATATCCAGTTTTTACGACGATACCATCCGCGTCAGCCTCAGACATCGCCACAATTGACACAACCATCACAAATTACGTCGACCCCAACTCAACAATCCAATGTCGACGCATCATCTTCTTGTCCAGATAAGGATACTCTTGATACAATTAATAATAATGATGATGCTGTATATGGTGATGATGTACCAATTAATAATGCTAATTTACCTAAAAATAGTCGTAGTAATCGTAGACATAGTATTCCTAAATTAAGTCCAATTAGAACCAATGAGTCACATCAACCTGATAATCAAGAAGTAATTTCTCGAGAAATGCCAATTCTTAGTCCAATTTCAAATTTTCAAAATGTAGTAAACCCTAGAAATAGTTCACAATCTCCTCCACCACCTCCAAGACGTAGTCGTAGGCTACTTAAAAGATCGACATAATAATATAGCCGGTGGTCACAAGTGTCCTCGGTAATGAGTGTAATTCTTAGGATGTTTGATGGTGAATTTCTCTCATCTTCGAAAGAATGAAGTTCGGTGGCGTCTTGAGGGGTGATGAGCCCTTCAAGGTCAAAGCTAACGTAGTTCTAATGTGGTATTAACTAGTGGCCACGCAATAGGGTGCGTCTTGGCGACGTGACAAACTAGCCAAGGTCAAATCCAGAGAAATTGCACAAAAAATGAGTAGATTTCACATCGTGCAGTCCTCTGAGTCCCTCAACAATCTTCGTAAGTCGCAAAAATCTTGGTTGGTTGGATTTGTTGAACATGTTTACAGTGATTTTTCCATTTAATATAAGCTTTGAGTAAGAGTAACTTGATTAACATGGTGTGATGGTGACTCGTAGATTTCAAAAAATTGTTTCTCAATAATTGTTCGGGAAAAATTCTTCAAATTTACACAAGTAATAGATAATAAGTTAGTACCCTAGGAATAAAAATAAATTTGGAAAAGGCCCCATTAGATTCTTCGAAATTTTGAAAGTTCCCATTTTCCAATGTAGAACTTAGGAATTTTGTGGGAAAATTTTTCGGAAATATAAGTTATGAAAATTATATATGATAGATGATTAGTTGTATGATAATATTTCACCATAAAATTACAAAAGGCTCCAATAGTTTTAGAGATAAAAATTCCTAAAATTTTGATTTTGTATGCTAATACATTACATATATATACATATGTATACATGGTACAGCTTTGTAAAAGGTTATAAAATAGTGGTTATCGATCTTGGGTTAAGCCAATAAGTATGAATTCTAGCTATAATTAATCATAGGATAATATAGTAGTCTTACAATTTCGTATGGCAAGGTTCAATTGTAGGGAAATTTTGAAATTTCCATTTTCCAATGTTAAAATTCAGGAATTTTGGAACAAAAATTTTCATTAGAACTTTCTGAAAAATTTATTTAGGATAAGTCTACAGTCGTACATTAATATTTAGAAGAAAAAAACAATCGGTCAAGGTTAGTTCTCTAGATACAAATTCATGAAATTTTGATTTGTGTATTACTTCAATACATATATATGTAACACATAGTAGTCATCATGACGTCACACTGGTAGTATACATAGTACATGTTACAAGTAGGATAAATAGTACTTTAGTGATATCAGATTCCAGGATATAAAATGCGGTGTCATAGTTTTTACACATAATATTAAGAAGTACAAAATTAAGTAGGTTATCAAAATAATTTTTATTAATATATCTAGCTATAAGATTAGTTAGTTTAACTTTGGCCCTGCGTCCAACTCTCTTTACGTTACTTCATGGTGGACAGGTTCCATTGTTACGTAACGTTCGGGGAGGGGAGTGCAACCTTTGGAACGCTGATGCAAATGTGACATCAGCATTTCAAAGGTCAATGGATTCAAAATACATAGATGTAGTTTTCATAGGTATCTCGCCTCTCATGTGTGTCCAAACCATATTGTGTGCAGGAGGAGATCATGAAGGGGAAGAGAAGATAGGAGTGAGGAGCACAGAATGATGATGTATGTCATCATGATCATCATGATCATGAGGGCGTAGTTTGTGCATATGTAGCGTAAGTAAAGGTAGTGATCAAGTAGGCGTGGCTTATGTGATCACGTATATATAGAGTAAGCAGAGAAAAGAGAAGGAAAGTGTAGTTTTAGATTCAGGATCAGCAGGTTAGATTTAGTGATCATCAAGATCAAGTTCAAGGTTTAAATCTTCGGAAACTTAATAATAAGTTCCTGTCTAGATAATTAGTTAAAATTAAAATAATAGCATTAGCTCTCCCACGTATTAATAATACGAGCATTTCTGTAAAGTCAATATTTTTCAGTCGGTATTGATGTAAATAAATTTAATCATAATTCTTATAAAAAAGTGAGTTTCTACTACAAGTTTATTGCACAACGACACAAAGAAAAGGGGCATCCGCGAAAGTGGATGTGAATCAGGACACGCAATCCCATAAAAGAATAGGGAGCGTTACAATGCATCCACCAGTATTGACTCACTTTATCGAAACATGTCGAATCTCACTGTATCAAGAAGTTCGAGACGATTTCTTTCTTTAAGACCAACCCAATTTATCTATTTCCACATTCTTTTGTTTGCTTTAATAAGATAAAAACAAACATTTTTCTTTGCTTTATACGTATGTACGTACACTGAAATAATAAAATTCTATCCTGCTTCCTCCTTTTTATTTGAGATACATTATTTCCTAATGTTTCATTTTTTCCTTGTTCGTTTGTTTATGATACGTGTATTATTCTCATCTTATCGGCCACCTAAAGGATACAGAGAGTTGGGGAGATTGGTCTTAAAAATTGATGATATTAAGACATACATATTACTTGGAATGGCCAAAAGTGTGAATTATCTTTGGGTACTTTCTGTCTTCATATTTTTGGTATCGCTGGCATAAGTTTCACTCCAGAAGAACATTATTTTGAGTGAATGTTCACACTAAAAAAGTTTAAGATTAGGATGAATCCTTTTCAAAATAAATAATCATGTTGTATCGAATTTGTATTATTAGTTGAAATTGCCATTGTGAAATAAAACAGATGCCAAATCCAGATACATTTCCTAATCCCACATAACAACACTTGATCACATATTTGCCCATAATGGCACTTACATCACAAGGGCAATTGTGAACCTTGTGTATTTATGTATCTCAATTTCTCTGTTGCGGTCAGTGTCACTGTCATTTCGTCATTTCAAAAAATAGCACCAGATGCTTCAGACGAAATTGTGTAACTTATCAATAAATTGTATAACCTAATATGTTTAACATTCCTTTCATAACTTTCCCTTTTGCAAGTCCAACTGGTGGTTTGGTTTGGTTTGGTTGTGTGTACATAATGGACACCAAGCCATGTGGAGGATTACGTTACGGACGTCATGCAAGATTTTCGAGATAACTTGTAGATTTAATCCAGCAGAGATAATGCTATTACTGAATAAATGATGGTCTGGTAGCGTATGTATTTTTATTTATGTGCTGTTAATGGGCTTTATCAAATTAAGAAGATTATTATTGAACAAGTTACAGGAACGACGGCGAGTGTGACAGCAGTAAACATGTCCCGGATTTTTAAGGTCAGATCTTTACCAATCTAAATAACAATCAGTGACGGTCACACAATTTAATTTAGCACATGCATAAATTTTGCAATAATCATTTCCATAATACAAATTGACTTTCTCTAAATTTCTATGTGATTTGTGGGGAGGACATTCTACGATTCGGCGTCTTTCTTGTGGTAAAATACTAATTAAAATGAGGATGCAACACAACGCACCGGATTCAGTATGCTAGTTATTTTATTACTTTAGGCTGCACTACCTCCTCCGTCCCCTACATATCTGCAACATTGCCAAAACCACAAAACCATGGTCTGTTCTTCCAAGCTCAAGGTCTCATTTGTCGTCACTTAATTTATTTTCTACACCGCAGTAGAAGCAGTACATATTAGGAAAACCTAATGTGGCAGCAATCCCTGTGTGATGATAAATCCCTCTCTCTGGAGTCTTGGATTAACCACCTTTTGTCTATTTATCCTCCTTCCTTCGTAGCAAAATGGTAGTAAATATTATTAGCTGCTTATTTTACGGGCACCACTTGTGCGGCATTATTGGACTCGTATTTGCGGTGGTCTCTCTCTCGTCGTAAAATAATTGCGAAAAGCATCACGCAATTCCAAAAAGGATTCTTGAAGCAATTAAATATGTCCGGGACAGGTGTGCAGATGCAGAAACCAATCAATAATTTTTGCATATTATATAATTCCACCCTTTCCCGACCTACCTGTAGAGGAGTCCATCTCATCCATCATTACAACTACGGAGTTCATCACCATTTTTATGACGGTAATGGTATGCAACTGGTGCACATGTATGACATTCATCGATTTTTCAATCCCATCCCTTGATAACCGCAAGTAATCGTAGATAAGAACGTTGCGTTACATATGTACATCAAAACTACTCACAAGATGTAAAATAAGCCGTGTGAGGTGCATTAACTTAAACAGAATAAAATAATAAAAATAATAAAAAGATCACACATAACGTAAGCATAAAATAAAGTGGAATTTATTATTAGCTCATTCTTTTTTTACACTTTCCTACTACAGCAATAAAGCATGCATCGTCATCACATAATCCAATCATGGCAAATCCAAAAATCCAATCCAATCAAAGCTTCAAAAAAATAATAAATCCGAGTCATGTATTATAATAGTAAATACGTGTGTGTAGTATAGTCGAGGTGGTCAGTACTCACTCAGAGAATAATTATGGTGTTGTAAAATAAAATAAAATAAGACATAGATAAAAACTGAATATAAATAAACGTAATTATCAGACAAGCCTTATGGGATAATGATTATGATAATGTACTACCTAAATACGACTATAAAATACTGATGCTGGACTGGACAAACATATGTATAAAGGATTAAAATAGTCAATACACGTATAAATAAGTGGATTGGATAATAACTAACTAGTCGTCCTATTATAAAGTGTGTACATTAATCGGCAACATAACAATAATGAAAAAGAGTAATTGATGACATAATAATAAATTTGATAATAATAGCATATCTAAATATATTTTTATATGTAGCTGCTGCTGGAGTGGACTGCACTGCACAACTACAACTAAATACAACAGAATTATGGTCAACGGACTCGGCAACCCAAAAAAGAGAAATATTTAATTATGTATTAGATAGTATTATTTGCAAAAGAATAATAGAATTGATGTGTGTAATGTAAAAATTAGACCATGCAAAACAAAATAGTAGTAAAATAGTGATGATGATGATAAATATAAATTAGATTTTAATTAGCAACTCCCATGCAAAAAAAGGGTTGGCATATGATTAAAAGTCGTGACGCGGTGGTGACGATTCGTACTCGTAAGTTGTGTTAAAAATAACAACGTTAATTATTATTTTTATGATTTATGTAACAAGCGAGATTCGGAGGCGTGATACGTGGTAGCATTTTTTAGCACTTATTACTTAAAATATCACACATTTGCAGCATAACGTGTCTTGGCTGGTGTCTTTCTTTTTCTTATGATATGACACCTTATTTTCACCTCGTGTACTCGATTTTCTTGTGCTGGATTTACCCCATTTTTGAAAACATGAAAATCTCACAATGGATTTTTTACTAGAGCTTAAATCTTGAATTTCTACGGTTTGGATATTGTCCTTTTCGCTAATGAGGAGGGGAGGATAATTCTGTTGTGATTAGGAAGTGGGGGATTATTGGCAGACTGGAGAATATTTTTATCATTTTCGTTCTTCAAAAATGGTTCGACTATGTCTTCAATCCCATTATTTTTATTACTTTTTGCTTCGCTTTCACTGGGACCGATTTTCTTATTCTCACTTTCCAACTTGCTACTTTCATTATTTTTATAAAAGAAGCTGAAAATTGGAAACTTTCTCTTTTCCGAATTAACGTCTCCAGTCTTTTCTGTTGTCGAAAAATTATTAGACTCGGTTTTTTCATCAGCCTTCTTAATGATCGTGTTAGATCTCGACCCTGCCGGACTTTCTGTCGTGGTCGACATTGTGGACTCGTTCTCATCACTGCTGATCTGACTACTTGGGGGATTAATTGAGACCGAGTCGGAAGAAACGGACTGCTTTTTTCCGGGGAATCTGAGATTTCTTAAGCCAAAGAGGTTAGCGAGACATCTACGTTGTGGGGGGTGGGGGTGATGGTGGTGATGATGATGTCGTTTGCTCATACAACCACCACCACCACGACTTCGTCTCCCCGTGGTTACTGGACACCCAGTACCTTTCTCCATTGGGGTTAGTGTCATACGATACGACGATAAACACAAACCTTGCTGATCTGGCAGGATGACCAAGGTCGCACTTTGACCAAGAAACGGAAGTTTGTTAATTGACGATGATGAAGAATCTTCCCAAGAAGGACAAGGAGGAGGTTGAGGTTGCGATTGTGGAGATGATTTTAATAGAGTAAAGGTGAGGTAGACAGGCTGGTAAGGAAAAAAAAACAATAATCAAGAAATGACTTTATACATTTTATGGAAAAAATATAAAGTGACGGTAAAAATTGTCGAGATTTCGAATAAATCAATGTCATTCAGATTTGTCACATGCATAAATTTAACTGTTCAGTGTCCCTTTGTCCAATGTCAAATGTCCAGTTAGAATCAAATGTCATTCACTTGGCTGATTTGACTTTGTAATTTTTCTACTCAAGGATTTACTGAACTTTACTGAATTTTTACTTTGGTAGTCAAAGCTAACTAACTGCACTTATACTCACAAACTCACCTTGTGATCTCCCATGCACGTCTTGCTGCCCAGTACATTGTACTCAATCAGAGATTCCTGGAAGAAGAACACAACGAAAACTGTTATTAGAATTTTTGATGACACTCCATCTCTCACGTATGCCGTGTTGTACATAAATTAAGTCGAAAAGTCACTCACCTGAGAAATAATATCCTTCGTCGGATGTGTAAAGAGAATCCGATCGCACCAAGCGGGACATCGCGTCCTCATAAATTTCTCTGGCTCGTTCTCATCCTCTTTGTAAGACAAAATTACAACATTAACCTTTATCGCTTCAAGATTCGAATTTTTTTACGAATACGTAAAATCCCATTTATATAAGTATTTACCTTCAAAAGGATAAGTGGGATGAAAGTCGAAATTTAACTCGTCCAAAATTTCGTGCAAATGCTGCCCTTCAAAGTCAAATTGCTTTAGCTGGAATAAATAAGATCGTACGTTATAGAAAATCTAGATCTTGCATTAATCATCATAAGTTTTAGCAAATCAACTCACCCAGTGAAAAGAATGCAAAAATCTCCTCTCGAGTTCCGGAAGATTAAACTTTTTCGTGCTAATTGTCACCCCATGAGAAACACCGTTACTATTCTCTCCTCCGACCAACTCCCTCTCGAGATGAGACAACACGCCTTGAGTATTTAAACGGAAGTTGAAATCTCCAAAGATAAAGAGTGGGAATATTTCGCGAGGATTATTTTGCAGTCTATAAATTAATTAAGGTATAACAATTAATTTAGAACCATATTTTTCTTTGGTATTAAATCCCATACCGATTAAGCGTATAGTTCAGCGTCCTTTGTCGACTTTCTGCAAATTCTGAAGGAAACGTACTGGCTGCCACGACGTTGTCGGAATCATGAAATAAATGAATATTTACGAAATCCACAATTTTGCCCGAGATGCGCCACCTCGTCCGGAGAAACCCTTTCCGCGACCATTTACACTATTTTTGGTATAATAAACATGTCATGAATTCATAAAAAGTTCTGCCACCCTCTTAACTGCTGATCACTCACATTGGGATAGAAATTCTGTGGGAATTTTTCCTTTTCTTTTTTATACACATGGTCCAATTCTCCTCCAGTGTAGATTTTTGGGGGATGAGATTGAACATCTTGGAAGCATTTAGCTGTATGTAGAAAAACAATAGACATCGTAAACTTCTGATCCATCCATTCATTCAACCAATTCCGAACACCACAGTAAATTATCATCTCCTGCATTTTGTCTAATTAATTCTGCAGATGTGCAACTGAACTACTTAAATACTGACGACGCCAGAAGTGACAACCATCATTACTCGTTGGCTGGTTGATATTGTAGACAATGGTAATTAGCAGCAGGAGCAGTAGTTGGTTGGTGTGGCAGGATATATTATTATAGGATTTGGATTTACCTTGAAAATCCCAAATGGCTACGGCATGTGGATGTACACGCTCATGGACAAAGTACACGTTACTCAAGGCCTGTAAAATAATAAATATGTGTAAAATATGCCCCATAAAATGTTCATGGATCTCTAATTTGTATCTTGATCGATTATTATGCATAAATAGTAACACCATAATTTCTAGGAGGGTGGAAACTTGAGGAATAAATGATAAGTTATTATTGCCATCTAAAAATCTAGGACACGCATGAAACCAATGTCATCCAGATACAGACGCCGTGTCATTATTTTATACGCACCCAATAATCTAGCATCCCAATCAAGATCAAATCACAAATTATTATTAAGGCATAATTAATATCATTGGAAATCTTGAACTTGATCTTGACTTATTTGCTCTTGATAATAAACAATTAAATATTATTAGGGATCGCGTCATCTCATTTGTTGTTTTTTCCCTCTGTATACTTGAATCGATAAGTGGGTATATACTGAATGTACTTATGCATATGACATGATATACACATAATCTCGTCTTATCATAAAATTCTTCTTATCTAGTACAACACCATAGCACAATAAATAAATGACGCGCATGGATGCAAAACTGTTTGATTAGTTTTAATACTTTAAAGTAATTGCATTGCATTCCTTTCTGAAAAGTCGGGGTCATTTATTCATTATTATTATTCCCATGTATGAAGTGAAATGTTCATGGAATTGTGCTTGGCTAGAGATTTTATCTCCCTTTTCCAATGTTTAGATAGATATCGAATCCATCAATTGATCATTGTTTGGCAGGACGGTTGTTATTTCGTTGATTAAGATTGGGTTCGACTTGTGTATTTTCTATTTGAAGTGTGTACATACAATTGAGCCAGGCCGACGACGAGATGTGATTCGTTCAAATGACAAAAAGTCATGTGAAACGCTTGGTTTTTTGGCAATAAAAACAAGCATTAGAAAAATAGAACCCCGTCAATCACTCATAATATGCAAATGATGTGCCTTGACAAAATTAAACTAATAACCAGAATGTAAATACCTACAGTAAATTGATGTTCCAGATCTGACCGTGAATCAACGAAACCTTCCCCTCGACGGAAATTCAGCTGCCCCATTCGTTCCACGAGACGTCTGCAATCAAGAACAAGAATAAAACATATTAAATTGGTACTTTAACACTTTGCATGACCAAATTAGGCATGTTGTAAATGTGGAAAAATTACGTGTTCGGCTTTACGATTATTGGATAATTTGACCATAATTACAAAATGTCAATGATGCGTGGCTTTTTTTCCATCCAGGAAGGAATTAAGGGGCCAAATGGCTTGTCTGACTGATGGAGTGATGATGAATTAAATTAGCAATTAATTGATTGACAAAGTTGAAAAGGGTCAATTAAACTTAAGGCCACCTTTGACATTAAACACACTTTATAAGAATCTCAATCAAAGTCATCGGCTTGACATTACAACTTTTTTTTTGCACTATTTGCAGAATATTTATTTATGCGGCACGATTGTCATTTTTATTTTTATTTGCTTTACTGGCAGTAATAAATTATGAGTTATTATTTAAGAGTGAATGATGACTCCTATCATCACCATCACCTTTTCTGCTCATCAAAACTTTTACGAGTTTTGTCCAAAAAATCGTGGCTTAATCACCTTAACCTTAAGTAGATATCTAGTTACTCATTTATTTCTATGCCTATTGTTCATACGACGCAGGGCTGGATTAGATTGTTACAGTCTCGTACATAATTTCAACCTTGTCTTTAACTCTGCCATTTTCTCACGTGACGGCATAATGAGTACTTTTACTCTGATATTTATTATTATTTTATAGCCATTTTTCTCCTCGTGCAAGATGATGCGATACAAAGTCAAGTTCAAGTCCATGATTATAAATGATCCGGTTAATCAAGGCAGTAACTTTTTTTCTATCCTTACTTCTGACAGCATGAACTGCTTCTTTGCCAACTTTAGTAGACAATATTATCATAAATATTTACAGAGTTCGTAATTGGATGAAAAAAGAGGAGAGTCTTTCGGTTAGTACTTGAATAAATCTCGTTTTGATGTCCACCACTCCATAAAAATGGGTCTTGCTAATTCGTACGACGTAATTGGAGGAAAATGTGAAACGCACCATTCATCCGAACATTTTTTTAGCAGACTAAATAGAAGAAGAACAAGTCTCTGAAAACACGAACATGAGAGGAAAGAATAGACCAAATGACCCTCTAAACGTACACGAGGACGAATTATTGCTGCTGCATTCGTCGTCCGTCCGTCCATCCATGGTCTGCATGATGGAAACCACTTTTCTATTCTACTAGCAACAAAACTTGACCTGAGAACAGTCACTGATGACGCAAATGGATGCATGGATGAATATGGTATCGAGGTAGTAACTGTGGCAAACGGTGGCAGAATTTCATTATGAAAGGCTTTGCTCTTCGTGTACCCTCCAAAACCACAATGAAATGAACTATGCACCACGACTCGTGTGTGTACTACTACGGTTGGTCTTTTACTCATAAAATAGTCTTAATTAATGGGACGAGAAGAATGCAGTAATGACAAAAGAGAACTTAACCAGGTGTGTTCTGAAACCTAACCTAAATATGCATGCACGCATACGTGGAACAATTCCTTTCAGTAAAGTCACAGCGAGAGAGAGGTGATAATTATGAATGTGCGAAGATGAGATAATTAGTTTGAGAAGAAATATGATAAATTCACACGAAATCCGGAGAGAAATCAAACTTTTTATTTGATTTATACGCAGGGAAGTTTCTTTCCTTGTCGTCGTTCGATCTTGATGCAATTTAAACGGGTACGAGTTGAACTCGTTTTTTTCCTCAAGCTCGTTGAAAATTAATTAGTATGAAAACAATAGAATTGCGAAGTGACGCCAGACGAACGTCACTTTTTGTAAATGCAATGCACTTGAATATTCATGGAAAATTTGTTAACGAAAAAATTAATTGACCTAATTTCAATTTCGTTTCACCGAATCAACCATGACCTTCCATCACTGGCGGAAAGTTGACTCTTTTATTAACCGGTCAATTAACTAAACCGTTAGATGATTCAATTCATTGAACAAAAGATCGTTTAAAAAATACAATTAGAAATTAGCCAGAGATCGGTCATTTCTAAAGGAAAATAAATCACTTTCCGACACAATTTGCTGAATTAATTGCATCAAAATGTCGGTCATTGTTGTCAATTTAACAATGTGAAGAAAACCTTATTGAGTCTGGAATAAACCAGATACGTTTTCTAAAATGTCACGTTTTGTCGAATTCACAAGCAGCACAGCATGACAGCAAATCATTATAAATACACTCATTTGTGTGCATGCGTACGTAAATTATCACATTATACATACACACATTGTTTCCGGACATGACAGATTAGCAGCCTACGCAAGTAACCACTTCATTGTTCTAATGCTTCATTGGCTGCCTGAATTCAAAGTAATTCATATCTATCACTTTTGAACTGTTAACTCGAAAAAATGAAGTCAATCTTACTTCAAAATTGAAATGACAATTGACGCAGGTTATGGCATGGGAGCTAATTTTACCCCGTGTATAAATAGCATCTTCTTCTGCGAACGAGGGGGTGTGATTTTTTGGAATGCAGTCGCCACCAGATTTCATTGGATTAATGAATCACTTAATCATCGTAATAAAGTATGTAACTCTTAATAACCAGTGAAGTCAATGGTCTCACTGATGACTGACTTCACTTTTTTATTTAAATACTGCATACATGGTTTTTCACTGCAGTATAATAAATGCCTACTAGGTACATATGCATTTACGTCACCCATTCTAATCGAGATTATTACATGCACCACACACGAGCCTCCGACTTAATCGTGACCTGACATAAGGTGAAATAAATGAAGAGAGTTGGTGGAAATGAGTTTAATACAAAAGTAATGTCGAGACGTTAAAAACGAGACACAACTAAACACACCTAAGCATTTAACTATTGAGCAAGTATGCATTTGTACCGACCTTGTCCATCTTTACGTTACACAAATTAATAGCTCTTAATAATTCTTCTATGTCAATAACTCACTCGTCAAGGTTTCTAGGTCAAGTTTCAATAAGTTTTGTATTGTGGTCTGCCCCTCTAATTAATTAGAAATGCGTCTCAGGTTCTTCTTTGCAGATTGGAAATACGTTACTAGTTTTATGTCCTCATTTGTACGCACACGACAGATTGATACGTATCTTATTCATCGATGAAAGGTTAGTTTAGTGCAGCGTGTAATCAATTAGGTGTTAAGTATGCAGAAGAAAAAAAAGGAATGCAACTTCCTTCCGGTATAAATAAGTTGTAGGTAGAGTGCATATTAAGATTTCAGACTACATTAAGTACACTAATGTACTGAATAATAATACTGGAGAGCAGTCGAGCACAGGCAAATAAATAACGTACTCGTACAATCAATAACGGAAACCAGAATGTCAGAAGATATCGTTTTTGTACGTGTGGTTCTTTGCTAAATAAAAATATGTGTACACACATGTTCTGCATGCACATAAAGATAAAGGTTCTTAATACTTTTATCAATATAGACGATTTTTAGTTTCCGTTACTTCTATTTATAGAGTAGGAAGATCCATCCCTGCTTGATTACTTTTCTAGCAAACCATGCTCAATTTGACGGGGGATAAGCATCTACAGACTTATGAATGAATCATAATCCTACGGTACTTTATGCATCGCTACTAAATAAAACAGTGTAATTTACTAGTTAGTTGAATCATATGCAATTTATAAGTTTTTTTCTTGGTCATTGAACAGGTTACATGATAATGTATGAGTACATATGTATTTAAGTAACGGGATAAGATCTACTTCTAAGACTCCGTTTCGTCGTGATTAACTTTTTTGTGCTGTGTAAATTGAATCTCATTAATAAACACAATTGTCGCGTACCATCAGATACATAAGTTTGTGCATTATCGTATTGTGCACAAGTTTAAGATGTCGTGCTGTTGGGGTATTCATATCACAAATGCAAGGTCTTTCTTCCCAATAATTTATGTACCAAGTAATAACAAGCACATCCCACCAGTTGGCATTTTGGTTCCATTCCACAAAGTTATCACAATTAGCTGATGATGCTTCAAGCATGAATAAATAACTGTACGGTTGCTGAATTAAATTATTAAATATACGCAGAGATCCATAAATCGCATATGAGCTTCGAGTTCCGGCTTCCTCCCGTAATAACCTCACTGCACTTCCAGCTCAGTCAGCTAATAATAATCCCATTTGTTTTGTTTGACAAGAGCTTCAAGTAAGTAAAGTGCAAACAAACAACAAACACATAGCATTTAAATAAATAAAATCGTTATCATTACCGTCCACATATCTCTCTCTATCCTCAGCTAAACTACTAGACTAAATCAATAATGGAAGAGTCTGGAAAAAAATTGCAGACGTAATGGAAATTCTTAGCTGGAAAACAAACAGATTTCGAGATCATGTGCAAAAATCACGACGACGACACCACGTCAGACATGTAGGATAAAAAGGACCTGTTGCATGGGCATATATTCGTGGGGGCTTAAATTACCCAATATTTACTCGGTGTCATATTCCCGTGTGTGAAATGAAATGCAAATTAATTGCGTAGACTAAATCGCTGCCTTTAATAAGGAGATGACACGTACAACAGCAATGCGAGAAATCCAATCGACCACAAATTATTCAAGCCACGAACGACCGAATAATCACGTGAGTCGGGCTTCTTAATAAAAGTGGGGTGTGGGGTGGGATTGAAATTGGTTTTAAGCAGATTAGCGAGATGATTAATTAGAAATTTCTATTTGGCTCACCCAAAAAATATGTCAATGCAGTCGCTCCCATTTTCATAATTTTTTCCACCCGTTTCTTGAAAATGAATCGCCACGAATTCCGGGTCTCTCGACCTGATAACCTAGAAAGAATGCGAGATAAAAATTCATTAGTTATTGACGCTGACAGATAATAAATATAAATATACAACGGATATTATATGTATTAACAAGGGATCATCGTCGTATTTTCCTCATGTGGTAACAACAAAACAACGCCACGCCACGTACGAAATGGGGGACAAGTAATGAGGTTAGGTACACAGTAGAGAAAATCAAATCAAGCAAAGGCGTATGTGTCATATCATCCATCGCACCGTCGTATCATGCGTCGTTTTGTTGTTATCTTCACTGTCATATCGTCACTATTTTACGCATCCGCCGATCTGGATGCCTTTGAAATTGGGGAGATTATTCAAATATTTATGTGTGACGAGGTTGAATACGCTGTGACTTTGTTGTTTGGACGTTGTCTACGTAAAAGGGAAACAATTTGGGGTAGTATTTCTTAGAAATTATGGAATGACGCCGAAGGAAGAATGACCAATGCGTAAAAAAATTTCATTCAATTTGTTTCGACATTTCGTCAATTACACTTTTGTTTTCGTGTATGCAATTCCGACAAATATCATCAAAGCCATTGCTGCATTTTATGCTTCCGTACCTCATGATACTTTCAACTTCCTTTATTTATATATGTTGAAACGTCCTTAATAATGATGACGGTAATGATGATGAACTCTGTTGTTGTGGGTATTGGATTTTCAGATCCGCATGTTACTCATAGAAAACACTTACGAAATTACAAAGCCCATTATTCACCCACCCACCCAACGTGAATTCACCCAAATTTACCACAAAAAATGGCAACTAAACAAGACCAGTAGTAGATATTTCTACAATACGTAAATAAGTTATGAAATGCACGAGTGCAGCACACATTAATTATAATTATTGCATGACATGACATGCCTCACATGGTGATGATTGTCAAAATTCTGGCTAACTAACTGGTGAACATCTTTATCCAACATAAACCAATAATGACATGAGTACCATTTTCATTCCAAGTCCATGTGCGTCATTCGTTTAATTTACTTTGTGTAAATCAACAAAAGTGTTTCGATAAAATGAAAATCTATTTGTACAAGTGTTGTTCGTATGAGCCTGGTTTTGGGGGAATTTTTGTTTTTAAACAATACTAATCGTTTAATTGCGTCTACACTACACGCGTAATGCAAATGATTTATGTTCTAAATATAATTATGTTAAGCTCTATAAATTTATAACTAAACTTAAAAAACTTGCACGTACCGAAGTGAATTCATCCATCCAAATCTCCAGGCCTTTTTCCAACTGCGATAGAAAAAGAAAAAGTTTTCACAAATTAGAAACGTAATTCGCTTGATTGAGAGATTTTTAAAAAATTCGAAATATTGTAACCAATTTCTGCACCCACATTTTCAAAGACCGATCCCACGTTCGCCGTGACTAAAAACATTCGCACCATTTTGACTGAACTGAGAAGGTAGCACCACAAAAACTTGGTCACACTTTCAGAAAAACTTTAATTTCCAGCACTTTTATTCTCATTTAGCTAACTATTACTTTAAATACTTTCCCACTTTACTTTTCTCTTTTCGAGAACTTCAGATGTTTCTTTACTCCTCCAACAGCTCCACTGTTTACAAAAGATATCCGAAACTACCCGACTTCGGGAAGTTTATTATGTAAAAGGTTACTTTCGGCTTGGTTTCTGTTGAATTTTTTTAACTGAAATACGGACGTCGGATGGAGGAAATGTTTTATTACGAGATGAGCACATTCATTTAATCTGCGTGACCTTTATTTTGATAAATAAAGAAGCGGAAGAAGACGAGGAACGTGTCAAAATCGGGAATGTGGGGGAAATATTCAGCTCTCTGCTGTTTCACTCGCCAAGTCTGGAAGTGAACTGAAGCGAATGTTGTGGCAGTGTGGCTAGTGGTACTACTTGCGAGTCCGTTCTCCATTAGTTTTGTTAGTAAAAAAGGTTGTACTTTATTTACGCTGTGATAAATTGAGAAGCTACACTAACGGTTAGTGACTGACTAACCACCATGAAGAATTGAATCTATAACGCCGTGCGTGTTATAGATTCATGCTAACCAACTAAAACATAATGTGGTCCAAACTTTAGATGCTTTGAATTGAACTATTAATAATGTAATGCTCATATATGTACTGTTGTGTGTAGACGAATTTGATAGTTGAGTAGAAAAGCTAGCAATTTAATCTTTTAGACCAAAATGAGTAAGTAGTAGTTTCATAACCGTCAGATTAAGTTTCTACTTGTGTCTGTCTGATGATAATTCGAAACGAAAAAGAAAGCCATGTATGTAAAATGCTTAAATAATTGAATTGTGAGTGCACAAAAAGAAATCTGAATGCACTTATTTATGTAAGTTGTAAATATGGATTGACAAGCTTGAATTAAAAAGCTAGAAACTAAAGTGTGCAGTGTATAACTGATGATTCGCGACACTTGAATAAACTACAGTAAACAGTAAACAGTAAGTACGAAATAGTTATACCTATGTATGCAATTGTGCTTGACAAATTTCCTACTTCGGTAAGAATACCGGGTTTAAAATGGAAGTTAGTATTGAAACGAATATTTATAACAAGTTAAGTTTTACCGAGTGCGCATTTGCCCTACTCGGCTAAATTAGTAAACAATAAGAATAAGCTTTTGTTCTTGATATTGATTTCATTCATTTCATGCAAAATATTGAATTGATAATATTTACAAAAACATGGCTGAGTGCTTTCTTACACAATTAACACATGCGATGATACACCACCGCATCCGGACCTTATTGTTTATAGCTGAAGTTTCCATTCACGCCAATTTTCTGATAATAAATATGAAGTAACGCTGTTAAAAGTATATAGTACAGGGTGGTCTCTAATAGTCTCTATGTTGTAAAATGGTTGAATTACCTCGTAACTTTTTAAGACTTGGTCTAAATGGGCTCTCCAGTCTTCAGTCAGAACAATGAGTCTCAGTCTCGGTTTCCAAATTTCGAACACCTTCAGACGCGTTTCAAGGAGATAAATATGGCATTCCTGCATGAGTTACAATTTTCAGCGTCGTAGCCACCAAGTGGTTGAAGATCATTTTTGCATTTTACCAGACAGACGTCAATGGTGGCACCAAGCGTCTTTCCACTGAATGAATCAATAAGAGAACTTTTTTTAGCTTCGGAAAGCACCTTCATAGACACCTCCAATTTTTGGGTCATTTTTCAAAACAGAAATGTGAAACTTGGGGCATTCATTGCTGTGTCAAATTCTTTGGGGTCACTTTACCCGCAATTGTAATTCCACAAACTCAGAGATCAACCTTCTGGAATTCAGAGTTCAGACCTGAAGCCAAGGTGTACATACGTCATAAGTATCGACTTTCTTTTTATGCATGTGAAACATGTGACCCATATTTATTATTGCTGGCTGACTCAGAACTATGAAATGCGTTAAATCGGACGACACCCTCATAAATTTTGACAATGTCATAAACAATTCGAAACTAAGAAAAGAAACCGAAAAGTTATTACTTCTTTTGAGTTATTACTTACACGACTGAACATTTTCATGCCTCCACGCACGTAGATAAGGAAAGATTCATCTTAAAGAAATCCATGAGCACACAAACCAATGAAGTATTTACTCTGCAAATTCCAATTTTATTTTAGTATTTATTTATATAATAATAACTCGACTGTTTTGACTCGACTATTTTGTTCCATCTTAAATTACATACATTTTTTACACACACAGGACAATTAACGTAAACCAGAATATATGTGTACATATTAGCGATACGGTAAAAGTACAAGTTGTAATTTATGTCATAACACGATGCCAATTTTCTTATGTGATGTGGGTACAATTTTATAGATTATTCTTAGTATTTAAATACGAATAGCAATTGTAGTAACAGTATGTCTTATAATTCAACCAATTAACGATTAACTATATGCGCCCAAAAATTCAAAACCCACAAACTTTATATCAGATTTTTCAAAAGAAACAATTTCCCTTGCATCTCACATCACATAAATAAATCACATATTTTATGTACAAGAGGACATCACAATGACACCGCACGCTTATCGAACAATTAATTAATAGTAACCATTAAATATGTATAATACGACTTGATTATTTAGCTGTGTGTATAAATTGAGTTTCTTGTTAATAAGTCTTATCATTTTACTGAGCTACTACAAAAGTAAATTGACTGTCTCATATTTTTCTTCTCTTGCTACGGTTTGTTTGTCTATTCGATACAACAAGTCTAGTTTTACATAATATTTAGTAGGCTAATCATTTCTTCTAAATGTCAAAGACACGATATTATTTTAACTACATAGACAACAATCAATAGTTTTTTTTAATTCCACATTAATCTGCATAGGTTTGTTTCAACAAGGTGTGAGTGAGTTTTAGTCGTTAGTTTTCTTAGGTCTTTATCATACGATCTGGTTAAGGAAGGATAAAATACAGGAGCATAAATTGAGGATTCAGGATGTTGCATACTGGTCAAATCTCTAATGTCAAAAATTAGGAAGTTGGTTAGTTAGTTAATTGGGGAACTCTTTACTTAATCATACCTACAAAAATACGAACTGAGGAGCACCATAATCTACACACATTACAGAATAATAGTACAAATGAAATAGTAAAAATTGTAAATTGATTATGTTTTCTTTAAATTCACGGTGTACGTAGTAGTTCGGAATGTCTATTATCATATCATTTTCAGTATCATTTCTGCTGCTGCGTCGGCTGCTGATTGAGAAGAAAGTAAGGCAAACAACGGTATGCAATTCTTTTAACAACTATGTGTAATATAATAATGAACCACAATGTAATCATGATTTGACTTAAGCTTCTGAATTTCCAGTGATTCTTCTTCTTCATATGTATTTTTAGGCCTTTTAATATGGCCTTATAGATTTGTCAGGATGTCTGTCTGTCCGTCCGTCTGTCTGTACGCACGATAACTTTCTTTAAACACATTCTATCGACTTGAAATTTTGTACACTTGATCTTCGGGTCAAAAGTAAGGATGAGTTCGAAGGTGGGCATGATCGGTCAAGTGGTTGACCGGTGGGGGTCTTTTCCACCCAAATGTGTCGCCATTAACTACCAACATGGCATTAATGCCATCTTAAAAGGCCCCGCTAAGTTGCTTGGAGTAGGTTTTTTTATTTCAGTTTCAGTAATAAGTGGATTGGATTGCATCGCTTGTTGTGTAGTAATTCAGTCCCAACAATTCTTCTTCACTTGTTTCTTTGTTACACAACTTACAAAAATTTATTTAAATTTATTATACTTCTACAGGTTTATTATTGAAAATTGAAACCTGGGGCAAATAAGTGTCTTTAGTTTTATGAGGAATTAAAAAATTGCGCAGTAGCACCCTCAATCAAATCTCAATTGAAGTAGTTAAACGAATCGTATGTATTAAGTACAAAAGAGGAAATCAGAAACAGTTAATTTACTTAATTTGTTTCGTTCACTGTGCCTCGTTCTGTAATATTGTCTGAGAAAAGGTAATCTTTTTACACGACATGATTGATTTAACCAGTATCATAATCATTTGACTTTTTTGTAAATTGAGTTTGACTACATATTCTGTCTGACAGTATATTTTTTAAATACTTACTCCTTGTCTTCGGCACTTACATATTATACGATAATCGATTCTTATTATTATATATTCTATATAAGTTATTGTTCTTACCCCATTTTACTTAACGCTGGATTTTAGATGAGATATTTCTTGCAACTACAATTTTCGTACAAATTATCGCGTCGAGCTACGGATGACTAGGAAATTGTAATACTCGGTTAAATAAATCAGAACTGATCATTCGGAACTTTTTGGAGATAACAGTATAACACGAACGTACCATTTTCTTTAAACGTGTTTACTTTGCGGTATTATTTACAGAAGAACTGGTGTTAATATGTGGGGGGACAAGTTATCATTAAAATTCAAAATAACAACAACCAACTCAATACGTAAACAGGGCATCCAGTTATATATAAGGTATTATCACAAGTTACAAATTATGATGTAGAATTAATTGCAAACTAAATATATATATATAATTTTAAATTGATAAACACAGTAAATAATTAAGAAATTTATAACAATTTTTAACGTATGGAATAATTAGTCAAATCTATCTTTTAACGCACGAATTTTCACAGATCCATCCGATCCACATGAGAACATGCGATGGTGGGCGTCTAACGAGAGTTGGGTAACACCTTGTCCAGGAATATTTTTGAAAAATCCAGATCTGAAAATTCATACGATCGTGTTATTTATTGTCCATTAGTGTAAGCTGAGTTAATGATTATGTATAACATGCACATTATGAACGCATTCATTAAATAAGTATGGATATGTACCTTAAATGTTCTCCTAGGAAAACGGCTAGCGGTTTTCCATTAAAATCCCAAACTTTTATATCACCATCCGCTGCTCCCGTGCAGAAATATTCTTCCGATGGGTCCAAGGACATGCATTTTATAGCACTTTCATGACCTATGAAAATATATATGTATTAACTGCTTATCAACGAACCTACGAAAATAAATCGTACATATTTTTTTAAATTTTTACCTTGGAATTTATGTCGTAACGATCTCTGTCTAATGTCCCAAATACAAATGGCCCCCTTCTTTCCTGCCGAAATTAAACTTTGATGTTCTTCCGCATATGCGAGAGCGACGCAGCCTTGCTCGTGTGAGACGAATGAAGCAATCTGCGCTTTTTTCATGGGCATAAGTGTGTCCCACATGGCGACATTTTTAGAATCTGTACTCATTCCTGCAGTCGCAACGAGGCTAGAACTCCCAAGGAAGACAAAATCGCTTGTTTGCTTGGTGTGGCATTGGGCAGTCTAGTAAATAACAATTATTTTTATTTTTATGAAAACAATACAGAACGAGTACAATTTACAATTACTTACATAAAATGGGCGAGCATTTGTTCCAATTTGCCACAGACTTAGTCTTCCATCGCCTAGTAGATTGAAATTAACGAGCGTTTTAAAATTGAAAACTTGAAATAGTTCAAAATTAATTAGTTACATACCATCACAAACTCCAAATTTATTCCCGTGAAATCGGATTTTCGTCACCTTTGCAAATGTTCCAGCAGGTCTCGGGACAGAAACGGGTTGTGCGTGAGAAAACTCCCATAATCTTACGCTACCATCTTGACTACCGGATAAGTCTAGAAGAAAATAAAATTAGTTAAAATTAACTTCAAGTTTTCTAAAAATATTGGAAATGTTAGGAAAAACGTACAAAGTGGTAATGTTGCATGAGAAGCCATTCGACGTATTCCATCAACTTTATGTTTCAGAATCTGAAAACAAATATTGAACATCACAAATGTGTTAATGTTTGAAATCAGTCAAATTGGTCAGGTTCAAGTAATAATAAAAATTGGATTATAAGAACTAAAAATATAAATACATACACATGCACATTTGCAAATATCAACTATGTATAATAAACTAAAATTATTACGATTCTTAATAACGAAACGAAACATATAATACAATTATTGTGCAAATAGAGACAAGACGAACGACGAGGGACAAGATATTGGCTTGTGTTTTGCTTTACCGGAATCATCAGACGTCTGGAACGATCACAGACATACTGAACAAAGCTATGATTCGTACACCCGTGGAAATTTACACCTTTTATCTTTATACGTGGCGAGCGAAATACATCAAGGTAGCAAGAATGAGAATAGAACGGGACAATAATTAATCATTTTTAATGGAACCCTTTGTTTTCAGTCAGATGATTATATACACATAAAAGGATTTGGAACTTGCACAACTTACGAGTGAATGGCTTCCTTTTTGAGGTCTTTCGATATTGGAGAGGAGAGCCCTGTCTGATGGACTTTGAACTACGAGATAAGATGACGAGGATAACGTCTCAGGATCCCTACACAAGACGAAAGTGGATTAGATATAGATTCTTATAATAAAGAAACTAATAATAGAAACTTACTTGTATAAATTAATGAGATCAAGTTCACACTGATCTTCAAATTTCCAAGATTCCATATTAAGTAAAACGCTGATATCCAACTCTTGAATTTCTTTCGGGGTAGAAATTGCCATAAGGCCAGCACTTGACTGAAATTGTTACAAATTGTTCAGCTTGATAACTTTATTCTTTAATGATGAATATGAGTTGTTTACCTGATTGACACAGAATGCAGAGATTGATTCATGCTCCTTATGTACAATTCTAACAGGGCCGATCGCATTTGATGCCTGATCTTCTTCTTCCTCTTCACCTGCACCTTCACCACGATCACTAGTTTTCATACGAGCTTCCATACTCATTTCCCACAAGGACATTGTATCCTCGGCTCGCTTCTTGCCAAAGACGAAGCGGATAAAATAGTCTTGCACGTTATCTTCACGAACCTTTTCAAGAAAAATAAATATTTTTCAAATTACACTGAAGAAACAATTTGATTATGTCTATAGTGCATGGGAGACTTACCAACATGTTCCACAATCTTCTAAGGCCGAATGTTAACCTCTTTTGCCTGGAAAACAAATTGAGATATATTCTTGAGTAAAATATTAAGAAAAGAATTATGATATGTAATGTAATATTACGGAAAAGGCGTATTCGTTGGTTCCAACAATGCTCTATATTTATGTATCGGAGGCCCAGCCAAACTTTCTACGACCGTATTTGGCAAAAAATTCATCGGTGCAGGAGACACGCCTTCAACTTCTCGAAATAATCTTTCTTGCCACACGGTAAAGACACGGATAAGTCCGTCAAGATATGGACTGATGTGAGATAGCTCGTTGAAATCAATTCCAGCAATCCCAACGATTCGTTTTAACTCGTTCTTTGCCAATTTCACGGCAGCAAGTCGCATCAATCTCCATGCGTAAGAAAATGGATCATCTTGTAAATTTTCGGGTTTCATTTCCTGATTTTTTGGCTCCCAACCGAACCCGTCATCTTCTTCCTCCTCCTCCTCGTGTTCCTCATCTTCATCCTCATCCTCCGAATCTGGGAAGACTAGTTTCCCGTCGTGCTCATCAGAACGTGGTTTTGGCTTCCCCATCAAATATCCGTAAATGGGAATGTCTGGAGGGACAAATTTTTCACGGAATGTCGGTTTTTCTTCCTGCAATTAAGATAAAAGTCATAAATTATTAAAGGCAAAAATATAAATAAAACAAAAAACAGGAAATATCTCAGCACGATAATCTTTTAGTTTAAACACAATTATAATAACTACGTAATTAAACAAAAAAGCGCCCAACACAAAATTAGCAAAAGGGCAGAAAAAAATAGAAGAAAAACCAAGGTTTCGACGAATGCATGGCTTGGCTTGCCTTTATTGGTGCAGTTGTCGTTCGAGGACTCGTGAGGTGAAGTTGCTGTCCTAGTAATTTCATGTTGAATTTCATCCTCGCTTTGTTCAGGCTGGCAAGAGTCGTCCAAACGGATGATGGGGATGTGTCGCCACCGTCTTTGTCGGATGAACAGCTTTGCGACTGAGGCTAATTCGGGGCAGAACATACATACAAGAACACGATAAAGAATCTTGTTTTATTTTTGGACATGTAGATCATTTTGCAAAGAAGGGTGCATCAGTAATGTGACTACAAATTTTGAAATCTAAGAGTGGTAAGCACCCAAAACCCGACAAAATCTTAATTATTTTTTACGGACAGGACAAAGTTATTACGAGATGGTTAAAATTCACACATCTGGCTGGACAAATTAGTTTATTATAATTTTAATTGGACATAAATTAATAAAGATGAAGTTAACTTACATTTAGCTGTTGAATCACGGACATTTTGATCTGCTTTTTAGTCCCACCTCCAAAAATAGAGGCAAACCCAGCCGCATCCATTTTCTTGGCGAGGATTCGATATAACACAACAGCGTCGCAGATAGCAATTGCGTGGACGAAAATGCTAACATACACCGCAGCATAGCATTCAACTAGCAGGAACTTTAATTTTGGTGTTTCCCCATCTTCCTCTCTGGACAACATCCCACGCAGGATAGCAACTCCGGGCCACTTATCTGGCGTTGAGATGACGCCGGATTGACCATCTCCTGAACCACTCGTCCCTGCACTGCTCCAGCGACGGCGTCTGGGTGTAAAGAGTAGTTGGACACCGATTTCTTTCGCTTCCGTTCCTTCAGAGTCACTCAATGCTTGGAAAAGACAAGAGCTTAGAGCTACGCCAGAGTCACGGAGAACCAAGACTAGTCTGTAAAACAAATTAAAAGTTATCACCATTAATGCTGAAGTATAGTGATAAACAATTATTGATTAAACTCACTTCCAGTCACAGACAATAGCACTCATTTCATCTTTAGGGTCATTATCTACAAACGTATCATCGTCACCACCCTTCTTGGTCGGAGAATCGTGCGACTGCTTTTGTTCTTCGGTGTCTTCCGGATTATCATCCCCTATTCCTCCTTCTCTACTATTTAAGCCATCCTCCCCTCCTGTCTCCTCAGGAATTTCTGTCCCAGCAATGGAATGCGTCTTCGTAGCTGCAGACTCTGCCATGGAGGTTTTCCTCGGATCAGGCTTCACATTATCAACGACATCCTTTGCTAAAGGAAAAACGGGGATGGCAATAAGTTCGGACATTGTTTGAAGTATATCTCGAGCAGAGGACTGAATAAACGAGACGGCCGTTTTGGCAGGATTTGCAACTGCGGAGAGGAGTGGAAATTCGGAGTGAAGGTAGGGCAAGGGTGACACAAGAGAGGGTCCCGTCCCTGTAGATTTCTCCTTTTGAAGCTCATCGAGAAGGAAAACAAGTTCGATATGCACTGGAGCCAAGGCATGCGCCTGCAAATAACAAAACATAATTGTGAAAATATTTTTACAGATTTCTGCATCAGCAGTACAGAAGTATAAAGTTACGGTACAGGTAATCATCACTTACGTGAAGTCGGGCGAACGATAAAAGTGTGGCAAGAAGGTGACGATTGGCTCGAAGCCAGCGACTTCGTCTAGTAATTATTCCCATTTTCCACTCCAAATCTAGCTTCTCGGACAGGATGATTTCATGAAGGCCACTCCCATGAGTATCGAGACGAGGGGTTAGGCTTCTTTCTTTTGCACTCCACTCGTCCGTATCGAGATCCTCGTCGTCGCTCGTGTACCGGCAGATTTCCTTGAGGGTAGGAACTTGTTTTTCCAACCAGGCGTAGAGGTGGAGTCTCAGCTCGGTCCCTTCCAATTGTCCAGCCATGTTGACAATCTCTTCCGACATTAGTTTCATACAGCTAGCCAATCTCAACTCTACGGCAATCATAGTATGAGGATCGTTCAAATCTTCTTCACCTTCCTCGACATAAATGCTGTTTTCTTCTTTTGAGATGGATTTCCCCATATCTTTACTCGTATTCTTGATTAAGGATTCCTTCACAAGAAATGTTGGTTTTTTAGCAGCTGGTTTAGGAGCTTCTTCCTCCTCTTCGCCACTGTGCTCATCGTCATCCCAGTCTAGTTTTAACTCATCTTCCACAATTTTTTTGGAAGGTCCAGTGGCGAGTGGAGTCGCCCAATCAAAGTCTAAAGGCTCCTGCTTCGGTGGTGCCGCAAAATCCGTGACAGAAGTCCCTGTTCCACTATCATTCAATTTGTTGCTTGTCCCGCTCGTCCATCGGTCATCATCATCATGACCGGAGAGGATTCCAGATTCAATCCTGCTGTCTGCTTTGACTGGGGATTTTATCGGAGTTCCAATTATGCTGTTGGGCGCTTTCCTCTCTTTCGGAAGTTGAGAAAGGACATGGATCGCTAGTGCTGGACAACCTCTTGCATAGTGTTCATGGGCCGTGAAAAAGTATAGATTTCTTTCTTGCGAACTTAACGCGAGAGTGCCTTTTGCCTTATTTTGACGCACGAGGAGAGGATGATTTCGGAGGAAGACGTAAAAATTGAAAACACGGGATGACATGCTTCTTGTTTTAAGGAGAATGTCCAAACTGCTCTGAAATTCTTTCAGCATCCACAATGCCATTGAGCAGAGGAAGGGATCAGGTTCGCATCCTTCATCCACGGGGCGTGTGGTTTTTAAAATTTCCTAACATATAATAAATTTATTATTTTATTTTATTATATATATTGTTTCAAACCAAACGGACTAAAAAATTAATATAACTTACATCTTGTAGCAGTGTCCTGACCGGTGGCGGCGTTGGATCCAAATCTCCACCCTCGTATAATCTCGACACGACCAGAGCCAACTGAACATCTTTCAACTTGGCTAAACAAACTTCCAATGCATCTTTTAAACTTCCTGCGAGTAGGAAAAATGCAGCCGCATGTTCGAATCTCTGCTTTCCGAGGAGAGCGTATGCATTCTTGAGAGCCGCCTTTCTCCATCGTTCTTCCGCAAAGTCGTTGGAAAAGAAAAGTGCCATCTTCTCGTCTCTTTTGGATCTATACAAGCCCCAGAGAAGCGTTTTCTTTTTCATGGCTAATAAAAAATACAGGCACATTAGTGTGTTATATATTATTTTTTACAATAATAGAAATAAACTTGTGCATCGAATTACCAAGGTAAAAGATTGCAGCGTCCATGGGATCTTGAGTCTTTTGGAAGGCGTATTTTGCAATTCTTTCCATGCAGATACGCAACGTTTGATTATTTCGAAGCCAAAATCCTGCTCCCAATTCTCGCATTTGGGACCAGGTAGCTTCTCCTTTATGGTACGCTGGAATGAGGGATAGAATATCTTCTTGAGATTCAGAATGGAATGCCCAAACGATGTCAGAGGTGGAAATCTAAAAAACAGTTCCGAATATAATTAAAGAATTAAATAAGATTCTGGTATATACATCACCTACCCCAAGTTTTTGAATTGGTACTCGCTGTGCGGGTGGTAGACATTTAATGAGGTAACTGTAGTGGCGGACAACGATGAGGAAGCGGAGACCGCACTGTGAAAATTAGAAATAAACTTAGCATACCTTTATAACCACGTCAAGAAAATCTGTGCATAATTAAAGTAACCTTACCTCATCTAACGAATCTATTAGATTAACAACAATTCAGAACATTAGTTAATGATCAACATTTACTCAAAATTATGCAAATCAATTAACCTGGAGTTCCATCGTGTAAATGACTCTGAGTAACGTCCCGATGGTGATCTAATTTAGTCCCGATAGACGCGACAGTGTCCGCCAATGCCAAGAGGTGCATTTGATCGACTGATGTCAATCCTGGGATTTGCGTGTGGGTCAAAACTCGAGATAATTGGCGAGACTGTCTCTGTCCAAAGTTTAAAGCTTGATTGTCTCCGCTGGTGGATCGTCTCCTCTTCTTTTCAGAACCACCTCCCATTCCATCGTCATCGTCGTCGAGAAAGTCGTCAAATACGGCTAAAAGATAAAATAATATAAATAAAGCTATTTGCTAAATAAGAAAGTGTGATATGGGCTCTGGAAAGGTGATGAATTTACAAATTACAACTACAAATTTTGAGGCTTTGTGGGGTGGATCTCAAGACAGAAGTGTAAAAATTTCCCATTCGCTAAGGACTTTATAGAAACAACAACTTATACGTACATTCGTCCAAAGGCTCATCGACAGCTTCAGCATTAAACAGTTCCTTGTAGTCGTTCTATAAAAGGTAAAGATCATTTTTAAAGACGAACCGAAAACATTCAACATTCAAGCTTGAAGTAATAATAATTTGCGTACCGATTTATCGTCCGACGCACCCTGCCCATCATCTTTCTCTGCATTTAGCAACATCCATAACGGAACGGGCGGAATTGTTCGCATTTCCGCGTAGTTAAAGGATAACTCATCACTCTGAAACACAACAGAGTTTCTATGTTCCAACGGAGAAGGTGGAGCCGCACCTGAGTAGCTGATAGACAGACAACGTGACCTCGAGAAGCTACGCTGCCTCCCGTCTTCATCGTGCAAGAGTGAATTCTGTCGCTTTAGAGAACCTCCACTTCCTCCCAGGCATCTACAATTTGTTGAATTAATTATAGAATTTCATAATTCGGGACTAATTATTTATCCACCATCAATATAGATAGACCTACCTAACGAGATGTCCCAAAATGACTCTGACCCATCGAACTTTGCCAGAATTAAGCATCCCCATCAATTGTGTTGGATGATATTGTGGCAGGACTGGGAAACAATGTCTCGTGTATTGAAATAGTCCAACACTTCCGGATAATAGCGACAGCTCAATCTGCGGTTTATTTGGCTGTTCATCAATCTCTGTCTCCTTTCGAGTCATCTTTGTCGATGCGGGGATTAAGCTGCTCACGTCCTAAAAACATATAAAAATATTTCAGTCAAAATATTCAAAAACGGAGAACCATAGATTACCCTTGATGGAATTTTAAAAAAGCTAACCGTCAAATTCTCTAGAGCCCACTGAGAATAAACTTGCATCTCATTTCTCATCGCGACAACACAAACGGCATGAATCCAACCGAACCGGACTGGAAACGGATTTAGTCCGTCCGCACTGCTCAGTTTAAACGCATGCAAGGGCAACCAATACTGCGATTTGCACGATGTGCTGGAAGGCAGAACTTTGGCACCAAATGTAATTGTTGGTTCTTGGCTAACATGTGCGAATAGACAGATCTGGAAAAGTTCAATAAATAAAGTTATTTTTTAAATCTACAAACAAAATATAACATTCACGAATTTCTAAGATTACTTACCATATCGGAAATAGCTAATGCCAAAATATGCTGCGCATCATGTTTTGGAATCCACTCTAAATGAACCGCTGTGACTTCGCCTCCCGTGTGAAGTTCGATTGTATCCTCCAACATCCACTCCGTCCCTCCCGTGCTCTCACATTCATAAACCGTAACAGCACAGCTTGGCGACTCATTGTTGTTGTCGCTGTTGCTGGTCGGAGATCCTCCCCCGCTGACTTTTTCTTTCTCGTCAGATACGTTTGTCTCCTTTTCTGTTCTTCTGTCCAACTTGTAGACACAGGCAATTCTTCCACTATAGGCCGCACTTGCTTGGAGTAATTGTCCCTTTTCTTTACAAGCACCCAAACTATTCCATTCTTTAAAAATGTTGTCGAATCCATGTAAACAGGGGGGATCAAGGCCGTCAATTCGTTTCTGTAATTTCAATAATTTCACGGAATCCTTTGAAGTGACAATCAGTGCGTAGCTGGAGCCACAAACAAAGTGTCCCGTACAGAAGGAGAATCGAAGATCTGAACCAACAGGTCCCAGACTTTGTTGGACAAGTTTATTAACTGTAATGTTGAGGAAGGATTTCTTGTTGGATTTCTCCATCGTTGTGATAATGGAGGGAAGTCCGTTTACGATGCGAGTGTCGGCTGCTGAAGCTCCAACGGGAAAGTCGTCTTCATGGGTGGAGGTGGAATTATGGTGTGGATTCGAGATGTTGAGGGATATGTCGTCATCGTAGAATTCGTGGGGTTCCAAACCATGGGAAGGAGTGGATATTTCAATTCGCCAAGCATGGATCTCAATCTTGTTCACAATGAGGACAACGTGGAATGATTCTTTGTAATCGAGACTTCCCCTCCGAGCTGGTTCAATGTCATCTCGGAAGACTTCAATGAACGACACTTCTCCCCAATTCTGCGTTTAAAATAATAAATTAAGATATGAACTATTACTTATAATTATTTCCTTTTTACCTGATTGTCAATGCGATCAAGTTGTAAAATGCATCCCGGTCGTGATGTCGACTGCTGACTGACGATAGCGAATAGGTCCGGATCTGCAGGGTCTTCAACTTCATCATGAACTGAAGAAAGCGAGCTGGAGGAGGAAAGACTGACCACAGAGTCCTGAAAGATAATCAATAATACTAGTTACTAGTTTTACTTTGGATTAGTTGTACTTTAACAAAGAAATTGACAGGATATATGTGACTCACATTTAAGGACGCTTTTCGTTTTCTGTACACTGAAGAAATTTCCGCCAATAAATTACTCGCATCCAAAACTGCTTGATAAACTCGCAAATTAGTCCCATCTGAGGCGACGAAACAGCCAGAATTAGAAAATAAGGACGTGCTAGGAAGGAGGCCGGGCACCCAGGCGACATGAGAGAAGGCATCAACTTCCGATGAATTTATCCTCGCAATTTCAACTACTCCTCCAGATCTGCGAAATAATAATTGTTGCATAATTAATTTGTAATACGGAAAGAATAGCACTTGATAAACTTTACTCACTTGCAAAGGGGTCCGATGGGATCCACACGCCATAGGATTAGCTCACTGCAGTAATTCTGACTCTTTGGCCCTCCAGCTTCAGAATCATCAATGCCACCCGAAGAGGCTGTATTAGTGGTAAAGGAGTGACTGGCAGCAGTTAGGATTAAAGGGAGGACAGGGTGACAGGACATTTCTCGTACCTGTAGAGTTACCACATCATGGTTTAATACATAATGATAATTTAGATAGTAGTAATTTACGACTTATTAGAACTCACCCTAAATCTATGACCAGAAGCTCTCTTTGCATGAGATACGCTTAGTAATTGGCAAAACTTTGAATCATCTCCAAAGCTCAATGTCCACAAATTTAGAGATCCGTTGTGATGTTTCGTCATCATCGCTGCCCTGTTGGACGCCAACTTTTCCAGCGGAAACAAATACAGGTTTGGACTAGACATGCTGGTCGCATCCGCCAATGGTATTGCGCCCGGAATGCAGCTAGAAAATGAGACTTGAGCTTGTCGAAATGATCCTGGAGAATGCTCATCCAACCAGTCGATCGACCAGACTAGAAAAGATCCATCAATGGGATGAAGTGAGACAAGAATATCGGGCGTCTTGTGCCAGTCTCGCAACAACTGTTCCAATTTCCGGTCTAGCATATCCAAACTGGGGGTGAAATTTCCGTCCGCTAAGGATGTCGAGGATGCCGCAGAACTTAAAGATGGCTGAGAACTGTCATCATCAGCACCCAATCTATGGTTGTCGTCGTGTGAGTGAGATTTAGGCAAATGTCGGTTTCCACCCTCATCAAAATTGTCTCCAGAATCATCCCTCTCCATTCCTTTTCGACAAATCTCTTGCAATATAGTTTCCGCCTGCTGAGTGAAGAACATTTCCTTGTTGTTTAGCCAAAAAACTCGGAAGTTGTGATGCTTCAAGGCTGGCACGAGGGGAATATCCGTTTCTGCATTAATACTGGCGGACAAGTGGAAATGTACAGCGATCCCGTGATGCATCATGTGATGAGCTTGGACGAAATCCATCGTGGATGGGATTGAATGGACCGATGGGAGGCCAAGCATGGGAAGGGCGGCTCCAGAAATCATTGGAAGTGGAAAGGCCGACGTTATGGTGTGATGGTGTTGTTGTATGTCTCTAGTTCGGGATTTCTTGAGGTGAAAGCAGGCCCTGCAAGTGTCAAGTAGTATAAATTATTTATAAATAGTACAAAAGGTCATTGTTATCAATAGATATTTGCATGTTATTATGTATAATGGAATAGATGGAATTTTGCAATAGGACAGTTATGCAATATTGCATGCAAAAACAAGACGCTATACGAATTCGACTTCTGAGTAAAAGACGTGAGGTAGTTTCTCTTGATTCCCATGTCACGAGTGGTCGATATAAGTGTTATGTTAACCCATTCTCATTGTAGGATCAGCAGGCAACAGCCGGATTTTAATTAATTCTACATTTTTCCTCATCAATTCACTAAAATTGAGTTAAAATTCGAACGTATCAATAATGTCTCTCATTCCTCCAGTTATCATTCCTGCTGCCGTCAAGCACACGGCAACGGTAAGCTTGGAGTGAATATACACTATATTAATTAACTGGCTTAAATATGCAACTATGATTAATTTTAATAGATTTTCTTCCTGCATGGACTTGGAGATACGGGGTACGTGGAAATTATTGAAAATTTACACAACTAAAAGTAACTTTGACCTTGACAATTTACACTTTTACAGACATGGCTGGGCGAGCGACTTGGCCGATATAAAACCCCCTCATGCTAAGCTCATCTGCCCCACAGCGTAAGATTTAGAGATACATGATCAGAACTTCTATTTCTGAAGTGAATTTAATCAATCTACATCTCTTAAATTAGGCCTGAAGCGCCCGTCACGATCAACATGGGGTTTGAAATGCCATCTTGGTTTGATATTCGATCCCTGGACAAAAATGATGGAAATGAAGACGAGCAAGGAGTTAAAAATGCGTCGCAAGATATTGTAAAAATGATTGATGACGAGGTCTGCACCCCAACTAAACTAATAACGATGACCACTAACCCACTATTTTAACGTTAGTGAAGTTAATTAATATTGTTAACGGTTTAATTTAGATCAAAGCCGGAATTCCAGCGGATCGAATCCTTCTCGGTGGATTCTCGCAAGGAGCAGCCTTATCTTTGTACACAGGACTCACTGGACCTCACTCATTGGCCGGACTGGTCATTCTATCCGGCTATCTTCCCGTTCGCAAAACAATTTCATGGGACAAGATCAACAAGCCACCAGTTCTACAATGCCACGGCGATGCTGACACCGTAGTTCATTACGAGGTGGGCGTCGGAACTTCTAAAATGCTCCAAGAATTGGGAAAACTTCCCAATTTTACTTTCAAGACGTATGAAAACTTGCAACATTCCTCGTCCCCGAGAGAAATGAGGGACGTGCAAAATTTTATTAAAGAAAAATTACCATAATTCAGATTCATAGCAAAAAAATCTTTTGGACTCAGAGTAATTTTTTTTCGATGAAATTGTAGTAAAAAAGAGATTCATGTTTTTTTGGAACAATGAATAAGCCGTAATTTTTTGTAAAGCAAAAGCGGATTTGCATAAAACCATAAAGAACATGGTTAATGTACATACTTTACATGTTGTAGTCGTTTCATAATCCGGTGTTTATGAGTCCTATGGAATTTGGGATCTGTCGGCTGCAAATCTCGATTTACATTGACACTAAAGCTGTCCTCTGGATTAAAAAAAAATACAATCGTTAGAGCATGACATAAGATCTGCAATAAATATAAATCAACACACCAGGTAATACTGTTTCCGTCCAGATGCGACAGATCTTGTCCAAACAACCCGTTATCAAACAGTTGAACACGGCTCCCCTGATAATAAAATTGCATACCATTAGAGAAAGCAACACTCATGTTTACGCAACCACAACCACAGCATATACTTATACGTACAATGTAGCTGTTGTGTTAGCGAGTGAGAGAGAAAGACTACTACTAAATATCACTCTAGGATTCGAATCAATCATTTCTCTCTTCACTAAACAAGCAAGAAATGTTTAGTTTACTTTGGAGAACTCACTTGGGCATATATTTACTCGTCTGACGCCACGAAAATCCAGTCACGGCTCTCGGGTGGGGCAAATAAACGAAATCGTACGATATTTTCTCTGGAGTTGGAGAAAGTCCTGTGAAATGAAAGGAGTAGATATATATGTGCATATTTAGGGTAATGGAGCTTGTGCTGCATCCGATTTCATGGTATATAAGGCAGACTTCTCACGTATCAAATTATTTGGCAAACTTGTTTGTATAAGTTTGCAAACAACTTATACTTTCCAGTATAAACTGGTATAAACCTCGTCATTAAAATAATTATAATACTTACGTGACATTGGATACCAAACTTTGACGAGTCGATCAAACTTTCCAGCCGTGGCAAAAAGACAGGAATCCGGTGAAAACCCAAGAAAATGAACTTCCGTCGCCTACATATATATGCAACAATAGTTGTTAACAATGTACTTTATAATTTATGATTGACGAAATTATCCTATGATAAAGGATAAACTTACCGTCGCACATTTCCATATACACTCCCAATGGATGTCCCCATTGTTGTTACCTCCATAATAATTTGCCTTCTGGTTGGGCGAATCGCCAACAATGACGCCAAATTTTCGGGATAATTTCCACATTTGGAGAGACGTGCCCCCCATGAGGAGACGGTAACCTTCTTGATCCCATGATAGCGAATTTACTCTGCATTCACACTCTAGCACAGATGTTTCTTGCCAGCGGTAGTTGAAGAGCTAAATTAAATTAATTAGTTACAGTTTTTCCACGAACGAAGGAAAAGGTTAAAGGTTAAAATACGAACCGGATTTGGATGATTTAAATCCTTGTTGAGGACAGGTTCAAAGATTTTAATCTTGTTTTGATACGCTGCGGCAATTTTCCCAGATTCTGACGAGCAGTGGACACAGCTTATTTGCACATCGCCTGGGATAATTTGCACCCGTTGGAAATCAAAAGATAGAATGACGAGTTTGCATCCAGAAGCATATGCCTATAGGAAAATAAGCACAAATCGAAATAATTTTAGATTTACTGCATAACCATACGGAATAAAATTCTTGGAGAACCCACCAGAAAAGAGATACTGTCAATATTTCCCATGCAGAAGGAGCGGTCACCAGAGTTGACAGCTCCGGTTAAAATTTGATGACACCCACTCATTTTGACGCCTTTTTGTTGTTGGTCACGCTTGATAAATTTTAAATGGAAAGGATTATCACTTTATCTTCATGACGTCGCATTAACCGTTCATAGTCCTTCCTTCTCTGGGTCGATAGTCTTTATTACCTATTTATAATTATTTATAATTTGTGATTAAACGTTTTGAAATATATATTTTATTTTTGCAATTCTAAAGAACAAATTACCTGAGCCTGAGTGATGAGATCAGCTTGTTCCACTATCTCTAATTTTGTTTTGACGTAATCGTATTCTTTCTTTCAAAGTCAAAATATGACTGGAATCAATCAACCGAACATGTGATTAATTACAAAATTAATTAAACTGAATTATCAGACAGTTAGTATTTTTCCACTCTGTTAATTCGAGTAGATCCACACACAACTACGGGGAGTAATACGACACCAATTAGCTTAAACTATGTCATTTTAACTATATTTACGTCAAGTCTTGTTGTTCCGTGTCCGTAGCAGAAGCAGAGTTTTCTAAAACTGCAACATTTTGGTGAGAAGTTGGTGGTTGGTGGTGGTGGTGAAAGTCCGAGTGTCAAATTCCCCGGAAAGACAAGGTGTGGCTTTCTGCTTTCTCCCTCCAAATTAAAACCACTTCGCTCCACTAAATTTCTTCGGCCCGTCTGCCGTGTAAACAAACTCTGGCCAACTTTCACTCTGTTTTTGGAGGGAGTGAGAGAGATAAGCGACGACAAATACAGTGTTATCGGTCGGTATCTTATCTTAATCCACTTACTTTTTGCATTTGAATGTCGATGAAAGAAGATGCCTTTTTACTTTCCAAAGAAAACGGCAGACACTATTGTTAATTTGGTAAGTGTATTGTTGTTGAACTTGGAGTGTGGAATGGAATTTTGCGAGTTGAAACTAGACTGTAAATCTGTTCGGCTAACTAATTGGTGATAAATTATCGTGCACGAGCGTTGTGTCTTCCAAGATTTCCTTTTATACAGCAGCAAAACAAAATGTACAAAATTATAAGAACTGTTCTCCCCATTTTGAAGAATCAAATGTAATTTTCTGAGATGTAGGAACAATTATTGTTTGATAGGATTTTAGAATGTGAAGAAACTATTGTTGTTGTTTTAGGTTTGATGGGTAAATGCAGTTTAAAATCATTTAAAACACTGTTGCTCAGTTTTCAGAGACGAGTTAGGGTTAAAAATTTATCTCTTAAGACATAAGAGTGTGACTGTCTAGTCAGTATTTTATATTTGTCCAGACATGACATGGTCCGGTCCGGACTTGAGGCTATTTTCTCAACTAACCACTTGCATACTAACTGTACATACATTTACGTCAGTTCCAGTTGCTTATTCTGTTTACATGTAAAAGTACAAAGGGCTACACCAAATACAATGCAATCCATTTAAGTAAAGTTTGTTTACCAGTCCAGTTTATCGCATTTTGTTCAGTTCATTATATTTGTTGTCTTTTATTGACTGATTTATCCTCCCTTCTTTCTATTAAAGAAATGCTACAAAGTACAAAGTTATTATTACATAAACTTACTGTATGAGTCATATAATATGATTCCTTTTTATGCCTCAATGCATTTTTATCTCACAATTCCATGAAAATGGGATAGAAATGTGAGACACCTAATTACAGCGTTATTAAATCAAGTTAAAAATATCTTTTCAGTTTTGTCTTATCCTCATCGCAATCGTTTGGGGACACGTCATTTACACGGGACGAGTTCTCAATAAGCGCTTCGCCTCGGGAAAATTGACGGTTCAGGAAGTCGAGCTCTAATACGGATTAATAAAATTTTCAATAAGCATGGCTGACAATTATCTTGCACAAATTCAGGTTCGTCAAGTTTGCAAAAGTTAGGATCCTATGAGAAAACTAATCATGATTGATGATTGTTAATATCAATTGCAGGACCGTTTCCGTTCTATTCATAGCTTAGTGATTGATGTTGCAGATGTGCACACCAAAAATGGCAACGGTATCACAGCTGTTACTAAAATTCACGAGAAAGCTCGACGCGATGACAAAATTACTGTTGCAAATAAAGTATGAGTGCCTCACATTTTGCAAATTAGCTTCATGTAGCCCAAATCAATAACTTGCTATTGTCAATAGTTTTTTTTTCAAAAGTCATTGCTCTGACAAAAGCTCTGGCTAAAACGTTTTTGTAAAATTATTAACTTTTATTGCAAAATTTCCAGCAAAAATTAAAAAATCTGTATGCCACAACCATTTCTGAAGCCGAGGGTGAGGAACAACTCATCAGAAAAGCATTGGAAAAAGTATATGAAATTCGCTCCATCAAGAATGATAGACGCATTCAAGCGAAATCCTCCGGAAATAAGGAAACGATCAGAAGAGGAGCATTAATGAAAGCTTTGCAAACATCAGCACAAACTTTACCCTTATGGATTGGCAAGCCTGGCGAAAAACCTCCCCCATTATGTGGAAGCATAGCACCGGATGCTAACTACGTTTCTAAATTTGGTGACATGGTTGCCGCTCTACAGCGCAGTCCGGAAGGCGACGAAAACTGGATTCTCGCCGAAGTTGTCAGTTATAATGGATCCACACAGAAATATGAGGTCGATGATATCGACGAAGAGCAGAAAGAGAGATTAGCCCTGAGCAAGAGACGCGTCACGCCGTTGCCCTTGATGAGGTAAGACGTATGCATCTTATTAAATACTTTATCCAGAACAACGTTAATGAATGCAACGGTTATGAAAATATATTTAATACAAATCAACGTAACTTACAGAGCCAATCCTGAAACGGATCCCGATGCTTTATACCCGAAAGATACGATTGGTGAGGAATTTGATATATTGCATTATCTAACTAAAAAATGAACTGGGTATAAACTAAGCCTTTACTATTGGGTCTATTTCACTATTTCAGTCATGGCGTTATATCCTCAAACAACTTGTTTCTACAAAGCCGTGGTCAACGTTCCCCCTCTGTTTCACAATGACGAGTATGAAGTGTTGTTTGAAGATTCGAGCTATTCCGAAGGATTCTCACCCCCTTTGAAAGTAGCTCAAAGATATGTTATTGCCATCAGGGACAAGAAAACTATCAAATAGAAAAAATACAATTTTATACACATATTTCAAATTACTATTTTTAGCTGTTTTATCTGTACCACGACATGCATAAATACTGAGGAGAGAGGATATTATCCTTGTAGCAGAATGTAAAAGTAGATAGAATTTATATCGGGCAACTACACCCACCTGTGTAATGTTGTTAGTTTTATACCGTTTTATGAAAATCATTAAAAGAAGCCTTCGACAAACAAAAATACATACATAGTTATTTCAAGTTTATATACACATTTTTTATTACAATGGTTCGCATATTCTTCTAACAAACTCACGATATCGTATCAGATTTACAATAGGATTTGCAAACAAGTATTTTTCGTACTAAATCTAAATGACTAATAATAATTTTATTCTGTCTCCAAAATCGGTTGCCCAATCCAACAGAACAATGATTCCTCTTATGTTTCCTTATATTTGTTCAATATTGATGCCTTAAATCCTCGATCGATGTAATCATTGGGCTTCTTGTCAGGTATGACTTCACCATAACCAGGTTCGCCAGGAAGGATTGCGGCCTTCGAGCGAATAATTCTCCATCCACTCTTAGAGTCCCATTTCTATAAGGTCAGAAGTATAAATCAAATGATTCAAATCGCTAATCACCAGTTAATTCAAATCGGACATTTACTAGAGAAATAAATCACTCACATTGTTATTATACTTAAACAAGTACCAAGTTGCCAGTACTCCAACGTAGATAAGTGCGGCCCTTCCAACATAGAATCGAGCAACTTTGGCAGGAACTTCTCCCTACAAATTTAGCAGTAAATTAAAATTACACCACATTAGCATTAGTTCTGTAGACAACAAAGGTTTCAAAGCTTACAATGAATGGCTGTAGGACACGATGAAACACAAAGTCCAAGGGATACCGGTAAAACCGTCGAATTGGATTGAACGCCTCGCTATGCAATTCTTTAATGTACTTTGGCTCGTTTGGCGACAGGATTTGATCTTTCAACCACTTTTTTCGCCATGCCCGTTCTTCTGGTGTCATTCCGGTAAGCCGTTCACGTTCTCGAACCATTCGCCCAGTGATGCTCATGGGCTTGACCCCGGCGGCCTGGTCATTAATAAATAATACATACATTATATTTAATTTCATCTTAAAATTAAAAACACATTTTTGTGAAGAACTAATAAACAAAGTATAAAGTTTAGAAAGTACCTGGTCCCCGGCCCCATCGATGGACTGACCCCCTGCCATGATGTTCTACTACAAAATAACCAACTTAATTTTTCTTAAGTCTCAAATTTCCACTAATTGTTTGGAAATTTAAAAATTCTAAAAAACATTTGTTTGATTTTACGGCAGTGTTGTAAAATAGAATTCAAACTTGATGTTGTTCGGACTCAACCACATGACTCTCCCAGCCGGGCGACCTGGGATTTCTTGAGTGAGTGAGGAGAATCAGAAAAACATTTTATTTTGCAAACTTTTCAATAATATTTAGTAAAATCAAAATCGTGAGTTTCAACATTTATAATATTTGTCAAAACGTAATATAGATTCTAGATTTGTATTTCCTTTGCATCCAGAGTTGGTGGCCCTGAAAATGTCGGTGACATCAAAGATTGCTGGAGTTGTCGTAAAAAAGGTAATTATGAATTATGATTTTTGAAAATTTTGAATTGCCCTGATTAATTACCTAATTTTGATTAAGTAATTTCGAAACAAAACTTAATTATGAATTAGCATATTAGGTCACATTAAATTTCAATTGGGCGTGCTTGTTTAACTGTTGTATTTACTAATTTCGTTGAATTGAATATTTTTTTATTAATTACAGACGACTGGGCTAACAGGTCTGGCCGTGGCGAAAAATCCACACCACGTGTTGGACGTGCTTTATGGAAAAACACTCCGAGCACTGCAAAAATTACCACAAGACGCGGCGTATAGAAAGTACACAGAGGAAATTATTAACAAACGCTACAATCTAGTCAAAACAGTAAGCATTTATTAACAGTATTTGATTTATAACATGATGAAGTAGGGAGTTCAATTACCTGCTTTATTTCGTTTAGGAAAAGGACGTTTTCGAATTGGAAAAAAAGATTGGATGTGGTCAAATTGAAGAAGTTATTGTCCAGGCTGAAAATGAGCTAACGTTGGCGAGAAAAATGGCAGAATGGAAGCCGTGGGAGACACTTAAAGATACACCACCCCCAACTCAGTGGAAGTGGCCGATGTAACTAATTAATTAGTCCAATTGTTAAATTTTTAGACGTTATTATCATGTCATAGAAATAAATGAGAGCAATACTGTAGATTCGACCCGTATAAAGATACCTCAAATGTTCATTTACAAAATAAGAAGCAGGCAAAATAAAACAATGCTTTGAAATTATTCTTTGCTCGCTGTAATATTTTTCATGGGACAGTTAATTTCAGATCAACTGTGGTGTTAATCATCCTGATTAATGTTGCATGTAGCAGAATTGGAACAATACATCACCATTTTTTTTCATTTTCATTGCTGTAAAAATTGTACTGGAATTAAAACATAATTTTTTCCTTTATTTAACAAAATTCATACGATCTAACCAAAGGATACATACAAGTGACGAAGACGCTCATTAATAATTGATAATAAATAAAGTTATTCTACTTTATTCTAACAGGGATTTAAGTTACAAACTTGCATGTAATTAGAACGAGCAATTAACTTCTCCATATCATTTATAAATTAATTGTAACTTGTAAGTAACATCATCACATTTTGCACACTATTAAATTTGACTAGTTTATATTTATATATGTCAATTTCTGTCTATTCATGGGAGTAAAATAATGAGAAGCTTGTTTAACAATGATAATTTTGTAATCTGCATGTGCTCAGACTTTACAGTTTTCAGAAATCTTATTTTTATAGGTATTTTTATTTTTATTTTTTAATGTATGCACGTTACTAATCCAATTTATTTATAAACAATTGCATCCATCCAGCAAATCTCAGAAATGGTTTCAGAAAATATTTTCAAAACTGTTCTACTCTGGAAATAGAGAAAGTCGAGAAGAGAAAGTTGAAATGCACGCTAATCATCATTGCTAAATAAATAAAATGTTCACGACAGGATGGAAATGTCGTGATGGTTTGACATATCCACCAAATATTCGTTTCATTGCAGCATCTATTTTAATCATTATAACGAAGTGAAAGTGCACACTATTTCGCTAACACAAAAATTGCCAATTACTTAAAACATTGGAAATGTTTATAGTTATCGGATTGCAGATTTCTCCGTACTCGTGAAAACTACCAGAGAAAGCAGAAAGTTGAATGTGTATGCAATTTCCTCACATAAATGAACATTACAAGAATTACAATAAAAATAATTAGTCTACAATCCTCCAGACCTTCGGCAGGTCTCAAAATGCCTCTTCTTCCTCAGAACGTGAGCCTCGTCGTTTCATCAACATCGCCTTATTGGATAACAACAAATTGACAATTATATAGGCTAAATAGTTACGTATACATAGTAGGCGGACTGGATGAATAAGGGACTTATCCTTATAATTCAACTTGAAAAGTTACATTTTCCTACTTAATTTTGATATTTTTCGTAGTACATTTTAATACTCATCTACTGACAACTGATCTACATACATGTTTTACTAGATATACCAGAATAATACATAATTAATATTTTGTTAATAATCTACATGTACAGTCTAACCGTAAAATTTTGAAAATATACCTGCAATTCATATGTACACTAGTTAAATAAAGTACAGAGTACAAACAAGATTAGGATGATAATGTTAACGCCTTTTTCTGTAGAATCATGGAGATTGATACATATTTGCCCGTCGTAAATGTCATGCTGCAATAATTTACATATGCATGAGTCAAAATCTTGCAATTGACCAGGTAAAAAAAAGTTTATCAGTGTGAAACCGTCTGATTTTTCGCAATATGCATTAACTGAATAACATCAAAACTAAGCAGGACAGGAAATTATGAAATGTTTCATATCACGCACGGCCCGGACTGATTAATTTGATCCAGATAAAATTATTCCTCCGGAAATTAACATGAAACTACTTCCAAGAATTAAACAAGATTAATGTCCTCTTTAATCAGTGCAACAGGTCATTTTTGTGATACACATTACGTAAATTAGTGTTTTGTATGTTCTCATAAAATAATAAGTCCATTTCATTTCCATAATTTCGTTCTCCATTCGATTTTAACCGAGACCGAATTCATACGCGTTTCTCGCCGGATTCATTTGACTTTTGTAGATTGATTCCAATTCGGAAGGTTGTTGGACGAAATGAAGCATATTCCGATTCCTGGGACGAGATCCGATAAATGAGGCTGGTCTCCAACGAAGAATTCCTTTCGGTTCTGTGGGCAAACAAGAAAAATTGTGTTACATATTTTTTTGCTAATTTTTTAGACCAAATTTTGCACATAAACATTTATTTTACATAATCTCGTCAAGTCACGAATGTGAGGATTTAGTTGTGATGCAATTATTCCAAACCAGGAAACGTGACTTTATCCGAAAAGTCTCACTGCCCACACCTTCCCACGACCCTCTCTTTCTCCCAATTGCATCATATTTAACTCCATTCGATTGAACTTGACTTTCGATTTGGCACGAACGCGCAGATCTGATTATATAATTCTTCATGAAATAATTAACAACTAATTCATCCCGAAACACATATTACACAAACTGAGCAGTTTTGAGTTTGTGATGATTAGTGACGAAGGCACATTTACTTCAATTTCAAATTAGTTCAATGCAATCTATTTTGTAAATATGCTGTAATCAATGTTGAGATGAGATGAGACGTGGGCGCAATTAGTCACGTATCTGTTTCACCTAATTATTTAGACTTGTCTAAGCATTAGAGTTGAAGAGGATTTGACACACTTTGTCCTAATTTGTACTTTATCAATCGAAAGAGAAAGTTAATACATAAAATAAAGCCGACTTTCTCCACCTCACATACAGATTTTCTATAGAGCTGAGAATCTAATTTGCTAAATCTAACTCAGATATGATTTTTACGCTACGTTTTAACCCTAGACGTATCCCTGAATTTGTAACAAGCTATGTATGCATGCAGTCCTCCTCATATCGCATCTCGCTATTTAATTTAGATTTACATAATTCTCAATTTATATCCAACAAGATGAGATACATTATCCTAATTTCTGTTACCAAACCATGCATGTTTTCCACGTTCGCCTTATTTCTAATAAATAAGTAAGTCACTAATCTTATCAATCCCATGCTGTGTCATGCGGGCCTTTTTGTTTCTTAGTTTAGGATTAGCTAGCTCCACATGCCTACTTATTTCCATTTACCTACACAGTCTGTAACATAAACATAATATTCGCAATATGAAGATGAAACAAAAAAGAATAGGAAAAGTTCCCAGCTTGTGAAGAAGCCAAGTCTCACCCACCAACCACGACCCAACTACGTCTGTAATTATATAATTGATCTCATAGCAAAAAGATAATGCACAAGATCGTCCACGTGAAATAACCTTTCCCCACATTTTCTATCCGAAAACCACGTCCAAGCCACCAAGTAGCCGGAGGAGGAAGCAGAGGAAATGACAGCCCCATTACTTTCACTTTAACAAGGGGTCTAATTATGTATATGCTTATCTTCCTTTCCTACCTACTTCAACTTTGTAATAAAAACAAGTATTTCAGGCGAGATGATAAATAACCATCACGTACGTACGCGGTACTTATTACTTCGTGCACCTGTTGTTATTTCAAAGACGCTCCCTCCCCATCAACCAAGCATTATCTACCTACGCGCGTGTACGGGAAGCTAAACATGATTCAATTAACTAGCATGTAGTTCAGATCTTGTCAATTTTTTAACAAAATATTTATACTATAGCTTTTTCCTCGTAGAAGACGACGTGAGTAACGATGCCGTACATATGTACATACGCTTCTTCTCCGTAGGGGGTTTGTACATAATTGACGACGGGATTAAGTACACCTAGGCATTGTCGTCAGTATGTACTCCGGGTTATGCACTAAGGCCCGTTATGACGAACTTCAGCCTATCAGCCATTGTTCAAAGTCCGGCCTATTTATAAATTATGTGAGTATCTACGTAAAGATATCCACCTTTACGAATACACGTGCCGTGTAATTTTTATTTTTGCACATGAAAAAGATCATCTACACAACTCTCATCGTAATCTTAAGTAAGCATTAAGTGGGATGAATTAGTGATAACTTTATGTCGTCATTCACTCGTCTGTCTGTATTTCTGAGAAAATTCCAGACAAAATTCTGCAGACCGTGAAGAATAGCATACATATTGCTCTTCTACCTATAAATTTAGAACCTACCTATTTTTACAATTTCTCTTGAACTTGTATTTATGCATTTGTAATAAACTCTTATTTTTAACCCGAAAAACTTGCAGTGCTTTCTTATGTCATTCCTTCAAGTTTTCTCTGTTAAAAAACTTTTCTTTTATCAAACTTGTTTAAATTCCTTTCATTGAAAATGCTTATTATATTGATGAAAATAAATATGTAGGTATCATCAAATAACAGTGTACCCAATCAGAATATAAATAATTTAGTTGACAAGTAGGGATGAGTATAATTTGTTTTGTAGAAAAGTTCAATGTTCAAACGCGTACGTGCCAGAAATTGGAAAGTAATGAAGAACAAGCTATCGCCATATGACAACGTTGTGATATTTGACATCACATTTCGACGACTTGCTTGCTAGTAGGTGGTACTAAAAATACATAGAAATCTCGTAATAGTTTGGATGATTTACACACGATACGAGGAGGAAGGGGTGAAAATCACCAATTTGCGTTAATTGTATATTTTATGACCTATCCTAAATCGCAGACAAATTATAAAGTCCTGTCTAATTAGTCTATTAAGACTAATTAGCATTTAGCATAAGATTTTAAGCAAATTTAGCAAATATAATATATCTTGATTTGCTGCATTTCTTCATAATTCAATTTGGGTTTCAATAAAGCTTTGTCTAACTTAGTTTTTATGGCAAAAAACATACGAGCGACATCTAGCATGTGCATCTATTTTTTAGCTAATAAAAATAAAAACAACCTGGTATTTATAAATTCAATCAGAAGAAATACAGAATTAAAAAAAAATATTGCTTTTAATTTTTGCTGCAACTACGAACTACCTTATCGAATTTAAATCACACTCACCAAAAATGAGATGGGAACTCCCTGCCCTTCCAACATACTTTTCATTTGATGATTTCGACATTGCTTTGTAAATATTTCATTTCAACTTACTAACTAGTATTTAACTTGATTATTCATTAACTATTTAAATCTGTGTGAATAGTAATGTCGAAGAGGAAACTGGGATGAGCAGGGCTCATCTCACGGAGACTCCGTCTTCCCCCCAGCTCGAAAATATTGATATCGCCGGAATTAACAATGACAACGGGGGTAATGTTTCTCAAGGGGGAGGGATAGCTCAACCTCAACCACGTCAACCAGTCCCTGAACCTATCGCCCCTCGTCGTGGTCGTGGTCGTCTACTACCAAGACAATCCACAGACCAGCCAAACAAGAAATTTCAAGAATACATGAAAACATTGAGTGAGCGAATTGTTAAGGTGGGGGGTTTAATAATTATTAAAAAAATTTTAATTGAGTGATTAAAAATACATGCTAATAATTAGCATGTATTAATTATTAATTAAAATAATTATTTTTAGGAGCGCCAACAGAAGGAAACCCAGGAACAAAAAGAGCTTTTAAGTCTTTTAGCAGCTGCAAAAGCTCGATATTTTAAATTGAAAAGGGAACATGAACTACTTGTACAAAAAGCAGATTCTCTTGGTTTTGGACCTATTGCTCGACAACTTGGGATTGACAAATTATCAAAAGAAGGGGAACGTGTGCTCCAAGAATATATTAAAAAATAACTTATTCTTGGTTTTATTTTGTGTCATTTTATGAAATGATTTTTAAATGTTCTTGTCATAATTTGGTGCAATTGATGGTAATGATTTGATTATAATTTTATCTTTTTATCAAATGCCATCATTAAATGTATGCAACTTACCCGAAATAAACTGGGGATCATTTCCAGAGCTGGGCAGAATTTCACCGTTCAAGCCAAATCCCAAAGATTCAAAGTCATTTTCATCAAATTCGTCTTCGTCTGAGACAAATTCTTCCCCATCTGTCATCGATTCCAGATTCCCCTTTAAGTGGTCGAGAAATTGGGGCATGTTAAATACACCTAAGGAAAAAAAGTTTCGAAATTAGACATTATTTTCCCCCGATAGATATTTCTTCCAACAAGTCTTCTAAATAAACACTTATTTATTTAGTAAAGTTGGTGTTTGGCCAATCTTGCCAGAAAATGTAAGGTTTCGCTAAACTTTGTTACACAAAAAATGCGATCTATATAGTCGCCCATGCTTTGTACGTGGAGAAAGTTGTAAAGCCATACAAGGTGCGTGGTTGTCGGGTTCATAGAAATATGAACCTATCGTCTCAGATTACAAGTACCTCACTCAATGTTTACGCGACAAACAAATTAAAGCCAAACCACGTAAGTTTTTCGCCAAATGTGAGATCTTAGATGTACTAATCGCTTCGGTATACACCTATTCATCTCAGGTTACTAAACCTAGCAGCACATTTCTAAGACATCTCCTCCTCCGCCACGACCATGACCAACGCTGGGAGTCTGAAGAAGTTGACTCAACTGGACAGAAGAACAATAATGGAACAAAATATATTTAATCCGCGTGGGACGATGGTTCCGAATTTGCAGATTTCCTCCTCTCCTTTTCCCCGATTCGGTTATATCAAAGGGAATGAAACGTGATTAATATTTCTTCCAATTTATAAAAATCATATAACGCATCACTAAACTATGTATTATGGAGCAAGTACTCATCAAAATTATTTTCTTTCAGTGAGTAGGTCGGAGGTCGGAAAAAAATAACAACGTCATCGCCCCACATTTAAGCGTGACGCACCCCAAATTTCACTTTCTCTACGAAAACAACAACAACGCAAGTCGTACTGTACTGCTTTTTCAGTCGGAAATTGGGCCAGAAACCATATCCAAATCCAACAAGCTGTAAATCCCAGCAATTTCCCCCTCGCCCCTCCAAGGGAAATCAGTCCAGTAGGAGTTCAAACGACCAGAAGAAGAAGACAACGAGGATGAGAAGAAGATCATAACGCTTCCGGCTAAACACAACATAATCAATGATCAACGAGTGGGGTTTTCTCGTTTTATTAAATGTTTTCCTTGATCTGATTCCCATTTCGGAATTTTATATGTACGACGATCGGTTTGCATAGGCTGCTGATTTCTTCTTGGAATCCTAGAATCCTCCAAAGGGAAAAGGGAAAATCACTGATGTACAAGCTCAACCCACATTTTTATCCAAATTACCCCCTCGTCATCCATCCAACTGGTTGACGCAGCAAGTAAGTAAAATAGCAGCGATAACCAATAATATGTTCACATTGCATTTTACTACGCACAATAATAACACGGAAATACACACACATTATCATCATCCCAAAATACGAGAGGAGCAATAATGAATGGAACATATAGATATGTAAAGTGAGGGACATATTTATAGAAATCCAATCAGTCCATCGAAATATCAGGATACCGCAAGACTGCAGATTTCGATTATTTGTGCCCCACTTTTCCTGGAGAAAGTGGTCGTCTAATTTTATGAGTATGATGAGACAAAAATATTTCAGCTCGATAAACGGGACAGGAATGGGAGGAAGGATTTTGAACATCATTCTGGGTAGTAATAATCCAAAGTTATGCATATGTACATACTCTAGATTGCAGTTTAAGCAAGTGTGACACAGAGTTATTGGACAAGAGGGGACAGAATTAATCATACATTATTATCATCCCCGTGTGTTTGCACGAGTTGGACATTTTCTCTCTGTGCGTCTTCATCCAGTGGTTTGTTTAATGGGACATTTCTCAAGGTTAGGTAATCCTGTCCCTTAAGTAGTTGGCCAGTTATGCAAGCAAGATTGTGCACTGTGCACACATTCAAAGGTTCTACTGCAAAGATACATACCAAAATTCAGTATATATCTTAAAAACGTATCCTCTAAAATACATCTAAATGGTACTAACTTTAACAATTTATACGAATTATTTCGCATCAAACTCTACCAATGAAGTCACAATCTGCACATAACTGGACCAGGTCAACTCACGAGATACGAAATCTCACCCAACCATGCATGCATATTCTTCTGATTTTGATTATGTACGAAAACTAGACGACAAAAGTGAGTGAGCTAGCTTAAATAACGATTTATCACCTCTGTCAAATCTCTCTTTCGCCAAAACTGGCCATTAATACGCACCCACCTATTCATCGCTTTATTCCTCCCCATTCCATAAATTGGACGTAGCAGTGCATTATATTCCATGACTTTTCTCATCAGTTAGCATCACTAGGACGATCACTCATCACACAAATGACCGTGCCCATTCATACCCAAAAACCAGGTCGTCATCGTCCATAATATTATGTACAAAAGGTGAATCATTTCCAAATTCTGGGTTCGTATTCATCCGTAAATACTTCACGTTTCCTCGTGTTACGCTTGTTAATTATAAATGTGCATGAATTGCGTCTCTCAACTTCTACAGATGCGTATGTATGTAGTTCCATAAGCCCAGGTCGTAGGGAACCTTATTAAAAATAATGACACGTGGATATGTAGAATGGAGTGAAATTTTTGATCTTTTATGCCTGAATTTATATGTATGCACATGTATGTGTCAAGGAGAGGGAAAGGATTTCATTCATCATTGCTAATCATGCATAAAACAGAGTAAAGTTATTAAATTTGGTCACTCGCATGTCCATAGTTTTCACCTCATACATACTGATGTGATGACTGATACGTACTCCCACTCCCACACTCGACCGCATTCGACAGAGAAGGCGGTGCGGTGGAAGTAATAATAGTGTCAAGTGAAATTAGAAGTGAAACCATCAAAGTCAACTATTCACACAAGTCACGTTCGAAAAGGAAATTCATTCCAAAGCGAAACCAAGCCGTACACCGTTATTTAAAACTGAATCATATCGAGTACGAGGTTATTCGTTAGAATGAAATGAAACTGAATTACAAAGAAATTTGTTCATTCGTTCCTTCATATTGATGAATTTTGTACTTTCATTTTAATAACTTTATGAAATTCAATATCAATTTCAAAGTAATGTTTACTCCACCACGCTTTATGATTTCATTTCCAATCGAGATGTGATACGTTTAATATGTTTGAACCGACTGGCATCCGCCTCCGCACTCATAAATACTTTCATTTTGGGGACATATTTGTGCTCATTTTATCAATTGTTTCTACTTTCCCGTGTCGTTTTTTCCACGTTACTTATTTATGTGCTATGTACTTTGTCGAAAGGTTACGTCACGTCACAACAATTTTACGTACCTTTATTTGTTCGTACCCTCATTATTATTCCATAATTCTACACAATTTCTGACCCATATAGATAGTTTGTGTATGCCTTGTTATTTACCGTAATTGATTGAACTTTATTTTGCATCCAACTAAAGCCCACCTTTAACCCAGGTAGGTGTCGTCAAAGTAATTATATTTTATGTCCCGTACGTATGGCCAAGTTCATTATCATAAGGATTATTTATGCACGAGTTAAATGGGAGTAATTCATATCGTGACGTAGTTTTCATTAACTCCAACGGAATAATGTGACCCCGAGAGAGGAAATTGCTGCAGGAATTATGATACCACCAGAATTCAAGGTAAATATGTACATATGCAAGTTTGTCCCTCTGAAATATGTCAATTATTTCGGTTTTATCTGAGCGACAATGTGTCGTGGGTGTCGTCATTTCAAGACGAGGGTGGACACAGCACGTATAATCAAGTGAAATGTGGTCAAACTTTCGCTCCTTGACGCCACCGGATATTCCTGCTGGCATGAAACCTTGAATTTTACACCGAAATTTTGCAACATTCTTGACAATTTTTTGACAATTTCTTGACAATGACCATTTTTAAGGGGTGTTTAACTCGAAATGTGTCGCAAGAGTGGTCAAAGTAAGTATATGCTTTCTTCTTCTTTAGAAAATGACCCTTTTCGAGTTTATTTAACGTTGCACTACGAATTGACGCGATCGTGTGGGTTGAAGAAGAGTATGCGGTTCTCGGATGTTATCAGTGTATATTCGACATGCCAGTTTTTTGTATATATAAGCAAACCATAAATCCTTTGATAATAATAGCTGAGCAGTTTGCGTGCACCTGTGTTTAGCCAGTTCTCAGTAGGTATTAATTATTATCTAAATATTACACCCTTGATGATGCAAGTTTTGTATAGTGATGTTCAATTTTTATGATCGACAAGTGTGTGGGAGGAACCATTTAGCATGACACATTTCGCAACTGCATTCGTCACCTAATTTCTAAAATATCGTACTGATTTTGCTCCTTTGTTAGGCATCAATTTCGAATATATTACAATACAAGATGACACACAATACAATATTATGCGAATTTGACATTGAGAAATGAACTATTCCATTTTTGTCACAAAATTGAATTGAATGCAAAGTAAGTAACATGCACTGTGCAAAATGTGTGTAGCTCATCAAAAACCGATTTGTGCTGCACTAGCAAAATGTGACCATATACAAAGAAAAAAGAGAGAAGTGAAAGTCAACTTACGAGCACTAATGTACGGAGTGAAAGTAGGGTCTTGCTCGTCCAGATTCTCACTTTCCCCGGCAGCAGGAGCTCCACCACCACCCCCTCCGCCCATTCCAGGTGCCTCCTTGTGCACCAGCATTCTCGCGACGGGGCTGCCATATCCGGAAATCATGGTGTTCCCCACCCCCAGCGGGCGTGGTCCCAAGTTCCCCTCGTGGAATCGGGCTGCTCTCCCGTGTACCCGATTTTTCAGCGTGGGTGGATAAAAACCATGATCCGTGCTTCGGGAGACTCGCGACATTATTTCAGACGGGCGGAGAGAATGTTCTAGCAAAAAAATATACCACCAATTTTTACAAGATATGCAAATTTTCAGGAAATTTATGTAAACTTTCTCCTTACCACTGCTGTCCTCCTCCTGGAGACCGTTTCCTGCTTGCTGGCTGTCGACCGCGGTGGTGGTGGTGGTCACCTCGGGAGCTGGACTGGGTCGACAGGTCGCCGGCGTGATGTGCACTGCGAGGAGGAGGATGGAGGAGGTAACAATTAGGAGAAAGTCTAACCTAACCAATTTCTCGGAAGAAGTCATTTCAAGATTGATCAAGTCGTTTGTCTAGGAATATTTTGTCCCGTTGTTTGTTCTCCGTAAAAAGACGACGCCTTAATGAGCTTGGTATGAGATAAGAGATATTATTCGGAAGGGATGCCGTTTCAGTGGTGCGATCCTGATGGAGCGGAACTCTTTGACTTACTGGAGTGAGACGGGGGAAAGTCAAGAACAAAACTCTGCTGGGTTTGCTTCCTTGCCCAACTTTCTCCTCGTTTTATACATCCGCAACGTTTACCATGTTAAGCACGGTGACAAAATCCAATCCAACTCTGTAATGGAGGAGATGATGATGACAAGTTTCTCAAGTTTGCCCCATAGGACGGAAAGAGAAAGGCGATATTATATTGTATTATATTGTACGTACTTCTGGTGAAATAAATGGTGACGTGGGAGGAGGAGATGTGCGACAATGGGATACATTTAGTATATTCTTTTTCGTGGTATGCATATTGAGACAGACATCACAGAATTGTATGGATGGCTGGGCTGGATGTTCATATCGTGTAGGATATGAATTTGTTTCTTGAAATTTCATTGAAATTCCGACAATTGAAATTTCTATTCTATTCTATTTCGGTTTAATTATTATCTCGCATTTTGCATGGCTGTGTTTGCAGATAATCATTCCGTGGAGGTGTTTATGTTTGCATTCAATTAGCATACGTATCATCATCATTGTGGAAATCATGCGGGCTGCGTAATTAAATTAATCCAATGCGGGACGAGAAGATTGTTTTGTTGTGACAAGGTTTGAAATGTAAATTACTACATGGGTAAATTTGATAACGCATAAATGACAGATGCTATGCAAACAGTAATGCACATTATTGTGCAGATAAATTAATGGAACATTGACTAAATATCAAGCATACCTGAATTATATAATTATATAACTTAATGCGTTAAAAAATCATAATTGTTTGTGTTGTATGGTTATTTGGTAGAAAATGTGCATAGTCAACTGTGCATTAAATTATGGGGTAAAATGAAACATTGACTTTTCTCATAAGCTACAAAACTAATGTAACAACTAAACGTATGCGTGTATTGTGTTAGTATTTAAGAAATTAAATGTATCATACCCAATCTCAATAGGCTTCTAATCTGGGCAGTAGCATTAATATTTTTACCATGATTTGTCACACTTCACATTGCCAATTTCTACACTATGTAAATCAGATGTAGGTAATAAAAGTTTTTATAAAGTTTAACGACGTTAAACAAAATACGTATGAGAGAAATTGTTTGCAAATAAATACAGATAAAATGGAACACTGCTTCAACTTGAAACTTTTGAGTTGTACATAATTTCAATACATTATTAATAAAGTAGAAAAAAGAAAAAGGAGTACAGTCTAGTCTAGTCTACTTCACATTTACTTGTTATTTTTGAGCAATAAAATTTATAAAAAATAAATTAAACATAAAAAAGGGTGAATGAAATTGTAATTTTAGACTGATTCTCAATTTATCTTTTCTGATTTATTTTCTGATTCTGGACAAGTAAAAATAAAATATGTACGTGCAACCTTGAAATTTTAGTGCAATCTGATCTTGCATTCCTCCCCCTCCAACTCATTAATTCAGCATATTTAGGATGCAAACTAATTACACATCCTGTGACTAATTTCTACCAACGAAATTTCTACCATTTAGTAGAAACACGGTGTATAATCATCACTCAATCAAAAGTGAACGTCAATTCAGTTTAATTAACCTTCCATTCTTTATTGAAAGATTTTAATTTTCTCCTGATTCAAAGAAACGTTTCATTTCGTGGAACTTGTTATTACTTTGTTAATCTAATTATCAAAATACATTAGACAAGAGAGAAACTTGGGCCTCAAAACTTGACACAATTTTGACACTACTTTGAAATATTGTCATTTACGAGTTCAGAGAAATGCAATAATTAACAGTAATTATGAAACGTTAATTTAGTTTCTCATTCGAATTTACACCTTTAATAAAACCTGCCTACTTAAAACTTCTTCAAAATCTAACTCAAAATTTGCAATGCAACCTCCTCCTCCTCACTATTCTACAAACATTTGCACATTTATTTCGCACATTGTCTTCACCTTCACCACTACAATTTCATGAATGGTTAACATGCACAAGTTGACAAGCAAACTTTATTATTCCCCGAATGAAATGAGACGGGACAGAAGAATTTACTTCGTTTCATTCATTCGAACTCTATTTCTGGCTGAAATTCGTTCACTTGATGCACGGGAACAAAAAGACATTGGTGAGGTCCGTTTGATCGTGGGTGTGAGTGAGGGCATTGTAGTCGAAGTAATATCAAAGTAGCATAAAATATGTAGCATTTCTCCTCCTCATTCCGCCCGACGGTGTGGATTGTATCGCATTTTGTGTACAGGAGTGCATTCGCCTGCCTGCTTTCTCTCTCTTTTTATCCGCCGGAAAGAAATAGAAAAGCGAGAGAGAAAGAGAAAGAAAGCGAGTTCTTCTTCAGGTGAAAAGGGATTATGAACGAAATGAAAAGCATAAATTGTTCTTAGACCTTTTTAAGTGACTTTAGCAGCAAGGCGAGATCGCCCCATTTTTTCAATAAGCTAAAAAAATGAATGATTTATGAGTTAAAATATGACCCACCTGTGGCTCTCGGGTGGCATTTCGGAAGAAATATGTATGTACATATACCGCACCAAGATTCTTTTATTCATCAAGGAAAATGTCACAAGGATTGGAGGACGGATTAGTTGGGGCTTCTCTTTTACTGGCACGTACGTTAATTTCGCAATTATGGAACAAAACGAGGTTTGGTAAAGGTTTCCAATTTATTTATTATGTTGTATCACTGCATTATTGTGAATAAGATTATGTACAGTCAAAGTAAGTTGAAAAGTTTAATTTAAGTCTTTAGTTTAGGTTTAATCATATATAAGAAACTTTGTAATTTGTAAATGCATCTTGTGTGTCATGTTAGTAAAAGTTTTACATACAAGTACACGGAAAAGTTGTGGTAATTAAAATTTCAGTCAGAATTTGTAAGTTATTTATTTATTTTTAAACCATAAACTCGATTTTGCAAATGAGTTCCAAATAATAATGAATTTGTTTACCATCAACCATCTTTTTCACTATTTTCATGCAGTAGCGTAATAATAGGTATGTAATTATGGAGTAAATAGTTTTTCAAGTGTTACAAAAACGAAAGTAAAATTCGTGCATTAAAATGCAGTAACTCTGAAAAGTTCAATTTGTCTAGTTAGTTTTGGACTGTTTCTTACTTATCTAAATATTTGGTATGTAAATTGGTGAATAATGAAATATTTTATTTAATAAGATACATAATTGCTTATCGAGTAGACAATTGGAGCAGCAAATTAGGCCAGGACTTGAGTACTGGTTGGTGTTTCATAAGATAATTGTGTAATATTGCAAAAGCAAACTACCAAATAGGAAACATTAGATTTCATAATTCGGTAAAAATTATGTAGGTTACAATTAGCTGTGTAAACTTAATACATATAAGAAATTTACATAAATGTCATAATTTTTGATCCATCGTAACTTTTCGATCTCATCTTCATCGTCGTCGTCGTCGCATCAATCCTGCCGCACGTTTCCCCAACCCAAGCTTCGTGTAAGACCAGGATGGACTGTAATTTGTGGCCATGGGTTTTCGAATGACAAAACTGTCAGGAAATATTGGGGGTGGTGGGTCCACAAATTTACGCAAGTTTGGTCCATGGTGGGAACTGTCCGAGTGGGAGGAGGACGAAGGGTTCCGAGTCCATTGGTGATATCTGGGGCGATCTGGACAAAGTTTCGAGTTTCTTATTGAAATTATATTTAGAAATCAAATACGTAAATCCCGAATAATGCCAAAAATTGTTACCCAGCCGGGAATCGAACCACGGCTCCCTTGAATTCATGTCAAGTGCTCTGACCTCTGAGCTACTAGGGCAATTAGTAACATTATAGGGACTTTTACTGAATTTTTTACTAAATTACTTTTACTAAATTATATTCATTTTCTGGTCAAAGTTTCCTGAAAATTTTACCAGAGTCAACGCCACCCCAATATTCTGACGGGTTGACATGTCTTCTCGAGTGCTGCCTATCATTCTGGAGGTGTTGGCGTCGTTCAGATGCGGTAACTTCGTCCATCTTACCATTGTCACCTTCCTCGTCTTCCTGCTCCTCCTCATAGTCAATTTCACCACCTCCACCAGAATATTCCGAGGACTGCAGGGCCTCCAAATTGTCTCGGAGATGTCTCAAGTATGCTTTCACGCTGCTCAGGGCACCTGCCAAATGACGTCATAAAAAATTTACCACATTAAAAATCGCACCTTTTGCTAAATCAAAGACGTCATCAGTCCATTTTTTTCGCTTTAGTTGAACTCATGACATTGAAAAATACGTACGTGTAAATTACACAATACTTTCAGTTAACTAATAATCTACCAGTCAAAGTTGTACATATTCCCACGAGAAAACGGGATTAGTTTGACGGCTGCAGATTATTTGTTTTCACATGAGGCGACAACACTACCACTCCTTGTTTATGCTCATTTCTACAAAAACCAGGAGTGCTCGCCCCCCTCACTTGACGTGCCGGATTTTCCCCCACTTTCGCTTTTCCCGTTTCCGCCAACACACAGAATCGTCTAGACACAGATGCAGAAAACAAGTATGAATCCACTGAACTTACGTGGGCCGATGTAGGGTACGAAAGTGGGCTTATCTTCATAGTCAAGCAGCATGCCCTCGTTCCCACCACCACCACCGCCACTTGTTGAGATCCCAGTGTTGACGTTGGCAAATGAGCGATCATTCATATTCCTTAAGTACATTTTCCTCTCGGAGGAGGAGGAACCCCCACTCCCCATAAATGTGAGACCAGGCAGCCTCAAAACCTCCGAGGATGACGGTGCAAAGTACGGCAGCGTGGGTACCGTTGGACCGCGGATGGGACGCTGAGTAAGATTTGGTCTTCCTTCTGGAACCAGGATTATTATTAGATAAAGCTTTTTTCAGTTTTTTATCCGACTTGGATGAGTACAATTTTGGTGTAAAAATCTACTGCAATTTTGTCCTGTAATTTTTTATGCATACAAACTTTTACGCACAAGTAGTTTCTTTTTAATCTGCTTAGGCAAACACGTCTTAATCCCTTCCGGTCCGTGCTATTCGTGTGCAAACATTTTGCTCTACATACGTCAAACCAGGACATAATTTGTCATGTGAATGATGTCACTCCTGTCCTTTCATAATTCAGTTAGCTACAACTTTTCAACGGGAGAAAGTCCTGTTAAACTAGAGTTTAACGAATACGTCGATAATTACATTTGGACATGATACATCGTACGTTAAGTAAGTTAAAGGTATTAGAATTGAGATCTAAAATCTAGTATAATCCAGTAATCTTCGATAGAACCCAGTTTTAATGCATCATTGCCAAAAAGAATTTGCAACAAAGTGCAAACACAAAATTAAGCTAATTCCTAAAAGCAACTCTTTAATTCTTAATAATCCAAAAGAAAACCTGCATTATTCATAAAATTTCTTTGTTTGCAAATAATATACAAAAAATCGCCTCTACTTCATTCATTTCACTCTCCACGTCATTTGCAACGCTATGCAAAAACAAGAGTGAGATCAAAGAGAATTATTTTCTCCCTGCCTTTTTTTCAATCGGGGAGAAAGCTCGGAGGCAAATATGCTATAAAAAGGAGTCGAGTGAAAAGATATAAGAATGTAATTTCATGAAAATTCCAGAGGGAATTGTGCCCCCAGTCCTGCCAGACGATCAGTCCGTCCACCAAGATTTCTTTTGTGTGGGTGGATGGATGGATTGGCTTGTTGCAGATTTTGATTTGATCCTTGACTTACCTGAGCTGATGAATGACGCTAAATGGGCCGACGTCCTCAGAGGTGACTGGATCAGAAGGGTGACACACACACATAGCAATAGAGCACAAGGAGACTCAATTATTTTCCCTCCTCCTCGTCGTCCTCGCCTCACTGATAAGATTGGTGGTGACAAAGTTATTGTTGACGACGAGGACGTATTTTCCATTTTGTAAAAATCTTCCTTCTCCTCGTCGGTTAAGATATTTTGGCAAAAATCTTTATCACATTTTTCAAATCCGGATAAATGCATGGCAAAAAAGTAGCGTGGATTTCTAATTATTGGGAAAAAACGTGTTTGCAGCCTGTTGCTTTCACTTCCGCTTGTCGTGCCTCAATTTCCGGGGGTGATTCTATATGCAGAATAATTTTGCCACGGGGAGCAGGGTAATTTATGGATTTATGTAAGACCACGATTTGCAAAAAGAAACCAAGTTATGTGTATATCGTGTTCGCTTCAAGCGGCGACAAAAAGGGAAAGAACGCTCGTCATTTTTCCCATATCGGGTCGCGATGCTGGCCAGTGTTGACTTGGTATTAAACTGGGGCAGACGGTGGCAAAACCCGGGTAGATATAGGACCATCAGGTAAGAAAGTAGGGAACTGGAAGGGTGAGTAAGTGAGTGAGATTTCTCGGGTCTGCCAGGTTCATCCTCCTCTGTGCTTGCTTGGTCCCGGCATCATCGTTTCCTTGTTCAGGTGAAAATCATTTAGCTAGTGAACAGAGTCGGCATTAGCGGAATGAATAAGATGATTAGGAAAAAGTAACTGAGCCCAAGCTTCCATTGTAGTGAAAGTCGGGGCAGAATTGTGGGCCTAAACTTTAGTCCTGGTGAAATTGGACTTTCTCCTCCCAGGTGGTACGTATACGGGAGGCAGGCAGCTTGATATTTAGACGGGAGGAAGATGATTATGATGCTCGCGGATTAAATATTATCGTCATTTCACCATTTTCTATTTCATTTTGCATGCAAGTATATTAATTTGGGAGTGGAGAGCTGGTCGGGCGGGGTATTATGGTGGAGATGATGTGGGTGGATTGCTGGCTAGCTTCTTGTCGCATCATAAAATAAAATGATGCAGATGAAAGTGTTTCGGGTGAAATGCGGAATAAAGGAGAGCAAGAAATTGTACGTATGTTCGCCTCTACATTCGTACAAATGTGTGTAATGCAATTATTGCCGTCATAAATAATTCGGAAATTTTAGGTAGAAGGGCAGAGCCACTGGGTAGAAAAGTGGTTGGTAGTTCAGTTGCATGACATTTCTCTTCTTCCTACTGAATTTGAATGATATCAATTTGCACGGATAATACTAGTGACCGGGTAAAAATGGAGATAATAATTATTCACTGCATTAGATGCAATTATGTAAATAGCGTCGATTTGCCATTTCATAAAAAAACATTTATTTGTTAATTTTTGGTAAAAGTAAATAACTTGTAAGCAAATAACGCCATAAGAATTATTAATCCGAGTTGATGAATTTAACAAGCAAAGGAGATGGCTCGGAAGGCAATAGTCTTGATTTAATGGAAAAATGAAAATTCTTTATCCGAATGATTTACAATTTCACTTTTATCCTGCTATTAATTCAACATTACATGGTTGCATGATATCACAATATCACGTGTACCAACCAAATTGTCGTCATCAGTGTTACGCAGTTTAATTGCGCCAAACATTTTGTATCCAGTAAAAAAAACACGGACCACTTATTTTTCTAGTTATCACAAGTATATACCAAAGCTATTTCCAGAACATATCACCTCAGGTGTAATCGCGTAACCTTCGGACCGACCGACTGAGTTTCTCTAAAAATATCAGTTTCATCCTCGCAAACTAAACTCTAGAAATGGAATTCGACAGACTGTTTTACATAATTTGTGAAATTCCCTCGAAACAATGAAGTGAATATTATCAATTTTATCAGATTTTAACATAATAGATCACTGGAATAGGTATTGTTCAGGCTTGTTGCATAATGGCGTGTGACTTCTGCTCAACTTTCTCGAGAGTTTTCAATTCGCCCCCACTTTGTCGTCTCCTCGTCTCGATTTCCTTTTGTTTCCTTTCATAATTTCATGAAATATTAAAATTATCTCGTAAATTTGGGATGAGCCAGGTATAGATCTTGGTCTTTGATATGTACGAGTAGACAATTCTCACACAAACGTTAAGCAGTCTGTCTAGTGCTGACTGCTGACCATGTCTATGTAAATACTGCTGTATGCAATCATGTATAGTATGCAACTCATTTTCTTTGAGTCACATACATAGAAGCAGGTTAGTTAGGGAAGTGCCTTAATTTCACCCGAGTACAGGATATCGGATGAAACGAATGCCATGAAATTAGCCTTACGTGTCAATGTCTGATTGAAATCAGTACTAATTTTGTGACTTGACAGAACAGAAATTATTTAACTTATACAAATATAAATACGCGACTTCTATTGTAAGTATTCAGTGCCATAAAATTATTTTTCTCATGTTGGTAATTAATTATCCTCTACGATTAGATAAAAAACTAAGGGAGACAGGTTTACTGGGACCTTATTCCTCATCAGTCACAAGTCGTTTAGATGAACTTTGCTAAGAAAACCAACTGCGTCAAGCATGCACAACTAGATATAAATGGATTTGAGTAAATATTCACAATCTTTTTTTGGAAAGAGTGAATATTTGCATTGAGAAAAATCAGACCAAAAATAGTCACAATATTGTTATTTTGCTCTCCACGACCACTTTCTCTCCTCCACCCACCACAAAAAGGGCGGAAGGGACTTTCTCCGTCTGTCTCGGAGTAATTTATGAGTCCCATTTGATTCTGCTCATTTGAACCATTCGCCTGTCGCCTTTTATTGAATAGAATGGCCTTTCTCTGGGGGCATCCCACCACCACCACCACGTCCGACCACACACATTCCAACCCAATGACCTGTTCGCTCCTCTCGTGACGAGGAAATCCCGTCACTGCTATGCGATGTAATAATATATACTCGAAATTGAAATCGTTACAGGCTTTGATTTACAACTTGTTCACATAACGAGACGCTCCATTTTTTCGGTGTACGTAATGTTCTTCTGAGAATGCATTATGTACACGTTCACTTTATGAAGTATCTTCTGGATTACATAGTTCTAAGAAAACGTGATAAATGGGACGAATGACAATTTACGGTTAAATTAAAAGTATTTCCTTCGAAGAAATAAATAATTGCGGTTTTCATAATATAATTCACAGAACCCTGTTCAAATAATCTGGTATACGCAGATTTCTCGGTATTAAATTTCCTACAACTTGGTATTAAAATTATACCAGGAGATACTACCGAGATGGTAAAATATTATCTAAAATATTTACTCTCGCAAATTTCTTTGCAAAAGTTTTTGCACAAATTCTGACTCATTCTTCCTACAACTATTGACTGGTGAACCGAGTCTCCCCTATTTTGATACCGTTGCACAACATGCGTGACGCTTGTCTTCATCCCGTTTCAACAAATTAGAATGAATTTCACATATTACTTACTGCACCCTTGCCGTGCGTATTGTGGGTGTGTAAGTTATTTATTACCGCTCCTTGGCTGGGTGAATATGCTTGAATTTGTCTAAAATAAATGGGTTGTTGGTTTGCCTCTGTGGCCAAAAAGTGCAATAAAAAAGCAAATGGAAGCTTTTACCAGGACGAAGGATACGTTATTATTCACGATAAGTGTATGAGTCTCACATTACGTGGAACGTCAGGCTGTCAGAGTCACTCCGAGTTTGAAGAATGGTCCAAGAAGATGAATACCAACAAAAAAGAGGCAAAGAACACCACCAAATATCATTATTACCCAGAGATATGCACATCTTCCTGGAAATTGGTAAAATAAGAAATAAATAAGCGCGGATCTCATCACTTTCTCCTCACACGACGGACCAGATTTGTGGAGAAAGTCGTCTAAAAATGAACGCTCTAGGAGTAGGCGTTCCTTCCGAATGTGTGAAACTGAGGCGAGCAATTTATCATTTTGAGTGTAACGATATATTTTCTAGGAATTTTTACAGAAATCTGGAAATGTAATGGAGCAGAAAGCACAAACCACCCACTTGTGTAAAATGGCTCTTGTTGTGGGTTTTTAGAGAAGAAGAGCATTTGTCTAGAGATGGACTTATGTTCTCATAAAATATTAGTGCTCACACTCGGAATGGAGATTTATTTTGTGTCAATCTCCTGAACAGAGTGTCATTGTCTCGTCCTCTGGGATGGAGGAAGGGGTCAAGTGCAACTGTCGACGTCATGTTGTATTTACCTATTAATGATCCCTCCCCCGTTGTAACACTGTTTCGAGAAACTTGTTCCTGTCAGATATTGTATTACATTCGTCAAGCGTACAAAATAATTAGAATACGGCACATGGAAAGATATGCCGGATTTTGATTGCTTGTTTACGTACTCTGAAGTTCATGAAAAAAAGGAGACTATTTCCGTGCATATTCCGTTTCATACGGTCGACGTCCACGAGAGCATAATTAAAGACGGCTACTACGTATAAATATAATCCGTCCTCTGGATCTCCTTGAAACGTGTCATTTTTGTTGGCTTATAGTTTCTAATAAAAGTAGATTTTATTGTGACCAGATAGACTTATTCGATAACGTAGGGGCAGAAAAAGTGGTAACTTTCTGGAAGTTTGCAGACTTCGATAAACTAAATGTTGTGGGAGGAGTTCAATTATAATTTCCATAATTTTTCCACTTTTAGGTAAACTTCGAACCCGAATAAGAAAAAAGAAACAAGTAAATATAAATTCAAGTAAGGAATTAGATTCTACAAGGTTGATTATTTTGTTGTCAGTACACAAAATACAATGCAGAATACAGAAATAATACTGGTTTACTGCCACCCCTCTGCATGATCCAAATTCATCACGACGCCACCAGAAGAACAATCAAATTAGAAATCAGGGCACCGAGTCCATAAGTGCATGCAGCATGCGTCATTTCTTCGTCGGATACAATTTCCCTCGCGTCGCCAAATTGTCGTCGCCAAATCCAAATTGACATTACCCGGACTAAAATAAAACTCGGCCCACCTCTCCCTAATCAAGTTCCGTTCCATTCCATCCTCTTCCACGAAATGGTACATCCATAATCAGCCAAAGTTCATGTCCCGACCCAAATTTCCTCAGAATTTCCATAAAAATTACGATGGTCTGGCTGGTCATTCGTACCATTTAACTTTCACCGGATGTCGGAACACGTATGGATAATTCCCTCGCGGAGATTTTCCCGGAAACGGAGCCAGTGGATTAAATCAGGTAGTGACAGCATTAACCAGATTGCCATTTTTTTTCCTACTCCCGAGGAAGTAAATTGACTTTCCTCGTAACCCGATTTAATCTGGAGACTGATGACAGTTAACTTTTTAATGGAATGAGCTCCACTGGGAGGGTCGTTCCATAATTGTAAATGTCATACGTGTGGCGAGGCGTGGGGTGGGTGCCTTGTATCTTTTGTCTCCAATTTTGGCCACCTTTTAGCACAACATGGGCGTAATTAAATGGGACAAACTTAATTAACAATTCGCCCTAATGGCGATGGTTTCGCTCCGATTTCAGTTTTAATCTTGTCGTGTTTACGAACTAATTGTTATGAAGTAGAAAAGCCTCCGACGGAATGTTTGGTTAAAAGAGAGAGAGATGATGATTATGTATTTAAATGGAAAAGTAGGGTTTGGTTGGACGGTGTATTGTTACACTAATTGATGAATGCGGTGTCCAGTGGGTCTGATGACGTGATTTCGAATTTCGGTTGAATTGTGGATACCAAGAATTGTGTATCTTTTTTTTTGTTCTACAACAAAAAAAGTCTTGGATTCGTTTCATTATGTAAGTTACATCGATCTCATCTTTAAGTAAGGTTTTATTTTTTACTTCATAAAAACGCACTTTTCGTCGCTAAACCGTTACAATTCTTACTGATAGAAATAATTATTATTGGAAACATGACTATAATTTACAAGTTATTTGAATCAATTAACAATATCACCACGTATTTATGTATACTACTCACATTTTGCTAAAAATAATATCACATTTTATATATAACACAATAGAATATACATACATAGAAGTTTAATATCTTATTACAAAAATTATAAGAAAATCTCAAAATTACGATTTCTTTAACTAGAATGGCACAAGAAATCGAACTTTCTAATTTCGATTCGTATGTAAGTGTCCATGCTCTGAATACGAAACGGTTACATTAAAATGAATCCTAATCCTACTTGAATACTTAAAATAATACTTTTCAACCATTAAAAATTTCTGGTTCTAAATTTTCTTTGTGTTGAGAAAGTCATCACTCAAATGAGACAGGGGAAGTCCTGAAAATTAATAAATATTACACTTTATCCACTCACTCAGCCGACACGGAAATCTTATTATATTCCATTTCCTAGTATCGTATCGTATCATGTGCATATTATTTTCATCTCAGATTCATACTCTTTCCCTTCCTCGGTCGGTTACCCGTTTTGGCGTGTATTCGTATTTCTACTCTTCTGGTGAAAGTGGACACTTCTCTTTCCCAGACCAAGATTCGTAAAGAGCCACGCAGGATTGTAGTTGTTTGCCTTCTTGTACTTGGGATCTCGACCCATGAATGCCAACATGTCGTCCGAACCGAACTGCCCTCCTCCTCCTCCTCCCCTCGTTTCTTGCGGATTTTCTACATAAATAATAATTAATTAATTAGCTTGATTTCGTCACCTTTTTGCTCATTACTTAAGTTGGTGGGGAAAGTGAGACATTCTCGGAATCTTTACCATCATCAGTGTCATATCGATAACCTCGACTGTCGACCGAGAGACGGCCATCAGACTGAAAGTAATCACCTCTTCTGGACGGCATGTCCATATGCGAGTGTTCCGCAGAGTCCGAAAATACATTCTCCACCGAGACGGAGGACGATGAATCATCCCCTTCCGAGCTGTCGTGGATGGCCTTTATGTTCTCGTGCAGATGTTCGAAAAACTTGGGAATGTTGCTCAGAATGCCTGCAAAAAAGGGAAAAAGGGCGAATGAACGGTGACTTATTAATGGGACGATGAGGACGACAATAACAATGCGTAGGTAGGTGTGGTAGGTATGTAAATGATGCTGGTGATCTCATGAATATTAAATTGGATTACGTTAATCCAGCGGGATCAGATTAAACCACAACATGATGAACTTGGGCATAGGTCAAGTATAGTCTTTTTTAAAAAATACGGACTAAATGCGTCGATAAATTTGTTGTGAATCTCAAATTAGAAAATTATGAAATTCGTATTATTATTTTGCTTTTTGGAAGAAATTTGCCAGCCAGACGGTGGAAGTCTGACTTTGACTCCCACGCTCGATACCTTCACATTAATCATGACAGCCACACAAGGACCAAAACATGGCATTCAGCTCATTGTGTCATAGTCGTTTCGTCACTTTCTGTATAATTGATTAAAAAGTTTTCCGTTTTGTGTAAATTGTTGTTTGTTATTTTGTTGGCAGTCTGCCTAAGAAAGAAGGAAAGTCGTGTAGAGAAATGTAATCTAGCAAAATCCAGATCAATGAACGAACCTGTTGCTTTTCTGTACCCACTTATCGTAAAGTTTTCTATGCCTCACTCCACACCTGTTGAGTTCGGTCTGGAGGATTGTGGGAACTGTGAGCATCTGGATACCCAATTTTTTTTCATGATCTTAAATACGTGCTGTAGTTTATGCAAATGTCAAGTGGTTAAAAGAAGTCAAGAAATTTACAGAAGCTGGCCTTGATCGTCGTGATTATGCACTTTTTTTTATGATACCCTGATTTTTCTTGCAGGAAAACAACGAAAAACCAGGAAATATTTATCTTCCTTACGTGATCCGATGTACGGGGTGAACGTGGGCGTTTGTGGATCATCTGCAGCAGCGAGATAATGTCCACCGTTTTCACTTTCCAATGACGGGATGATCGTTTGCATCTGATGGCTGGGGCGTCCCATCCGCCCGTGCATGGCGGCCACGGGGTACACGGCGTGGGAGAGGGGGCGAAGACTGAAGGTCACGTCGGACGAGTAGTGCGGCGTCGAGTGGAATTGGGAAATGTGGTTCATTTTGTGCTGGTAGGACGGCGATTTGATGGGGTACAAGGAAGTCAAAGGACTTTTAGGACGACTCGAGGGTGACGAATCGTCGTCATAATCGCCACTAGCAAAGTCGCCACTACTCCCGTCATCAGGACCACGAGAGACGCGAACATGGCTGAGAATTGGGGGTCTGCTTTCACCTGAAATTTGTCCAGTTTTCATGTATTTTTATTTTTGTTACGTTTACGAATTTTTTGCTGCATGCTACACAAGTACAGAAACTTTTACGTGCTTTACTGATTTACAAAAAAATGATACTCGTTGTGGAATATTTCAAATTTCAAAAATCTCAAGATTTTCAAAAATCTTGCCATGTGCTTATGTTTAGCGTCGTAAATGAAATAATGAAATTGTGAATGTTAAGACTAAAAATAGAGGTTCTTTCTCTTTCCTATTATAATTCAGCAATCATCATTCTCCTAAATAAGCACTCATCCAGTAAACACGGATGCAAAACTATGTACATACGACACTCATGCAGTAACCTTTTTCATGTCTCACCATTTTTTAGAAAGTTGCAGTAGATTATGTTTCTTAAATTCTGCTTTAATCCTGTCCACCATACGTCATTACATAATCACAACTTTCTCTCCACACTAAACGGTTAGCAGAAATTTTTGCATTTTTTTTTGCAAACTTACCTGCTACTCCATTATCCCCAGACGATAACGTGGTGTGATGACACTGTCCTCCATTTGGCAGAAAAAGCATGACGAATCCCACAATCGAGAGCATAACTAGGTTAAGATGTGAATGCTTTCTCTGTCTGAAATATTTCTCCTCCTGGTGAAAGTGATTACTGCACTTGCAAATTGCCATGCTAATTGTGCCAACTTATTATGCAAATTATTCACTAGGGGACAAACAAAGGCGTGTGTGCCGTACCGGACCAGGCGTCGAGTGAACTGCGGATGGGCCAAGAATGTCCAGGTTGTTTTATACACAAAGTGATGCGTCCCGTCTGGCACAACAATCCTCTTGCCCAAAGTATCCCTTGGTACATAAGTAGCTTGTTGCTTTCAGCCAGGAATCTGTAAGAGGAGCAAAATTGTGCTCGCGGAGGTGGTATCAGTGTCTGTTACAGGATGACATGGATGCATGAAGGAGGTTACAGTCTCGCAGGAAAAGCTGCCCTGAGTGAATGGATGACGGTTTGTGGGGAAAAGTGGCCGGGCTGACTTGTTCGTTCGTTAGTGAGGAGAAAGTCAAGTAATGTGAACTGGTTGTTATACGAGGAGGAGAAGAAAGAATGATATGTGACCGACAAATGCTCCCCAGCCGGCAAAATTAATTTCATTTTCTAAATAATTAGGTAATTAATTAGGTAATTAAGGAAGATGAAGGCAAGAGGGTGTTTTACTTTTGGAGATGATCGGTGCAAAAATGGTTCTCTATAGTGTACATGTATATCTATGGCTTATTAACTACATATAATTAAATTGCTTAAAATTGGCAAAAATTTTGCATATTTTGGCTTATATGTCAAAAACTAGCAAAGCACTCCCCCAATTTTATTACGGAATATGTAACTACTAAACGTTAGGCAAAATTTTAAGCTAGCATAGATACATCAAAATCGTTGTAGCACGAAACTTCGCATTAAAGTAGTACTTAAAATGTTGAAAACGTTTGGTAAACCTTAATTTATTACTTCGACTCGAATTTAAAAAAAAAACTAAGAAAAACAGATTTAATCATTTGTACCCACATAATTTTAAAAAATGTGAACAAGTTTTGAATTTCATCACTTTAATAATCTCTCTCCATGATTTACTTCACAACAAATTTTCATTACCCGAATTTGTCACAAATTCATGGTCAGCTCTAATTAATTAATTACATAATATGTATTTCCAAATTCTCAGAGAATTAATATCATCAGTGGAAAATAATAATTGAAAATCTGAAGGGAATCGAAACTCTGCGAAAACTGGAGCAGATTTAGTACTTGGAACATGTCCAGCAACATTCACTCACACTTTGCATGAGCCAACTCTTGAGTAGGCCAGAGACCAGTAAATACGGAGAATGAGTAATAAGGCGGAAATGAATTTCGGAGAAAGTAGCGTAACAAACAACGAGGACGAGGACTGATTCATGCTTTCTAAGTGAAAGTCGGCATCCACGTACGTTCGTAGGTGAGTGAGTGAGTGAGCCAGCTAATAACAAAGATACGGAAGGATGGAAAGTAAGGATGGCAATAATCACGCACGCAGCCATTAGTGCTGAAATCTAATCGAGCCACTACGGTTACACTGTCCCATTTACCACCACAAACGGCGAATCTCAGCCAGACAGCCATGTAGTGGGTGTTGATTAATAACATGCAAAATTATTGTGTTCCGAGAGGTGTGGGTGCAGCTTTGCGACAATAATTCGCTCATATTACTATTTGCTCCATACAATACTTGAAAGGAAGCTAGTAAATTGTATGACGCATATTTACAATTTACGCATATTTATTAATTAATATCCTAAAATTTAATCACTCGTATTTTGAAAATCCGATTGGAAAATATTCATCCCCAAGTTTCAAGCCTATTATTAGCTTGAGGTCAAATCGTCAATGTCAGACAAATAGGGTATTGAGTTCGAATCGTAATAAATCCATGTGTCGACGTATCAATAACTATGTAGAATAAATATGTAGAAGGGATCGAATGGCAGTATGGTAATTGCTCCTTGGAAATGCTTCCTTCCGTAAATAGAATTTATCAAAATGTGTAAAGGAATTAGTTGAGTTAGATCAGTATGTTATCAAAACTTTTTCCTTAAAAAACTTTCGATTAAAAAAATCGAATCGTTTTTAGGCTTGGATTCAGTTGAATGCAATTACAATCAGAATTGGCAGATTTACTTACACAGAGGGCTTGATGGGCATAATATCCCGTTGGATTTGATGAGGCGTGATTTCGCAGAACTTTGCATACATCAAGAACGTTTATCTTTATTACGGCGAAAGCTACAGCGTTGTGATGCCAAGAATGAGGAGAAAGCCACGCCAAATACCCAGCGATGTGTGCGACCAGAAGGCAGCTGGCTTTCCCCAATCGTCCATAGTAAAATCGTGTCTGTTTAGAAGGAAGGATTCGAAGAAATCAACGGTTACGACCACGCAAACATGAACAATTACATTTAATATTTTTTTACTGGAATTTTCCGTTTTATGCATTTCAATTTCCTTGATATCGGCGCTAGCTCAGTGCTTTACGCTTACACTCATCATCACATAACGTTAATAAATCTATATTAAATTCGTTTAAGGTTGTAGAATTGTTGCTAAAATTTAAATTAGGTCAATCTTAAAAAATAGTCATATTCACATAAATATTTATGTATCTCAATACCATGGATGTCTCAATTTTTGCCAACAAACAAGCTTCTCGAGTGACACACTGATTACGCATCAATGTCAAATGTGCATATTTACATTTTGCATACATGTTTCGTGTACACGCCAACATGAAAAGCAAAAAAAGTCGTAAACCTTCGTTAGTCTTTTGTTCAAATGGTTCTGATTTCTCCTTTCTGAGAAGTAAACTCTCTGGGTTTATTAGTGGCTTACTTCCTCAGCCCCCTTGATTTTGATGCCTGTCTGTGTTACAGATAAGTATCACTGTTCATTTCGTATTTAACGTTGCTTGCAGGTCAAAGTCCATCCTAGGTTTATTTAGAAAGCATTTTTATTCCTTAACCAAGTAGATTGGTGAGCTATGTATGGCGCCAGCTAGATATTTGCACTTACATAATTTGCACGACTGGCCCCGACATATGTTTATATTTTTGCAAAGGTTTTATAGTACCAGCAGAATGTATAAGAATGGTCAATCCCTCTACTCGCAGCTATGCATTTCAACCACAGAGTGTCGAATTATGGTGAAAGCAGGCCAACATACGTCACAAGATTACAAGATCCAAGACAAAACAGAAAATAAGCACTCCATTCTTGCAACGAGACACCAACCTTCTTCTTCTTTTTTGCTGAATCCGCATTTTGCATACTTTTTGCAGCAGAATGATCCATCCACTTCACTCCAACCACCACCCACCTACCCACTCAATTGCCTTTTTTCGCAATCTCTCCACCTCTCCCAACCAGCAAGCAATATCAATTTAGTTTCACTTTCACTATTTTTGTACACGTCGTAAAAATAATGATGAGAGGTTACTTTTCCTCAAAATAGCCCAGGCACAAGATGCAGCGACAAATACATATTCTTGTACGCATTATCATCCTCTTTTAGAAAGCATGAAACTGGTGTCAACACAAAATTGACATCGGCTGAAAGCATCTTCCCACCAAGAACGAGGAGAAAGTCCCTGTGCAATTAGGACTCGTACCTGAATGCATAGTTAGCCCCAGTGGCTGCGGAAGCGTGGGGACATAGGGACGGAAATGTCCCCACGGTTATTTGATGTCCCTATCATCTGCCCATGTTATACAAACCCCTCCTCCCCTACCCTACAATGTTAATGTCTCCAGATGTCCCCACGGCTTCCGCGGCCACTGGTGCTGACTATAGATCCACCCTCGCCGAAGTGAAAGCGAGGGTGATGAAATAACCAGATTTGTTTTCGTCCTTGTTCTTCATGAATATTTCTTTATGCCATTAGTACCATCATGAAGAAGGAATGCCAAGATCAAGAGGAAGAAATGGAAATCTCGTCGTACAAAAAAATCATAAGGTTTATATCTCTTTATAAATAGTTTTCTTTCCATTTGATCATATCAAAAATAGAGTAAATATTCAGACGTTTACATTTTTTTACAAGCTGAGCAACGTGCTGGCCGAACTTTCTCCGAAAAATCGGTTCCAAATTAATCTCCCCAGAGGAATAAATTCCATCGCTGTGCCGTTGTTGTTCATGTCCATCAGACTTCGCAACCCAGGCACCCACGTGATCGAGTTGAACCCCATCGAGTCCAGGATCCGGTCAAACATCCCAACTAAAAATACAAAAATGGCAAATTAATTAATTGCATAAAAAGTTGCATAGAAAATTAATTAGTGCATCGTCTTACAAGTTCGCGCATTCGATTTCCTGTGCGTGGGACGATTTTTCTTCTGGGAAATGAACCGCACCACTTTTACGCCTTCTTTTTGGGGGACTGATTTGCTGTTTGATACCTCCGGCACTGCTGGTTCCGGTATAGATTTCCCCTCCTATTGCATAACACGATAAGAAAAAAACGAGACTTTTAAGTCTGGAAATTTCCGAATTATATAAGAATATCTGTGCAGTTATTAAGTAATTATTTTAAATCGGATTTTCTCAAAGGTCAGTCAGTCCCACCTCTGTTTCTCCTCGGGCCAAAACTGGCGACAAAAGTGCAATCCCCACAACACAGCACAGAAGACCACTACTCGTACAAAACTTCATTTCGTCCAACAATTCTGACCTCGGTGACACCTCGCCAAAAGGAAAAAGAACTGGTTAATAATAAATAATCTAATATTTCCTAAGTGTCCGTGGTTGATCCCTGAGAGACCGTTTTGCACCAAAATTTACCACCAAAATAAAAGCCGACACGCGGATTTATAGCTTCATCTCGTCCCACATTTACCTATCCATTATTCTAAATCCATCTAATTTAATAAGCAAAGCGGAGATGAGGAGACGAGTAATGAAATGAATAACCTTATATGTGCATCATCAGGATTCCTTCTCATTTTCAGAGAAGAAGCAACGGCCGAAAACGGCGTCTTAATAATAATAGCTCAATTTACACCTGCTGAACTTTTTTCTCCTTTATTTATTTACTTATGTACCATTGCAACTTGACCCTTGATTTGCTTCCATTATGTGCGAGTGAGCGAATGAGTGAATGAAACTAAACCGTATGCAAATCAATCAGCAGAGATAGAAGTGTATGTGCATCGAAAGGGTTGCAGTGTCGAGCCGGTATTGTTTGTTGTATTAGGTAGCAAATCGAATTGGAGGAACACGTCTCATTAGTTGACACCTTCCTAATAATAGAAAGTGCAAGCAGTAACCAAACCACCCTCGCGGATCCATCTGCTAATTTATACCTCGAAATGTTTTATATATGTAAGTACTGTTTGGGAGATGTTTGGTTAAAATATATAAATTCCGAGGGATTAGCCACGCACATATTTTTGCACTAATTTTTGTGCTAGTAATGTTCAGTAATATTGATTGGAGCATGCATAAGCAAACCCATAATGTTAAAGAATGGGCAACTTGTTGACATGTAAGTACTTGAACTTGATCTGAATAATCGACATATATCGTTTCGTTTACAGTGGAATGTGACAACTAAGAACGAATTGAGACGAATCGGTCTTCCTAAATGTACATACGACAACACTTTTAGAGAAGCTACAAAATTGACCAGGGTTATCTAAATCATTGGCACGATAAGCAGTCAACATTTGCACACGTAACGCTGATATACATAGATCTCGATTTTTGCGAATACATATTGAAATTGCAACTAACCAATCAATAGCCTTCTACACGCATCTGCTATGCACTAACAAGACAGGTGCCTTAATATGTATTTGTGCCCTTCAGAAGTTTGGTTACACGCAATCCTAAAATATTTTGACCTCACAACAATACAAAAATTCAGAAAATACGCAATAAATAAATTGGTTTTTTAATTAAATACATATAAAACTAATTCAAGAAAAGACGCAGTTAGTAAATATGCAAATGAATCACGTCACCAGTGCAAGTGCGATAAATTACAGTGGCAACTTGTAATTAAACCAGGTCATTAATTTGTGTGCATATTCCACTGTTATAATTCGACGCCAAATTACATATTAAAATTTCATAAGGAGGCGTAAAACTTGTTTTTTTGCAGGTATATTTTTGTTTCATTTCACTGTGAATATTTCTATTCTATTTAAAAAAAAAATTTCCAAATTATATTGACACAAAATTGTCACGTGTTCATCTTCCTTTCCAACAACTCAATTTCCTCAAGTCATAAATTACGTCTTTGTCAAACTCAGCAAACACATATGTACCGTTTACTGATAATATTAAAGTGTCGCTCCAAGTGTGGTCCAAACGATCTTGGTCTTTTTGCAACCTGATCACATCTCAGATCACAATTTTCCTCGTTTCTATCAACAGATGCATACATAACTTTACTCCATGAAATAATAATAAAAACAAGACGAGCTGCTTACAAAGCTTGACGTCACTTTCATATGTCTCAAGTACCAGTAAAGAAATATAACGTGTTCATTTTCTCCTACAGGCGAAATATTCGCAATTAAATTTGCATGGATGAGGCACCCCATAAAAATAAATGGTCACAATTATATCGCAGTTGATAAATGCAATACTGGGCACAGAGCAAACCACAAATCTTGAGCCTGACATGGACTCAATAAATCAAAGTGTGAAAGATAATGTTGTTTATCTCGTATTTGCTCCTTCAGTCTCATTCACTCAATAAGTCGGCCAAGAAATTAAAATCAAGTTTAGTTTAGCTTAATAAAAACTTAATCAGTATGTGCGTTCAGTGGCTGGTGTGAAATTAAGCTTAATTTTTGTTTATTTAACTAAATACTTATAAAATTTATACATAATTTTCGCGACCACATATTTCAACTGCATTTTTTGCAACACTGCAAAAAATGGGAGACAAACTTGAAGAAGTTTCAATCCCGGTGGAAGTAATTGCACGCAACTTATTCGACCTGGGGTTTAAGTACACCTGGAAAATTGGGGATTATCTGAAAGGCGTTGACAGCCAGACGGTCGTGGACAGTCCAGTTTTCAATGTAAGATTCTGCACAATTATTATTTAAGAGTGATTTATTTGCGTTTTCTGCATAAATATACAACAGATAAGCGTCAACGGTCTGAGTACCAAGTGGTCACTTGGGTTGAGATACTGGTCTGATGAAAATGGGATGCAACTAACAAATCCGGTCGTGATATGTCTCAATCTCGTCTCCGCCTGTGCCGTTCATAATGGGATTGATGTGAAGGAGGAGTTGCAAGTCAGGCAGAAAACACGTTGATTTTTTTACCGAAAAAATATTGCTCATAAGTAATTTGTAATATTTATTACCCATTATTATTACCAGGTCCGTTACCAATTTGGAATATGGAATAATGACGCAAAACAATACGAAGTTTGTCCCATGGGCTGCAAAAGTGTTGATGTAACGGATACTTGTCCGTCTCAGGCAAATTTGCGCCTACAACAAGTGAGTCGTTGCATAATGATAAGTTTATCGATTTCATACGGTCTGGGCTTTCTCCTCCCGGCTGAAATCAGGTCGTTGGTCTCGTTCTTGTTTATCATTAATTTGCAACACATAAAGTCAAAAGACGGAAATTGTGTGAGGACGAGGAAAAGACAAATATGAACATTACAGAATTACATTGTTTTCCATGCCATTGTTCCAGACGGCGTGCAAACTGCAGAGTGTGGGCACGACAGAAATCGTCATTCTAGATCGACACCTCATGCACAAAGGGATTGAGATTTTCTGCAAAATTATGCTTGTAAGAGGATCAGTTAATTAATTTACATAAAGCGAGTTCTAACCAATTCGTATGTTCAGGTGAGAGAACAAGTCGAACAAAACACGCTCGCCCTCGATCTTTGGACCAAATTACGGAACGGTGAAGATTGCGACATAAAAATTCGTACGAGTGATGGCAATCTGATTCCAGCCCATAGAACGATCCTCCACTGCAGATCGTCACTCATCTCGCTGAATCAGGAGACGATTGAGACGGACATCGACGGACAATCAGTCATCCGAGTGGACATGACCACTCCAATCTTGACCTCATTCCTCCAATACGTTTACACCGATCGTGTCGATCCACTCGATAATCCGCAACAATTGCTCAAGTCCGCAGTGAAGTTCAAACTCCCAGGATTAAAGGTAATCTCATGCATCTTATTATAAATTGGCGTGTGCTAAAAAAATGAGTGTATGCGGAAATAGGCGATTTGCGAAAAGGCGTTGATCGACCAAATCTCTCCCTCCACGGTGGCATCGCTTCTCCTCATCGCGGACACGTACCAATGCGACCTCCTCAAAAAATCGGGTTTGGCATATTGCGGGGAAAACTCTCGTTCCATCGTGAAAACCGTGTCGTGGAAAGTTATGGAAGAGGTGAGTCAAGAAATGTGTACTAAATTTCCCTTATAAATCCGCTTAATTAAATTCATGCACTTTTTTACCCAGTTAAAACCCAAGTTATTTGAGGAAGTCTGTGACCAAATGTGAAATTAAGAAATTCAGGTGACAATAATTTAATTAAAAATTGCTCAAAACTGTGTATAAATTATTTACTGCAATTAAATATATAAAATATAAACTCTTTTTGATTTTACAATTTTCCTTACAAAGCGTTATCATCTTTAACCTTGATCTGGTCCACTTTCTCACTGCCCTTATCAAACTCTGGTCTTCGTTCCCAAACAAAGATGGATTTTTCACAAGACTTTTTATACTTTGCACAATCCCCTGATTTTCCATGTCCTTCAGCTTCGAGATAGGCTGGCATGTGGGACTCGGCGTAGGGGGATTCGCTAACGCTGCAAAGTACAAATAATGGGAAATGAAGTCTTTTTTCTTTTACTTAGTTCCTTCCGGCGTATGTATCTCATCTCATCTCCCACTTTTATCCATATGAGGACGAGCTACTTTAAGAAATTATGAATTATTAAGCACACGTGGAGAAATTGCTCGCATTATTACGAGACAAGAAAAACGCCGACACACTTCGCGTGCATTATGTAAAATAAATCTTTTTGCCTGGTACATACATATGCAAATTGTGCTTAAGTAAACCACCCACGACTCACCTGAAGAAGAGCGTCACTAATTCGCCAAACAAGCCGTAGCCTCCCGTGCTGAGGGGAAACTCGTGCACTTCGCACACCGCCCGCAAGAGACACGACCTCCCCGACAGCCCCAGTGACGTCATGATCCCCTCAAGACTGGGCAGAATCACAGCTCGTTCCCCACCAAACATGGATTCCGGAGGGGGCAGCGACATGATGGCTCGTTTCGGTCGAGGACGACGACGGGTATTGCGACCGCCCCCAAAAGCAGGGTACACGTTGTGGGCTTGGACCGTGTGCAGGATGGATTTTGCGTCGTCTCCTTCATTAAAGTGGTGTTTTATGTTGGGGAACGGTTTAGCAGGGTTAGGATCGTAGTAAGGGTGGTGGTGAAAGTGGGATTGTTGAGATTCTTGGGAAGATTCGGTTTGCTTTTGGTTATCCGGTTTCTTGTCGTCCGGTTTCTTGCTACCACTTTCTCCCACGTTGGGACGCATCATTTCTCCAAATGGGTAGAATGGTGGGCGATCAAAGGGCCATGGATGATCGTCCGATGTCATGTTCAACTTGTCGAATTTCACTGCAAATTACAAATTAAGTAAATGGCACAAGTTATAAAATATGGGAATTTTCGACTCACTGTAAAACGTCCAGGAGGCCTGAATATCAGAGTCGAAGCCGCCATTGTAAGGTGCATGGCGAAACACTGGCACCGTTATTTTTGGCGTAATTTGAAGAATTGTCCCCTTTGGGAGGACGAATCTTCTTTTATGTGTCATCCACAACATTCGCTTAGAAAATTGGCGACTCGCCCAGTCCACGAATTGCTGCTCCGTTTCAGAAATCGGTTTTCCAGACGAGGTTGGCGAAGAAGTATTATTTAAACAACTACAGGAATTCCACCATAAGCAAAATATTAACGTGGATATTAATTTCAATTTCATATTTAACGACAAGACAAGTATCACCCACAAACACAATGAAATCGACAACAATAGAGTAACAAGTATCTGTAAAGAATAAGGACGAAATTATCTCCCTTCCACTTCTGGCGAAATCTGTGTGTACGATTCATTTTTAATAAACCATAAAATGTGACAAACGATGAAAAGAAAGTAAAAGTTTTCTTGCGACTTGAACCGGCCAAGGATCAAGTTTAAGTAAAAGTAGTCAAATTAATTAAGCTGTACGGATTCGAGGCACCTTCTTCGTCTACGTAAAATTGGCCTCTTCTTCTTCAAGTATGCATATGCATGCGATCCCTAACAAGTAGTTATAATAATCGCTAGTTTGCCATAAGAATTTACACCTATGTACAAGACTTGATTCGTTTCAGAATTTGAATTAATTCTTGCATTGGTGCAATTATAATTAAACTAAACTTGACTATTGAAGAGGCAAAAGTTGTAGAAATGTGATTGAAAACCGGTCGCTAGTACTACCAGCTAGCTAATTAAATAACTACGTCAAGTGATCGCATAGGAAGAGTTAACGAGTAACAGAAAAAATTCGAGAAGATGACACTTTATGATATTCATATTGATTCTGGTTTGGTCTGTATTTTAGTTTGAAGAGGAAATGTAGAATTGAAAATTACTTACCACGTCACGGATTTCAAGTATTTACAAATATAAAGAAGTAAAAATGATTATTTATCGCTGAACGCTAAACTTCAACGACGATCATGCAAATAGTCATAAAAAGTTATCTAAATAAGTGTCAAAGATCGCTTCGTTTTCTACTGCTAAATTTTGGAGCATGTTTGGGAACATTTATTGTAAATATTCGCCATCTGTAAAATTGAAATCATTAATAAATTTTAATTTTTGTAGGTACCAATTTATGGAGCATGTAGGAACAGATATTAGCTCCTGAACTTGCAGATTTGTACAATAATTGAGTGAAATTTGTTTATCATACATTTATAAAACATGGATTATCTCGTCAAATTAAACACACATATTGTTAAAAGATGAGACCTTGACTTATCGAATGAAGCTAAAATTGTTGCAAAATAAAACTAGACCGGTTATTCAAGTTGCCTCAAATAATGCATGAGCTCGAATTGATCTGATTTGATCTGATAACAGGTTAATTTTACAAGCTGCTCCTCTTTTCTGGAGGGTGTGCAATCTAAATACATACGAAACACACGTGTATTGACTTAAAGATGACATTCTGCTAAAGGTGTGGATTGGATTTAATGCAATGCAATCATTATTACACAATAGATGAACTGGTTACATATATTTTTTACGTGCTGACCAATTCTTTCGTGACACAAGATGCGACATGCAACGCGATTGACAAACATTGCCCAACATAATATTTTACTTGTACCCAGTATCAATACACTACTGCAATTGCAAATCATTTAACTAACTATGCATGGTTACTCAAGTTTAATTTTTAGAAGCTATTCCAAATTAATTAAATTCTTGAACCGAAGCAATCGTGCTAAATTATTAATTACAATGTCGGAGAGGTGATTCGTCACAAACTGTTAAAACTCATACAAAATCCTGGACCCAATATTATAGTCTAATAATCTGAACAAGGCAAATGACGGTGGGGTCACAAAGTGTTGAACTCGAGAAGATAAAGGTGAATGGTAAAGGTATGGATGGATATATTTAATTTAAGAGAATTGGATTGAGTTTGAGGGCGATTAAAAGTTATGAGACATACAAGTTTTAACTGCATATGCATCCAGGTACATAACATGGCTCTCGGAATGGTTAAGGATGAGTACACAGCTATGTTTAATTAGCGATATCTCTATGAATTTAACAGGTATTCCAGTCACATCATCCACCCCACGTCCAGGCAAGGATAAACCTTCCACCTCTACAAATCTTGCTGATACGAGAAAGGGCTTCGCTGCTACCAATTCATCATCAACCAGTGAACTTGTAGAAGCAATGTCAGATTCAAATACGCCAAGCAGCACCCCCACTGCGCGTGGAGTCGAAGATGGCGTAGCAGACGGGACAATGTCGTCGGAATCATTTTTCGCCTCGCCACAAAGCAACACCAGTCCAGGGTGAGGAGTAGTAAATACAATAAATAAAACTTAAACTAATTACAAGCAAATATTTATGTAACATATTTTCAGGGCGGAATTAGACGTCGAATATTTCGCCACGCCACCATCCGAGCCAGCGCAACCGCCTTTGTTGAAAGGAACCTCTTTTCCAGTACGGCTTCCAGTAACGCCCGTCGTTTTGGAGGGCGACAGCATTGCAGAAATCTTTTCTACACCGCTTCCACTCTCCTCAGAAGCACAACCCAATTCGATTGAGAAAGACCTCACAACAAATACGACGATCCCCACAAAACCGGAAAAACCCCCAAGAAAAATTTCTGCTGAGAAACTTCTCGTTTCAAAAGTGTCAGAAGTTACGCATTCCGAACCGTCGTCGTCGAACAACCCGGGTGAAAATTGTAGGCAATTTTTGAAACTATTTTAGTAATGTAATTCTAACATGTTTTTATTTAAATATAGCTCAACCAGCTACCTTATCAATTGATGTCGAAGGACTTCCCCCTCCAGCTGACCCCACACCCAAGGAATCTCCTCCCCACGGAGAAAGCAGCGGTGGCGATGGTGGTGGCAACGTCTCCATGAAACATTCCACCCCGAGCAGAAGAGCGGAGATGAGTCGGAAATTGGGCGTCGTGCCGGGCTACATGGTCGTGGACGATGACAACCAACCTGAACATGACCCTGAAAACAATACTCCATCCTCGAAAGAAGGAGCAGCACGACCTTCGATGGCAGATATCAGCGCGGCCGCCATGCGCTTCACGGCGCGACAATGGACATGTCTCGTTGTGTTTGGATTAGCCGACCTCGCATCAGCAATGGTGGTTTCTATCCAGGCTCCCTTCTACCCGGCGGAGGTGACCAAGATTTATTACCTTTCTACGATTGACGATAGTGATCTTATTTATATTTTGCATTTTTATTTCAGGCAGAGAAAAAAGGTGCCACCGCGTCCGAGTATGGCTTAGTTTTTGGAGTGTATGAACTCACCATTTTTTTAGCGTCCCCATTTCTAGGAAAATATGTGAGTTTCCATTTTAACAAACTAAACTCAAACGAAACTATACTTTTAATGAAACGAGTCTATTTCTAGATGAACAGGATTGGTCCAAAGGTTGTTTTTAACTCTGGAATCATATTGACTGCAGTGTCTTGCATAGCTTTTGGGTGTGTGACTTATTGAAATAATTGAAATATACATGAATTTCATAAGATTTTCTAATTTTTCTTCTTCTTATATTTAGATTGCTGGATGAAATAGACAACCACGTGCTTTTCATCACACTCTCATTTATATTGCGAATTACGGAGGCCTTGTAAGTACAGATACTCACATCTTCCTGGTTTTTACATAATTTCAAAATAGTTTTGAATTCAAATTATTTCGACCTTAGAGGTGCAGCTGCCACAACCACGGGAACTTTCACCATAATTTCGTGCGAATTTCGAAAAACGTTATCCACCACGTTTGCGTCCCTTGAAACCTTTTACGGCCTTGGATTAATCATCGGGCCCACAGTTGGGGGCGCCCTTTTCCAACTGGGAGGTTACATCGTACCCTTCATCGTGACAGGCGTTAGTCTCCTTCTCATCGGAATTATGGCGTCCTTCGTAATGCCCAAAACCGCGTCATTTCGGGAGGAAGATGACGACGGGAAGCCTACTCATGGAATTATGAGCTTCTTGCGTCTCCCTGGCGTCATGGTGGCCACTTTTGCACTCGCCGTGATGGCGAGCAGTATCGGATTTCTGGGTGCAACGCTAGAACCACATTTAAGGCGGGTACGTACGCAAGCTGAGACGTTAAAAAACCAGGATGACGAATATGTGATTGATCTAATTTAGTTTGAGTTGACTCCCCTCGAAATCGGACTCATGTTCATAATCTATGGCGCAGTTTATGCTATAACTGGTACACATATTTACACATATCTTATAAATAGTTGATCATTGCATAAAGTCATTAGCCTGTTGTCACCTTAATATCCACGTCTTCGCAGCACCGTTGTTTGGCTGGTTTTGTGACCGTGTGGCGTCACCAATTTATGTCCTTTTGTTTGGTGCTATTCTCATCTTTACGGGATTCCTACTAATTGGACCAGCTCCATTCATTCCGATTGACACGTGAGAAAAGTTATGCACAATTTATGCACAACAACAACAATAAAATAATAATGGTTGGATATTTATTTAGGATCGTATGGGTTACTGCTGTCGGTTTGGTGATAATGGGCCTAGGCCTTTCTGCAATTCTGGTGGCAAGCTTCCTGTATTGCTTGTCGGAATCGATGTAAGTTTGCATCCGTAAATATATGAAAAAATGTTATGGTGTGGATATTACCGATTTAATAATTTGGTCAGGACGAACGGATTACCCGACAATATTTCAACCTACGGAGTCATCTCTGGCTTGTGGACTTCTGCCGTCAGCCTGGGTGCCTTTGTTGGGCCCTCAATTGGGGGATTTCTATACGATGAGTTTTCATTCCGTCCAGCAACGTATTACGTGCTAGGGACGCAAGCGTTAGTCGTAAGTAATCAAAAATATGGGGGAAAAAGACTTTAAAATTTGTGTTCACTATTTGATAACATAGGTGCTCGTGATCATCGTCTATCTCTTTATGAAGCCAAAACGGTCTTCTAGTGGGGACGGTGAAAATGTCCCCCTGCTCGGCCCACCCCCAATTTCTCCGATTCTATCCTCCGATCATATGAAGGATGTCGAGCTAGCTTCTGACCGAAATTCGGGTGTCACAATTACGACTGGAGGAACGAGTGGTGGCACTATTCCTAGTGCTGGATATGGCACGGTTTGGTAGTGCTGGGCTATTTTTTATCTAACTTTATGTATTAGAGTTGAGAAAGATTCACATATTTTTTGTACAAGAAATGAGCTTGGGAAATATGAACAAACAGGATTTAGATGCCATAATTTCTCTCTCATTAATAAGCTTTATTAACAAAGTCCATCTCAAATAATTGTAAGATAATAACTATAAAAATATCTGTGGCACGGTTATCATCCTCATCATTAGAGTATTACAATACAAAGTATGTATATTCTTACAACGCTAAAAAGTAACTAGTAAAATTATTATACTGAAACGATTCACATTCAGTGGTTTTATTGAATTGCATTGGCAAATCCTGGCTGGCAAATTACAAATAAATCTAGCAGGCAAGCCCCATGGTTAGGTGGATAATAAACAAATTGCATTGAAATCATGATCACCAACAAGTACACGAGATCACAAACAAACCAAATGCATAAGAATTCTTACAAACATTCAACACGCGTCTTTCGTGAACTAGCATTTTGCATTTTACAACGAGCAATACCATGTGGATCTATAAACTTATATAAATATATAATTAATATTTGGCAACAAAATTGACATACATAATATTTTCCATGATGTATTTATATTTCTGGCAGAAATGATCCTTGTACTTTTTGTAAACTACTGTTTTGTAATAATTTCACCAATATTAAACTCTGCATTTGTATCTTTAGTTCAATACATATTTAAGTTGAAGATGAGAATGTCGAGTATTGTTACATATGTATGATTATTATCGCGTCGTGTCATATAAATGTTATTAATTAATTAATTGGTACATATAGTTTAACGTACATAATACAGCACTCATAGCTTATTCGGATCGGAATCAGATAAATCACAGCGCTCAGGTCAGAATTAGATTAATTGTGGTAAATAGCAACGTTTTATCCTTGATCGTCATCATCATCCCTCATTATTACAGACTATCGGACAACAACTAATACGAGTATTCAGTCCATAACAATTCATGAAGCTCAGACATGTTCCCTTAAATTGTGTTACGTAATACGTCAATTTCAGTCCTGTACAAATTTTTTGCACAAAAAGTTTCATCGACATTGATGACCGTCATCCCGTCGCACGGAGCCTCCCGTTCGAGTCTAGCGTCTCATTGTCGTCCAAAACGATGTCTTCGTCGTCATCGTCATCTTCGTCATATTCGTCACGGATGGCTCGATCCTGACCAAAGAGGCGTTCTGCAAAAATTTAACTCATTTTTAACTCCATTTCAAAAATTTAAATACAAATTTACTATCACATCTTCTCACCAAGTATTTCAAAATCCAGCATATTTTCCACGAATCGTTGACTAATGCAGTAATTGATAAGCCAGACGACCTGAACGGCGAGCACGGCGAGGACGACGACCGTCCAGAAGGAGACGTACATGAACACCATGCCGCCCAGAAGTTGCCAATCGAAGCCGCGGAAGTAGAGGAGCGTCGGATATATGACGATGATGACGAGCAGCGTGGACCAGTTTCCGGCCGCAATGCTGCGACCCAGGATGTCCTTGGGCTTCATGGAAATGTGTTCTCGGAGGCTGCGCTCGGAAATGGAGTAGCGGTGAGCAATCTTGGCGTAGATGGTGGTCATCTTGTGGCGCAGCTTGTTTCCTAAACTGGCCAACATTTTGGACCTGGACGGCAGACGAGGCTAGATAGAAATAAAGAAAATTTCAGTGGGAATGAAAAATCATTATTATTACGGAGAGAATCATTATTATTTATCGCTCATCTAAATTGCCCTACTTCACACGAGTTCTATAGATACTCGACTTCCTTATGCATTTATCACCCCATTCATTATGCAGCATTATAATAAGTAAATCCATAAAGAATTTCGTAATTCCATCATTAATGACTGAGCTGCTATATGTATTTATTATTCCAAAATTACATGAATTGTATTATATCGTAATAAGAATTTTGTTGAATTGAGGATCAGTTTGACGTGTGTAAACATGTGATAAGAAGAGTTTTAAAATATCTCATGTATTTCTCTGAGCATGTACTTGGCACACATAAAATTTTCTGGAACATTTTCTCGTCATGTAATGAATGGTAATTAATTGAGGTCCTCTTTGTCAACGTGACGTCGACAGAAAGATGCAGTTGGCAGAATGTAAATGCAGCACATGACACTCTTTTATGCATAATACGAACCAACTCTCATTTTACTACGTAAACCATCATGCATTTTCATTTACATAATTAAGTATTTGACACAAACTTGACGAGTCGGTCAGTTCCAGATTTGTGACCAGGTCAGGTCAAAACCAACACAGCGCGACACCCTCATTACACTTTTATTATTGAGCTAGTTACGCAGAACGAGTGCAGAAATGAAGTAAGAAATATGTCAACTTAATAAAAGCCCAGTCTGTCTCTTACATCCCCCTCTGGATAACATGTACTAGCAAATTTGACATAATTTAAGGAAAATCAATCAATTTTGAGAGTAAAAATCGAGACAAATTTTTGGGTGTGATTTAACGCATGTAATTTTTTAAATGTTTCCTTCCCAGCAATAACAAGTTAATTGTATGGATGTATAAATTAATTGCTAAAAATTTGTATGAATTTATGAATCCAGCACATGCAAATAAAGTAGGTTTATTATGATTCCTCCCAGATATTTTACTCATTCATGTCGTTATTACTGTAAAATGAACGTCCTTCGACCTCCAATTAATTAATTATCCTCTGAACTCATCTTAACTGTCACTTATCTTTAATGACATGGTCAAAATGAGGATCTCCGATAAATAAATACACGTACTCATGAAATAACATCCTGCCCATTAAAATGTCTCGCCTTCCCTCAGCATGTCATTACTCTATCTACCAATTAAAAAGAATAGTAAGTGCAGGTCATATTTTGTCTCAAATTAAATTGGACATTGATCTTCTCCTCTTAATTTATTGAAATTTTCTCCGCATCAAGTTCTCAACTTGTGTTTGTTGTAGAGTGAAATTATTGTAAATATCTGTAGAGCATGATTACATTGTGATTAAATATGGACCTTTTTTTACACAACAAGAATGTTAAATAATAATGATTATCTTCCTTCTAAAGTCAGAATATGTATACGACGAGGACAATTTTTCCATGCAGTATGCACGCTTTCCACGTGTGGTGTCGATGTTCTAGGAATTTAAATGTCACCAGTCGAACGTCGTAGTAAATACTATTTGACACCAAAGTTCTCCTCTTTGGCACCAGTTTATTTTATACGTGTTAACTTTATCCGTGTGTTTTTTTAAGTTACTTAATTCCGTCATGAATGAAATATAACCAAATGAAAGTGAGATTGGACCAGGATTCCGACTTGAACTATGAATATCTATCTACTTAATACCCATCCATTTGTCCAGTTAGTTGAACTGGACGAAGAACTTTGCTCCCATGGAAGAATTATTAAGGACAAGCGAGAAAGAGTCAAGGCAAACCTGGGCTGAAATTGGTCGTCGCCAAATCTCGTTTTCTTTCTACTGAACTGGATTTCGTCATTGGATGGACAACGAACGAACGAGCTAATGCTCCTTCATTTGTCTTAATATGCATGCACCATACATAGTTAAATTTTAAGTTAACCAAGTAAATCCCGAGGTGGCTTTTTAACTCGTTTTTTCTCCATCAACTTCACACGCTGGCCATATCGGCACTGTAACACTAACGAAAACGATGATAGGGAGAAGATGATAATGCTGAAAGGTTTCTTGACCATGCGGTCAATCGGTCGGTTCTCCTTCCATGTGGCATTGCATAAATAGTTAATTTATGGAATTCTACCAGTACTCTGGTCACACAATCAGTGTCAAGCAATATTCAATTCAATGTCATTTTCGGACGCAATGAAGACGCACGAAAAAGAATGTGCAGTTCAAGGTAGTCCAATTGTGAGGCAGTTTTAAGAAAAAATAAGAAAATTAACCGAGCTATTAATATTTAAAATTGATTTAAGCAGTTATAAAATAAAGTGTGCAAAATTGTAGAGCAAATAAATTCTTCTGGATTTTAATTTTTGTTACTCTCCGATTTTGCATGAAAGCGCATGCAAAATATTTCCATAATTTGTGATACTGTTCATTGGATGTGAATTAGAAATTGTGCAGTTTGTATGCTTACGAAAAGTGCGAGTTATAGTGATAAACAGTTCTCGTTTCTCAATAATTAAATATTTGTTAAGTATTTGTTTTGACAGGATTATAGTTTATCATTACATAAAAAAAACATTTGTAGGAATATATTTAAATGTTGACTTACACCCTTGAATTCTCACACCTTACTGCTTCTCGGTTCGTCTTATCTCAATTCCAGCAGCAGCAGTTTCACGACCTTGTTCACTCAGCAAATAGTGGTCAGGACATTAATTTCGAATGAGATTGGACCGGACTTTTCCAAATTTTTGACAAATCTTCTCCTTCTCTTCCTCGAGATTGCGTTGAATAAAATGACTTTGAGACGATGAACTCGAGTTCAGTTATTTCATCGAACAACAAATATTATTAATTATTAACCAACTTTAATTGCCTTATTTTTGACACTTGGCCATTAAAATAAATCATCACGACGAAATACTACTACTCCGTCAGTAAAGGCACCACCACTACACAAATATCTCTCGAGATCAAGGATACCAATCTTGGAAATCTTGTCCCTTTTTCCTGGGGTAAAAACAGGCACAACGAAATCACAATGTAAGTAGTAATGCGTCATTTATTAATAAATCATTGTTCCCGATAAGATAAGCTTTGTTTACTTAATATCTAAAAATACTTTCTGGTAAGATTTACATTTACCGTACTAAATTTCTTCACGGTTTTGTACTTATCAAGTTATTAAGCATGCGACGAGCTTGTTGATATTATGGCACTTAACTTATGTACTTGTACTCTAAAATATGTGCATATATTTATATTAGCTCATTGGCTTTTGCGCTTATAAAAATTTCCGAGTAATTAATGTCACAAAGGTCACACTTTAATAGGGGAGAGCACCTTCTTAATCACTTTTCGCTGGGTTGGCGTCTATCCGCAATTTTTGTAAAAATTCTGAATCAATTGATTCATTGATTTATGTATTAATCCCGTCTCCAAAAGTCTAGTCTGTTTAGGTACCCTGCTGGAGTTGCGTATCCTATAAAACAATAAAGTTCAGCTTGTCCAGTCCAGTCCAGCAGTGTTTTTGCTCGTCTTCATGTACGTATCTATCTCTGTTCTGGTCACTTTTATAGGATTAATGTAATCATATCACGATACATACGGACGTGGATGGTAGTTAGATAGATACTTTTGGTCTGTAAACTAAAAGAGGCGACTAAATACGAGAGATGATCATACAAAACTCAAAGGAAAATGTCCGTATAACTTTGCTTGGGAGATGCTATTACAGAGATAAAGCGACCCAAGGCGAGTTTGTGATATTGTTGTGTAAAGAAGTCGGGCAAGAAGTGGATTCAATTCCAATTGACAACTTGCCTCGAGCAGTTAGTGGTCAGTGCTTAATGCATAAATAACAAAGACTAAACTTTTTCAGAGACCGGTTTTCAGTTAGCTGCTCAGATATTATTATTATAAATACATGCATGCAGCGTATGAAACCGTGATCTTGTGTCCACACTGCAGCGTTATCAGGAACAACAGGCTGCGAACATTGGTATCCTTTCCTTGTGGAACAATATTTAATCATCATTGTAGCGTTCTATTTGGAAACGATTCAAGATAAAAATATATAAAATACACGGGATAAATAAAGCTGCCTCTATAAAAATAAGAAGGGATTAACATGCTTATCTTCTAATCGATAAGGGCGAATATTGAACTATTCAGCGATTTGTTTGGATTTGGACGGAGCTTAAGTATACATACTTCACTTTGTAAATTGTGAACTTGTGAATGAGTTATTTACGATAAGATAGTACAAGAGGAGACTAATAAATAAGCCGGTGAGTAAAATGAAAATTTTGTGCATGTGCAAAAAAAATCATGATGCATGATGAAAGTATGGGTAGAAATATTTTGTGTAAGTTGATCACCATTAATGTGAATTACGAAAAGTATGTATTTGCATAAAACCGGATAGATGTAGAAATGTAGAAGTTATCAAGTCATATTTACGTCAATTTTACAAAATAGAACTTATTTTGACTTAGAATTTATTTGCAATAATCTAATTAGTAAAATGTCCAAATTATTAAGACAGAATTAAGCATGATGCTGCCGTACACCCGTAAAATCTCATGATAAATGTCAGAAGAGTCTAAGAAAATAATGAGTAACAAATTATTTCTGATATTTGATCATGTTTTGAACCAAAGTCCAGTCACATGCAAGTCATTCTTCTTATCCATGTCTCCAATTTTAACTGTACTTTACACATTATGCTAACAAAATAAATATGAACGGGATGATTCACGTCGTAGTTAGTTTCATTTCTCAAGAGTTGAAGGGCATTACTCACTCATAATCTCTAACGCAAAGCAAACTTATTAAACTGATAAAAGCTAAATACTTTACTAAACAGGGCTCAGACATCAACAACTTTGTCCATCGTCACTGACCTTCATCAACCCCCATTCACTGTTACTTCTACTAGTCTGAAAAGTCATCACAACAATGGATTCCGAAGATAAGCCAACGACCTCTGACCTGCAAGAAGTCTCCCTCGCTGCTTCCACCACCTCTTCCTCCGGCACAATTATGCCACCTACTCCCGCTCCAACGCCAGCATCTTATCAGATCGAAGTCATCCCACACACGCAAAGTCTCGAGGGTCCTGCTGCCAGTGAAGAATCTGGCCCTTCGAAACGTACGCGGAGAAAAACGAGGCATCAAACTCAACACGAGTCTGGTGCGGATCCGGAAGTTCAACAAGGCGGTGGAGCTCCGAATCGATTTAGGAAAACGTCCGGGGACGTGAGGTCACATTCGAGAAAAAGTTCGGAAATTATTCAGATCCATCCACACCCTTCAAGGTAAAGAGTGAAATATTTGTTCACCTAATATTAAATTTCTAATATGAAAATTATCTTGAAAATTAATTATCGGCGTTGAAATTGAGATAAGTTTGCAACTTGTAATAGAATTTGCCAGTTGACTGAACAATGTGACAGGAAATAATTATCTAATAATCGACTGCTCTGATTTAAGAAAAATCAAGATTATAAAATTTGCTTATCAATTGCTTATCATTTCCTTCATCGAACAGGGAAGGTTCCATCGCCTCTTCACGCCGCAGCTATTCCCGAGGCGCATTTTTCGGCGACATTCCCGAGCATCTCGGCGCCCACGCTGCCCGGCGTCTCTCGGCAGGAAGCATGGACTCTGACGAAGAGGGCATCACGGGGGGGCATCATCATCGCCATCATCACGATGGGTTCGAAAGTGGGGAGGATCAAGGGCTTGGGGCGAGCAGTGTGGAGTGCGAAAGTGAAATTGAAGCCATTTTGGCTGGAGGTTCCAAGAGTTACATGTCGCGGATCTCCATCTCGATGAACAAGTCGGTCAATCCGATGACAGGAGAGACGTTGTTTTGGGGCTTTTCGAAAAATCAGTGGTTCATGCTCTTCATTTTCAGCGTGGCTGATCTACTTGCGGGGATTGTGTACTCGTTGCAGGCTCCGTTTTATCCGGAAGAGGTGGGTGCATTGCTTTTCATGGGTTTGAAGAATGCTAATCTGAATAATCTGGTAAATTTTACAGGCGGAATCTAAAGGTGCCAAACCAACGGAATATGGGTAAGTTTTTAATAACTATTTAATAGTTTGTAAAGAATGCAGTAAATTTTATTATCCATTTAGGCTTGTTTTTGGTGTTTTCGAACTTGTCATGTTCATCGTTTCTCCAATCTATGGGAAATATGTGAGTATTTCTCTTGAAATGATTTGACAAACAATGATTTTACATAATTCAAGTTTCCAGTTTAAAGTAAGTTTAAAAACTAAATTATTTTTCTCAGATGAGTAAACTCGGACCAAGAAATGTGTTCAATGTAGGAATATTCATTACTGGGACTTGTTGTATTCTTTTTGGGTGAGAAAAAAATGTGTGCACAAATTATGTAAATTTTATCTTAATAGTCCCACAATTTTAGACTTTTGGACCGAATTCAAGACAAGTGGACCTTCATCTGTCTATCTTTCGCTATTCGGACAGTAGAAGCCATCGGAAATGCTGGCTTTGGTAAATAGCTAATTATTCAAGCTGCATAAATTCCATACTAAATTATCTGTATTTTATTAAATCAGCAACCGCGACTTTCACCTTGATTGCGATCGAGTTTCCCGAGTCTGTTGCAACAACCTTTGTAAGATTGTTACATACATTATTGATTTACATATTCGTTGGTGTACTAACTAACTCGATGTGATGATTTCATAGGCTTCTTTGGAGACCTTTTTCGGAGTAGGTCTGATAGGTGAGCTCTTTCATATCATTTTGTTAGTATCTTATGAAAAACAAATTTTCATGACATTTGTTTATCATAGTTGGTCCAACAGTGGGTGGAGGTTTATATCAGGTAAAACTTTAAGTACTTTCACCTCATATTAAAAATCCGTACATAATTTACTAACGACCAAAATTAACTAATTGCAAAATTCCAGCTCGGCGGATACACGCTTCCCTTTGTCGTTACGGGCGGAATGATTTTCTCGGTGGCTCTCCTCATCGCGATTTTTATGCCCAAAGCCACACCTCTCGATGATATCGGGACTGATTCCAAGAGCACGGCCGGCTATGGGATCCTTACCATTTTGAAAGTTCCTGGCGTCCTGCTCGCCACCTTGTCGATTATCACGGGTGCGGTCAGCATCGGGTTTCTCAGCTCCAGTTTAGAACCCCACATTAGACAGGTCAGTGTTTCATTATGCATAACTTTGCATACATAAGCACAATATTTATGTATGTGCCTTGTTCTCCTTCAGTTTCACCTGACCCCTTTAATGACGGGGTTAGTGTTCGTGATCAATGGTGGCGTTTACGCCCTCACCGCGCCTGGATGGGGATGGCTGTGCGACAGAGTTCAACAAACTAAATACATCACTTTGGTGGGAGCAATCTGTATAACGGTTCGTATATTTATTTTATTTCTATATAACGAATACTCAACATATTCTCTTTTTTCATTTCATATTTCTAGATTGGTTACCTTTTAATCGGTCCGGCACCATTTTTCCCATACGAAACGTAAGCTAATCTTATCATTAAAAGGAAAATTATCCTCAAAATTCTAACAATAACTTTCTCCCCATCCAGAACTTTATGGGTGACCTGTGTCGGCCTGTTCATCCAAGGAATCGGTGTCGGAGCCACTTTCGTGTCCAGCTTTATTCTAGCCTTGCGACATTCAGTGTAAGAATATTTTATCAAAATTTCCAACAATTTAAGCTCTCCATTTACGCATTTGTGTCTAAACGCACAGAGCTAGCGGGCTTCCCGATAACGTTGCAACGTACAGTGTCGTATCCGGTTTGTGGAGTTCTGTCCTTGCCCTCGGCCTCTTTGTCGGCCCCTCCGTCGCAGGAGTGCTTTACGACACGATCGGATTCCGATGGGGGTCCATGTTTGTTGTCGCAGATGGCGTCATTTTGGTGAGACATTGGTCCAATAATTGTCAAAATCACATATATTTACATATTTCTCTGCAGGTAATCCTCATCATCCTCTTCGTCCTGTGTAACACGAAGGGGGAGCAGGCCTACTTCCGAGCACTCTCGGCCCGATCGGGCTCCTCGAGCAGTTCCTCCACGAGCAGTGAGACGGAGCCCTTGTTGACCGTCAAGGACGACGACAACGTTCCCGACGCCATTCTGTCCGTGGGGGACGAGTACTCCATAAATACGCCGACACAGCGACACACTTCCTACGGAGCTACGGCATAGCGGGCGACGACAAATACAGAATTGTTTTAGTATTCATACTTATCATGAAGAAATTCAAAGACGTGGTTATCTTAAAAACCTCGATCTAACAGCCCTTATCGTGGACAGCTCAATTAATAATTAGTATCGTAAAAAGTTATGTTCGGCAGGATATTGATTTATTATGCGGTGTATGTACATACATAAGGTTACACTAATTTTTACATACATTTCTTAAACTTTAAACTTTACCTTCCTTACTTACTAAAAACAACAAGTTTTTCGAGTGTCTCTTGTCACTTGTATTTACTGTACTGTAAAATTATTATTAGTAGCTTATCTTATTTATCTTTGTTATCATATCACTGTAAAAACTTATTAGTCAGAAATGTGAAGTGTATGAGAATACTTATTTTGTAGTGTGTAGTTCTTCGTATAGTCCATTTTTTATAGATAAGTATTTAATGTGTTATACTATTATGTAAATTGGCGATGTAACGTTTTTAAGGTGCTGTAAGTTAAAACCGTGAAAAACGAGGTTGTAATATCTTTAATGACCTGAAGATTTCTCGAAAATTATTGATGAGAGACAAATAATAACAAAATATAGATTGTGATTTTTCGTGTGATGAAATTCATACGGTGCATGCAAGTCTTATAAATACATATAATTAAAAGTCATTTTTAGACGAAAGAGATAAAACAAAATCGAATTTATATGTATGAATTTGTAAAATATCGCTTACCATAATTTCACACCTTGCTACATGTACTTTCCCTTCCACGATGATCTGTTCCCACACGCGAAAAATGTATATGACGATAAAAAGACGTACTTAAATTGTTTGATGAACGAAATCAATATATAAAAATAATGTGAATGTTGGGTTTATAAATTTATGTAAACATTAATAAAAATTTATGACATTCATAAATCAACTTGCATGTTGTTAAGCTATCGTGAGTATTCGTGAGACGGCAACACTTCCTGGACTCGTGCTTATATCATATTTATATGAGTTCGATAACCCATCCCGATAATAATAATTGATAAGTGCATACAGCAAAAATGTCCAAGTACATATGTATGCAGCCAATTGTGGGGTACATGTATTTATTTGTCTGCCAATATCACTTCTTCCAGGAGGCAAATGTCCCTTAACTGGGGCGAGCTTGTAATTGTTTGGCTTCTTGTGCAAAATTTGGACTTTGGCTAATGCGTCGTTTCATCATATCGGATGGTTAAGCTTGGTTCAAAACAACGTAACATAATGTTTCTAAATTTTTGCGTAATTTTGAAAATATGAACTATTTTATTTTATATTTTATTGGTTACATAATGTTGATGTATGTAGGACTAGTACGCCATTTATGATAAATTGCATAATAAATGAGACTTGTCGCATCTTGCCTCATCTTTTTTGTATTTTGCAGTTTATTTTACATTTTATTTTGCAAATTAAACAAGTTGTGAGACAAAGAAAGCAAAGTGCGTATGACACGAGTACCTAAATACTTACTACTGTTGTTTATCTTATGTGAAATATTTACATATATCATGCACAAAGTAGAGCACTGGGCTTAACATGTAAAAGAAAAAAGATGCGAAGGAAGTTGAATCATGCAGATGAAACGAGATATAAGCTGTTATAAGTTGACATTTGTCGTTATCAATACCTGAGAATCCTTAAAACTTTAAAATGTATAAATATCATGAAGAAAATAATCAAAAAGTAAACTGTCCAGTTCTTCACCAGCCTAATAATAGTTTGAGACGTGGACGTGACCAGCGTCAACTAATTGTAAGAGCCAACAGTGGTTAGTTAAAGTTAAAATTCAATAAATTCCAGTTTTTCCAGCTTTAAGAATTCACCGCATGTTTACTTAAAGTTCTACACATAACAAGTTTTAGCTGTGAGTGATTTAAGTTAATAAGCAGATAACGGACCCAATGCATTTCTGGATTTTATGCAATTGAGAAAGGTTAACTTTAGAGGTGAAATATATTTTTTTACAATTGTCACGCTGTTCTCTGCTGATTCCATCAATTGAATTAAAGTTAAGATCAAAAGCGAGTCTTGCGAGAACCTGTTTGCAAAATTATAACATAAACACAAGTTGGCATTTAATTTGTACACATGTATTTAGCTAAATAAGTTAGATATCAACTTGCCTCCGTTTTTTGCTGACTAGGTCAATACAAATAAGCAAGCAAGAGAAATTTGGGCTGCTAAATATTATCTTGAAGCCCAATCTTCTTCTCGATAAGTGCGCACATCAAACGGCGATATAAAGCACTGCAATATTTGAGAATGTCCCCCAATTCCTCAATCCCTAAGGACGAACAGCCCGGACCTTCATCCCGTCTTTTAGCTGGATTAGACCAGTTCTCAACGTCATTTTCCACCGATAACAGGAGAACGAGTTGTAGACGTGAGGAATGTTGTCTCAAAAATTGGTATGATTTACTCAACAAATTTCTGTAAAAAAAATTGAGACCAATAATTCTCCATTTTTAGTTGGATCGTACAACGATTGAGGGGATATCTTCCCGACCTGACGGCGAGACAATGGCAACTTTTAACAGTTTTCGCCGTTGCCGATTTCATCGCCGGTATCGTGTATAACATTAAAGGACCATTTTATCCGGCAGAGGTAAATATGGTGCAATATGGGTTTAATAATAATTAATTAAAGATCTTCTTTGTTTTTTGAATATCAGGCACAGAAAAAAGGCGTCACTGCAGCCCAGTTCGGCTTGGTGTTTGGAATTTTCGATCTAACAAAAGTTTTTGCCTGCCCGATTTTCGGAAAATATGTAGGTATGCACATTAGAATCTGCTTTAGTATGCAATTTCCTATTTCATTTGCAATTTCTGTGCAGATGTCATTATTCGGTCCAAAAAAAGTTTTCATAATTTCCATGATGCTCATCTCAGTGTGTTCGATTGCATTTGGGTGAGTATAATAACTTGAAAATAAAATTACAGTTAATCGTATCGTAGTTAAAATATTGTTTTTTTTAGAATGCTTGAAAAAATTGACGATGCTACCCTCTTTCTCATCATGTCTTTAATAATACGTGTCGTCGAAGCCTTTGGAAGTGCTGGCTTCTCAACCTCCACGTAATAAATTAACGGAAATGTACATTTTAGTCACAATTTTTAACGTGTTTTTTGTGATTTTTTTTTTTGCAAAGCTTTTCGATAATTGCGTGCGAATTTCCTTCCACAGTCGCAACGACGTTTGTAAGAATTTTTTAAATTACATATTATGTTAACATTATTAGGTGAATCCCACATTAATTAATGTCATTTTCGGATATTTGTTGACAGGCGTCACTGGAAACATTTTTTGGGATGGGGCTTATCGTGGGACCACTTTTGGGTGGACTAGTTTTCCAGTCTGGTGGATATGACGCTCCCTTCATCGTCACGGGTCTCTTGTTTTTCACCGCCGCCCTTGTAATCTTATCTGTAATGCCGAATCCGACATCCTTATCGTCAAACAAGGATTCGATTGCAATCTTACTAACTGACGACACGAAACCGGCCGAAGAAGGATTCAGTATCTTCAGTGTGATCAAAATTCCGGTCGTAGCTCTAGCTGCATTTGGCGTTTTTGCCTCTGCAAGCAGTGCGGGTTTCATTAACGCCACGTTGGAGCCTCATATTCGACAAGTACTTAATTAATTAATTTCAGTGATTGATAATTTAAATTAAAAATTAAATCTTTTCCAGTTTGGATTGTCACCGCTTGGTGTTGGGATCGTTTTTGTAATTTATGGGATCATTTATACCCTCACGGTGCCAATTTGGGGGTGGCTTTGTGATCGAATGACGCAACCAAAATTCATCACCTTGATCGGAGCTATCCTGAATCTGGTAGCTAATTATATACAAAATTGTATGATAGGTTTATAATAAAATTCAACTCTTTTCAGGTCACTTTCCTATTAATCGGACCAGCCCCATTTTTTGGGTTTGAGTCCATCCTGTCCACAACTTGTATTGCACTTGTGATTCACGGTTTGGCTTTGGGGGCAATGTTCGTGTCAGGATTTGTGCTTAGTTTACGATACTCGATGTGAGTAGAGTTAATTTATTGTGATTATTTAGGACTATGATTGAAATATGTGGAATATATTTTTTAGAGCGGCCGGATTTCCCAATAATATGGCCACGTATGGAGTCGTTTCCGGCATGTGGACATCTGCCCTGTCGCTGGGCATGTTTTGTGGTCCAGTGATTGGAGGAGTGCTCTTGGACCATGTTGGTTTCCGGTGGGGCACCGTCTACGTTTTGGTTTCGATGATAATTTTGGTAATACTTATAAAGCTATTAATATGTTCATATGAAGGAGTGAAACATGACTGACTGGTTTTCTATGTAGATTATATTGATCGTAATATTTCTCACCAAAAATGGATTAAACATCAAACACAATGATACCTTTGAAGTTCCAGAAGCTGTTCAACCACTTCTCAAGATAAAAACGGTAACATTCTACTCTTCCGATGATGCCAGTGGGGGGAGTAGTGGTCAAGCTCAACTTATCTCGTACGGGAGTGCTTAGATCTAAAAATTCTCCGATATTCGATACGTTAATTTAAAGTTAGTGTAATTAAGTTATATCGACCGCAAGTACAATAAAAAAAGAAGCGATACAACGAATTTGACGTCTGGGGGTTATTGTACTATATATTTTTTCTCCCGAAATTCTAACCTGGGTTATACACGAACCTAATTATTAACATCAATTACAGTAATTATTAAATTTTAATTATCTATCCACCAAAATATAGCGATTTTTCATAGAGAACAAGAAAATCCGTCACATTTGTTTACACGCCTTCAGACTTAAATTAATTATTATGATGGTACTGCAGCAGCAAGGGCCTTTTTTTCCTGTTCTTTAAGCTCCATCTGATACTTGACCCCTCGTCCCACCTGGTACAACCCGGTCAACGCGACAAAGATGTTGACACTCATGAGCGAATAGTTCTTGGGGATGATGACCATGCAGTATCTGGACCAGATGAGTCCCGTCGCTGCTAGCGAGGCCGACTGAGGTATCGAAATCTTATCTGCGGGACGTTGGAGGTCGCCGATGCCTGCCATAACGAGGCCCTGTAAACGTAAGGAGTTTTTTTTATGGTTTGCATACAAATTTTTTAATGAGGTTCTTAGTTTAATACGTTACCCATTTGAAAAGTGGACACCAAAAGAATACTGTCTTTGGACCTGTAGAAAACAAAATTTTTAATATGAAAATTAATAACAGTTAATTAAATTGTTTATGTTCACCTGCGGGATGATTCCACAAGGGCATCCACCGTGGAGGTACAAACTTATCCAATTTCGCCATTGTGCGTACGTACAGTGCGGAACTCATTTTGATAAATATTTAGTTTCAGAAATTTATAAGAAACTAGTATTATTTAGAACTAATTTTCCTCGATTTCCAATTTGAAGCTGTAGAATGAATTAGTAGAATTGATGATAAACTAGAATCTCCAGGTCAGGTGTATGCTATTTGAGATTGAGATACAGAAGAGAGCAGGATGGGATCCAGTGCAAAAAATGAGAACATGTGCTGTAATTACGATATAGCTTGTATTGCGTAATATTTATATCCTGCCAACATAGTTAAATGGAATATGAAATAGATGATATATGCCACCACGCTTATGTCGTGTGGGCTTATGATGGTATGATGATGGTAATATATATGCAGTGATGAGATGATGATAAGCTTTTAAAAGTTCTGCTATGGTGCATGGCATGGTGAAGGTCACAAATATATACCATTCATAAATATGCAACTAATGTGAATGTACGTATGAATATATGCTGCGATGGCGAGAGACATTTGCTAATTTTAATGCTATACGGCTTTAGATTTTCGAACATCAACAAAGATCATGCACAATTTTTACCCACACATTTCTTATCTTGGGTGAAAAATCGTGTAGATTTTTAGAACATGCTTATTGTAACATTTTAATAACAAGGTTGAGGATAAGTAACATAATTTTTCCAACGAAATGCGAAATGGATAAGCTTTGCATAAGCATAAGAATTTTTAACTCAATTCGCAAATCGCAATGCTTTATATTTTATATAAATAGTTGAGACTCTCAACTTGAGAGTCGGTCGTTCGGGTACTTTGGTTGTGATCTGCTTTACGTGGTCTACGTGTGTTTTGTTTTGCCAAATCCTCGTCATCTTTGGATCTATCTAGTTCTCTCGATATATTATATTATTCTCGCAAAAAATTCGCAATAATACTTCGTCATCATATACGTGCATAATCATTCATTGAAGGAGAGAGAGTTACTAGGTTTTGTGATTATTATTTTATTACGTGGAAGGAAGGACGACTGTGGGAGGTAAAGTCAAAGGTAAAATAATAATAATTAAATATAGGATTTTCCTAAATTACTTTTATAAGTCAAAATTTTATTTGAGTCGTATTTAATTAATTGCGTTGTTCACCAATAAGCAAGTCCAACGAATAATGTCAAATATTCTTATCTTTTTGACCCCTAGTGTTAAATACTAGTGTGATGTCTTATATCTTTAATTAAACGATATTGGATTATATTAAGTTAAACATAATCCAAAACAAAAACAAGGTTTAGCGAAGTTAATATTTAGCCGTCAATTGAGCGTCTCGTCAATCCACAATCTCCTAATTATTTGATAGACTGGCAAACTTTGGTCGCCCTGCATCCAACAGAGTCCGGATGATAACAAACAATTTAGATAATAACGTGATAGATAAAACCTTATATTGTCATACTCATCAGCAAAGGTATTATAATGTGTATTATTTGCTGATTAATAATTGAGAAAGAACATGAAATTGTGAATTGACAGAAAATAATAAATAGGTCGAAAGTCAAAGTGCATCTTATCAGTGAATGAGTTATCAATGCCAAAATAACATTCTTCCTGATGATAGATATCTAAATTATAAATGACAGACAGCAAATGGATTGAAATTGCACAAGATTTGTGTTTGTGTTATGTCATATCATAGTTTAGTTAATTAAGTATTGCTCGGTGTAGTGTTCTACTGAGGGTGTTTAATGTTTGTAAAATTGCATTTTTAACACATACAAAACATTCTCGAATTACAGATTTCAAGCAATCAATTTGAGTTCAAACACCGGACTACAAGATGAGTTTAAGTCCTGCTCTTGCCCCCAAGTTTCCAGAACGCGTCACCCTCGGACCAAACGAGGTCATCGTTATCACAGGTATTATTATAAAAATTTACCACAGATCAACTAGTAAAATTGTTTGAATATCTGTTCATTCATCTGGTTCATTTGTGTTTCAGGTGGGAGCGGCTTCTTGGGGCAGCACATCATTCGAGTTTTGAACGAGAGGGCGAAAGGAGTTCGAGAAATTCGTGTCGTTGACTTGAAACCTTACAAGCAGAGATTGGGTAATAGATAATTACATGAGTAAAGTTTATGCAACTAATTTTCTTATGGCAAATATTCACACTATGGACATACAAATACTTGTATTTTACAGATTTTAAGGACATATACAATGTCAAATATTACAAGGCAGATATCGCAATTGAAGACCAATTGGATGAGCCTTTCAACGGAGCTACTTGTGTCATTCACTGTGCCGCAGTGGTCGATACGAGGCGATTCTGTGACCGAGTGACGATGAAGAGTACCAACTTTATTGGTTAGTTGTTATATTTTAGTTGTACCATATTTGTATTTTCATGTGCCCAAAATTTTTTGTGTTCATACCAGGTACAACTAACGTGGCCTTTAAATGTCGTCAATGGAATATCCAAAAACTCATCTTAACCTCTACGGTGGACGCTGTGATTCAGCACAATTCTGAATTCCACTACCAGACAGAATCTAAATTGGAACTTCCCGAGAAGGAGAAAAAGTTTTTGATGGGATACTACGCCTTCACCAAGGTATTTTAGACTGCCCGGGTTCATTAATTACGACGAATGACCGCGCTACAATTGTTAAAGTTGCTATTTATCTCTACTTATGTTTGTACGTATTATTTATTAATTAACCTCTATTCACCAAGGCACAATCTGAAGCAATCGTAATCTGCGAACGGAATCGCCGGATGGCGAATGGAAAAAAGATGAAGACCGCAATCCTTCGTCCAACTGTCATGTATGGAGAACTAGACCCATTCTATGTCCCTCAAGCTTTAAAGGTCGCCAAAGCCACTGGAGGTTATCTCATGCAACCCTTCACGTTCCACACGGACCCAGTTTTGCAGGCGACTTATGCCGGTGAGGGTGAACTAACATTGAAGACTGAAGCATAGCATTTCAATATTTTACAAATTGTATTTCTCAATTTTTACACAGGAAACGTGGCCTGGGCTCACGTCTGTGCAGTATGGAAACTTAATGAAGAGCTAACTAAAGACGAACCCATTGAAGAATGGAGGATTGTTGATGGACAAACAGTTTTCATCACCGATGACACAAAACCACAACCAATGTTTGATTTTATGAAGCCATTCCTCGCCCTGAAAGGATATTCCACTATGGTCACGCCCATTCCGTTCTATTTGCTCTTCGTCACACTCTTCACGTTTGGCTTCGCGTTGAGATTTCTTCCTAAAACGTGGCGATCTTGGTTCGACAATAAACCCCTGTTTCCCACGGCAGAATCTTTGAAGATGGTTCATAAATGTGTGACATTTGACCGAATCAAAGCTGAAAATTGTTTGGAATATTGTCCCATCTACTCTGAAGAGAAGGCGTTGGAACTCTCGTCACGATATTATAATGATGTCACGGTCTAAATAATAGTTATCATGTCAAGGCAAAATATGTCAATCAGAATCAATATTTTCTAGAATATTCTATTTCAAAATTTCGACCACTTTGATTTGCGAATCATACATACGTAATATCTTTTTGAAATTTTAAAGAGAACCCACAAATAAATTAGTTCCTTCCCCGTGACCAATATGAATTTAATTTAATTTTGGTTAAATTTTGTAGTTTTTTTGTATATCTGAACTGAAATAGCATATTATCTGATAAAGTTTATTTATAATTAGTATGGTAATGGGTTGTAATTTGTATTTCCTCAGTTCGGAGTATACCCTAATGATTCGATGTAGGGATTATTTATATACACGACAAATACTAGACACTAATATCTAGCAGGAGCTTTAAATGTTGTCCACATGCAAATGTATACATGTACCTGTGTTTTCCGCATAATTAACAACATAGTATTCTGTACATTTATGATGAAATACTAATAAAGTGAAAAATTAAATAGTTTCGTCCTATGTGGTCAAAAGATGAATTTCATTAATTCTCATCAATATAAATTTCGTATTGTTCTTTCAAAAGTAATTAGTAAGCTCAAATTGATTAGTTGTTCATCTAAATTATGATTTCATGATAACTATGCAAAAAATTCATACATTTTTGCAGGAATGAACAATGTGAGCATGCAGCTCAATTTGACCGAGATTGTTGGCGGCAATCGGACAGACAGACTGCAGCAGAAATAAAAATAAATCGTTTGTTCTTGGCAAAATCAGAAGTATTTAATTATTTCAGAAAATTTTGATCAATTTAAGATATTGTACTTTCTCTTGTCATTTTTTGACGTGTAACGTGTGATCAAGGCGTTTCGGAAAGTTGGAAATTATGGCTGCACAACTTGAAAGTTTTGTTAATCGTGAGTTTCATTTAAAGAAATAAATTTAGGCATTATACATTGTAATAATTTGTATAAACTTTAATATTTAATTGACCATGATTAATATAACGTACACAAATTGATTGTTTCAGGAATTGTTTCAATAATCACATCGGACGGGCGTAACTTTGTGGTATGTTTTCATCTTGAATTGTGAATTAGTTAATTATTCGCGCTTTGATATCTATTAATTCAGTATGTTTTTATTGTTTACTTTAGGGAACGATGAAAGGATTTGACCAAACGATCAACCTAATTTTAGACGATAGTCATGAACGTGTATTTAGTGTGCAAGGTGTGGAACAAATCACTCTGGGCCTTCACATTATTCGGGGAGATAATGTGTCAGTACTACAATTATAATATACCGTTTCGTATAAAGTCGATTGGAATTATAAATTGTTAAAATGTTGCAAACTTTTTTTTATTCGACCAGGGCCGTCATTGGAGAAATAGATGAAGAGGAAGACGCTCGCTTAGACATGGCAGCAATTAAGGCGGAACCTCTCAACGCCATTGTTCATTAACACCATCGAAAATCTCGACTTAATCCTTCCTTCAATTAATTACTGTTATCCTCTTCATCAGTTCTTTGTTTATCATTGTTTTTGTATTCTAGAGAAATATTGCAAAAAATATTGTAACTTAATAATTTGAATCAAATCAGAATGTTGAAAGAATGTTTAGTGCACAGATTTGTGTAATCCTATTGATTGATTGAGTTAGCCCAATTAGTAGTTTGTTAATTTTCCAGATAGGCAATTTATTTAAAACTTTACTACAATTGCTATACATATTTAACTAATTAACATTATAAATTATAATGCATACCACTCACTCATAACTGATAAAATAGAAACTTTGATAAAGAATAAGTTATCAATTAATCTACTGACCTACATTTTGCATTTATTCCGGAAATGCTTTTCAAACCTAATCTATTCACTCCCATCAAATTTACGCACACGTAACACCAAAGATCTCCATTTTTCAACCCCTTTTTGAAGACACGGTTCACTTGACGCTCGTCTCTCTAGATCAAGGTTGACTTTGACTCGACAAACGTAATACAATGCACAACAAAGAATTGTAAAGTATAAAAAGGAACGGAATCAAAGTTACAAATTCTCCTCCATCGATTCGTAAAATTTTCAAGAAATTGCAATTTTCTAATGCAATATGTCACTCTACGTCACGCCATGTCACAACTTTCTCCCCTTCCATTATGTGAAATGAGGAAAGTCATCTGTCTATACTACGATTTCTTTTTCTCCTTATAAAGCATTCTCTTCATCAAATATTATTGGATTTTGTGCTACCGACCTGGTGTTAGATTTCTGTGTGTCAATTCCTGTCGCATGTTTGCGACAACGACGAGCCGAATTCAATCCAAAATCTGTAATGGATTTGCTTTATATGCTTTCACCATTCGGACAAAGAGAAGAATAAGTTGGCCTCTGCTGACTGCATGCATTTCTTCATTTCCATTCTATACCCCGTTACATAAAATTCACCTGTTTTTTTCGCAACACGTTTTGCAACTCATTCTTTCTTCCAATATCGAAGTTGTGCAAGAGACGGGAATTTCGCAAATGTGTGTGCGTCACATTTTGGAAGAACAAGTCCTCCAGTCCAGTAGAGAAGAGAAACAAAACTTGTCCACAGATAATAATATAGTCGTTCGTTCGTACATACAACTGAAATAATAAGCTCGTTAAACTATTCTATGTTCTGCAAATATCAAGTTTGCCAAGAGAGAGAAAGTTCACTTCCATTGTCTCATTTTCCCTTTTGTTTTCAAACCCCAAGTTTTGGGGAGGAAGTAATAGTGCGACCTTATTATGACTTCCGGAGATGATAAAGATCATCCATTCCTCCACTAACTAACTTATCCCAAGTCTCTCATTCCCTCCAACTTATTGTTCTTCTTGGCCGTCGATATTTCGTGGTTTCTTCTTACATATAATTCCTGCCCTCTGATCATCATGTTCTTCATCCTACGCTCCCACCCACGTCCCCACGTTCCACTCTTATTGCACATTTTTTCCCCCAGAAAACCAAACCGCACATGGTTTACATTAGATAAATGCATATAAATATTTTATTTAAGACGTATACTTACAGTCTTAGCAGAATTAAGCTACCGTCCTCCTACGCACTACCGACCGATCAAATTGGATACAACTTGTTATACATTTGTAGGTTATTTAGTCCCCCTCACTGCATCTCGTTTCCTTCTTCCTTCCATGTCTGTCTACCAAAAAAGAGAAAGTTTGCTTCTTGCCTTCACCACTTACTTTCTCCAACCAACCAACGACTCCACCAACCCACTTGCTCTCTTAATACAACAACTTAATAATACCATTGCCACCGCCGCTACAGAAAATCTTGAACAAGAAGGTTATATGCAAAGCAAATAAGAAATGGAAGAAAGTGAGGAGGACGACGACGAGGTATAATAAAATGAATGGCAAATTAAACCCGAAAGGATTAAGTGGAACCATTTGCTTTTGAGGCAGAGAAATTGCTTCCCGTTTGTGCCACGATACACGATACGAGAACGATGCTAATTTTCAACAATACCGTTCTCATAGTCATTTCAAATTTAAAGTGGAGGAAGACCACGCCAAACCAGAAGGCAAGCAAGCAAGCAACGAAACGATCGCTCTCATTTTACTCTGGATTGGATTTTGAGACTTTGACTTTCTTCTTCGTCGGTTTGGTTTCACAGCCAAAAACGACCCAGTTATATTGCGATACTCGCCACGCCACGCCACCACCGCGACCAACGATCTCTCATTTTCGACCTAGTTACAAAGAGAATATTGGTTTTGAAACGGTTTCAAATTGCGATTCGAGGGGAGATGGGAAATCAAATGGATGTATGACAAGAATTAGAGCGTAGATATACGATTTCAGTCCAAGTTTTGCTGGATAGAGTCATTTTCTTCGCTTATGCAAGTAAGAAGCAAGCAGGTGTACTACTAATTTGGATTGTGGGGAGCGTTAGTTCGTAAAGGTGATGAGTTTCCGAAGGTAATTTCTTCCACTAATATTTTTAGTACTTTTAACCAGATCCGATGAAAGCGGTTGAAAAAACCAACGTATTTTTTTACACGCGAGAAATGTGCTTATTTATTAAGAAATTCTAATATTGCGTAACTTTCTTTACCTAATTATGAAAAACTACGCTAGGAAATACATAAGGTTCAACATGTATCATAATTTATGCAAAATCTGCACAACTAAATTGTTCTACAATCCATACAAGTATCTTGGCCTAGGTGCTTTCACTATTTTCTCTCTATTTTCCTACGCACCACAAACAAAACCACAGTGTATGTATGTATACAAATATATTCACATCTCTCCAAGGAATCCCTATCTTTAACCATGACTCTGATTTTTTTCCAAGCTTTAAGGAAATCTCGACGTTTTATTTTTGCCTAGAGAATTTAAAGACTCACCAACAAAATAAGTGGCATGCGGTCACATTGGTCTCTAAAATACGGTTATGTTCATATCATTACCAAGGACAAATTAACGTCCCTGTACACACAGACCCTTCATTTTATTGACTGGGGAACAGGACGGACGGACATAACGTCACGCAGACCTTCTCCTCTCCACTTTATGTAAATTATTTCCAGCGGAACCGCTTAATATTATTTTTGCATCTGCTTCTGCAACCTTGACTCGCAACCGTTTTACTTGAGGATTTTATTCTTGTTTTTCTGAATTTAAATTCCACTACATCGTATTTCGCTCATAGCCTAAATTGGCCACGGGCTCGTGAGGTTTGCCCTCTGCGCTGAGGTCTTCTTCTTCTTCTTAACCTGCTCCACGTGGCGTGCGGTCTCTGGTCTAAACTGGACGCCACGTCCCTACGGGTAGCGTCGTAGGAAATGCATAATAAAGAAAGTGCCTGCTATTTCCTGAAAATACGTTCAACAGAAGACTCGTACTCTTTTGTGTTTAGTATGTTCAAACGGTATCAAGGCTACTGCTGCAGAGGTGACCCTTTCATTTCATACCCGGCGGAGAAGAAGGCAGAAAGCAGAGCTACTTTGCTACATATTAAATACAGGCTCGTGCCCAGTCAATATTGGATTCTGAAGCATGCGGAAGTCGGAAGTGCTTTCCTTTCTTTTATTTATCGTGTAAATACTTACATGCCCCGTGCCCTGCTTGAGCCGGGTCGGGAGGAGGATGTACTTGACTCAATGTCAGGTAATTTTTGGAACATGTGGCAATAAATAGGTCGAGGTCGGCCAGGTCATTCTTTGTCATGAAATGATGGCAAGGCCAAAATTAATTATATTTCCTTAGTAGTAGCAGCAGAAACAAGATTGTGTGTACAGTTTGCGGAAAAATGCAAGTAAGTAAATAGTCTGGTAGCAAGTTCCAGCCACTTCGTATTTTTTTTTACTTTATGCAAGTACATAAAATACATAAAATCTTCTCGCCTCGTTTTTTTCTGTGTCATACTTTATTTAATGTTTCTCACTACTGGCAGTTGTAGCAGAAGTGGTAGTCGTTGGTCTGGTAGCTCGTTAACTTGGCTACTAGGACTGCACACTTGTGCAAATCCTGTTATGCGAGGGATAGCAGAGGGAGAGAGATGGATGGATGGGTGGCGATCACTTTACTTACTACTTTCTCTCTAAATTTGGGTTTTTTAGTTGGTCTTCCTCTTCCCCACCAGTAGTTAAATGAGATTGTGAGTCTGGTCACGTGTAGCCATCTTGTTAACTCTCATGTTCATCTTCTTCTCTCCTTCGCTCACTTAGTTGACTCTCTTCGGAATTCGGGATAAGAAGAAGACCAAGACCAAGATCTCCTCGACCAATAGCACCACCACCAAAGGAAAACTAAAACGCGTCATATCATCCGTTTCCCGAACGAAACTCTTTGCTTACATTTTAACCAACAACGGACGGGAAGGGTTGCACGGATGCCATCCTCCAAACACAACACAAACTTTCTCCAGGAGAGACTGGACCGGACTTTGTACTAATTATAGCCTCATCCTCGTCCTCATCGTCGTCGCGGTGGCGTTGCAGTGTAATGACCACATCCATCAGATCCGCCGCGAGTAGTTGGAATTTTCAATCTCAAGATCTAGGTCAGGTCAGCGGCAGGCAGGCAAGATATCTAGTAGATAGTTCTGGGTTTGGTCCCCTTTCCACTTCCGCCTTCGCTTTTGGGACCAACTTTCTCCATCTTTTTCGCTACCCTCTGATCCATCCAAACTGGAGAACTGAATCAATATTACATCCGGGTCTCTATAATGTATGTAGGTAGGTAGGCATTGTTTGGTTGTTTGGTTTGCAAATAAAAGTTTTTTTTATACTTCAATAAGTGTCAAATAAAGCCTGGTTAATAATAAATGATGAATCTGCGCAAAATCAATTTGAGCGAAAGTTTGTTGCGTAATAATAATTGTCGCTAGACGGTTTTTTGATGAATGAAAACTCATCTGGGGCGAAGGATGTAAAGGTCGGATTCGAATCTGAGAAGCCAAGCAGCACATGTCCTGCTTGCCTTGCTGGTGGTTCATCTCCTTATCGCTCCTCGTCGACCAGAGAGAGAAAGCATCCTCGCAGCCAGAATTCTGTTCAAATGAAACAAGCCAAGTGTAAAACTGAACTAGATTTTGGATTTGGGTTCCTACGTACGTAGTGCTTGCTGCTGCCGGACTACGAGACGACTCTTGTGCTGGAGAGATAGATTTTATGAAGGATATGATTTTGGCAAAAAAACGTCTCAAAATCTCCCAGAGTGAGCTGTCGGGTGGAAATAACACGTCAAATAGTCGCACTCACTCTGCAACGACGAGCAAACTAAACTAAACCCTTTTTCGGGAAGAGAGATAC